TGCAAACATCAGACGCCAAAAATGCCTTGGCTGATGGCCTGTGTTTGGAGTAAGAGGAAAACTGTGTAAATATTTTTTTTTGCACTACAGTCATGACTACAGTTGCACTAAAGACTACAACACCCAGAATGCAAATCTCTCTGTTTCACTAGTGGACCTCAGCCAAGAGTGAATTAACCACCTTCAGACAGCCGCAGTAAATCTGAGCCTGACTGTGTCCTACGCGGCACAGCGTGATTCTGTTCTAAAGAAAAATCTTAAAACAGAGGGCTGGATGGACAAGGAGAGACATGGCAGCTCTGATGACGGCCAGACAGCTGCTCCTCACACATGATCCAATTAGGCCATGCATTATGCAGCAAACAGCACGTTCAGTGCAGCAACACATCCTTCACACTCTCCAAAAATACTGCAGCTTTTACACGATCCACATCTCAAACACTTCAAACACCTCTTTTCTCAGCCTAAGAGGCTGCAAGAGAATCTGCTCCTGGGACATACACACTGTTAGGAGTGTAAAAAGGCATCATCTTAAGGAGGAGACTGAAATGCATCCTTTTTTTAGCCAAAGTTAAATTCAAACATAAAATTAAACCTAAAAATAAAACATAGATCATTCCACTACTGTGAATAGTTCCTCCAATCAAATTTGCATATTTGTATTTTTATACAATTTTTGTGTTCAATATTACACTGAAAAGAAAGCCTGTCCAACAAACAAACTATATATAACTATATATAAAGTTTAAAGAAGAATTCCTTAGATTTTTCTAAATTTCTGCATAATTCAATTGTTAAAATGTAACCACACAATTAAGAGTGTTTTCATGTGAAATGGTTCATTGTAGAGAACTTCCAAACTATCTTTACAGTGGTGGTGATAGGAACCAGGAGTCAATGTCTACAACAAAATATATCCATTTAATTTACCATCCAAAACCACCAATGAACCTTCAAGTGTCTTCTTTTTTATTAATATGTAATGCTAATGATGGTAAAATAGTGGTAAATCTGAAAAAAGTAAGTTTTCTTCTCTTTGAGGACTATTTTAAGTTTAGAGCAGAGCACTTCACATCAAACCACTTAATTATGCTGAAATTCTGAGAAATTAGTGGAATTCCCCTTTTATAGTACACATAGAATAAATGTAAATTACTCATATCATGTAAAATGTAAAAAAAAATGCTGCAGTATGTAAACATTGTTAAAGGTTCAAAACATACCCATAACTCCCCACTCCATGAAGTCCATATATGGAAACTAAGCTGCAAAAAACTGAATTCCCTGTTTTTGTGATGTCACAAATATCCCCAAAACACATTTACATATAAAAAATACAAGGCAACTGGTCAGAACAGAGGTCATTTACAGAAGTCTTGAGAGCTGTCTTGTAAAAATAAATTACAACTACTTTTGGTACAAAAGCCTACTTAAGTGTTATAATTGGATCTCAGGGAGAAAATGCAGGACATGGGCCCTTTAAGATATCACGATGCACTGAATCGTTTCCTAAACAATCGTAATCAAACTGAATTGCTGCGTGATCACACGTGTACTCCCTAAGACAGGGCTGGAGAGATATATCCTGCTGCATCCTGTAAAGATCTGACACAATAGATGTGTGGCTGAGCCATCTGCTCTGCTTCGGCAGACTGCCAGCCTCTGGGGAGCTGGAACTGCATTGTTAATAAAAAAAAGCAGACAACCCCCGACGTCCTCAGTACCTGGTCAATGCACAAAGCGCAGACAGTGGCAATTAGAACAGCAAACAAACTGGCCACTGAGGCCTTTCTAACTGCAATATGCCCACCATCTAGCGTCCATTACCGCCTGGAGCAAGAAGACCAATTGCAGGGTACAGCCGAGAAGACGGCAGCTGGTGTTAGCCACTAGTGGCGCGGGTCTCATTTGCATTGCATCTCCTTTTCCTAAAGGGACGATGATGTCATTAGAGCCTGCAGGAGCTGAGGCGCTTATTATGTCATATCCAAGTCGTGGTTCTGCAGATTTTATAATCGGAGGAAATGATCACTTCAGGGTTTGTGAAGTGCTACAAAACCACACCTCGTTTTCTTATAAAGGCAGGAACCTGCTGTTATAGGACATGGCGTGGACTGAGCATTAAAGTGCATATATCCTGCATTTTTTCATTATTATGGACATTCCTGGTCCTTGCGTGGTTTTATACACCAAAAACAGTCATAATTCATTTTTTACAAGATCATTTTCCAACCTCTCTTTATCCTTTACAATTAAACAGGCTGTACTTGTTACTGTGTCTTTAAGACTGACATGCACAATGCACATTCCCTCTGTTCTGACTGGCTTCCTTGTATTTTGCTACACTATGGGGTGAAACACTCCTTCTAATGTCAGTAGTCACTACTGGGGAGTGAAAGTCATGTTCTGAGATTTTAACAATGTTTATATATTACATAAAACTCTTTAATCAATTTTTCCATAATTTAGGCCCTTTAATGTCTCTCCACCCAAGTGGTTAGTAGGAAAATGACCAAGAATCAAACAGAATGCATAGTTACAGTAGTTAATGGAACACAGCACTTATTAAATATCTATATGCAAACATCTGTAATGTACGACTGATTACCACGAACAATCATTTACAGACTATAAACACGCTTATAACAGAACCCAATAGCAGCACTTCAAGTCAATAGGGTTTTCTGTCCTTTTCTAAAGTGAAGGAAAACGTGTTAAATTTATTGTCGTGGTAATCGAACACATGATGGAGTGCATATGGATCAGGTCTAAATAACAGTGTAGTATTCCTTTAAACACCCTCTTTGTCACTAGCAATAGACGGTTTTTGGGAGGTAAAACTAGTGCAAACTTACATATATGCTGAGCTTATTCACAACACCCACTACCTTCCATCAAAACAGAGAAAACAGGCAGATCACACAAACCCTTCGCCAGCCTCACTAATGTACTGAAAAAAACAGTGTAATTTCATTACAATTCAGCAAGATAGCTAATAGAGCAAAACCCTGATTAGTATTAAGATTACTGTTTCACTCAAATCATTAAAGCTGGTAGGATAACTGTAGCTACTATGCCCACATAGCATCAACCATCATTTTCTTACACGGAAATAAGCTATAGAAAGAGACGTAGAAGCTATTATCAACACTTCAACCTCATGCACAACCTTGGCACTGCAACAGCAATAGGAGGGGAAAAAAATGAAACGTCATGCTGTAAAGGTAAACAATAAGAGGCAGACAAGGACACACTCTCAGAAATACAGTAGAGTCTAAAGTCTGGCTAAAGTCCACCAATGAGAACTGGTTTTATTTAGTCTTTTATGGAAAAACTAATACATGCTTATTTGGTTTGGTTATTTAAGATCACATTTAAACCTGAGCACTTTTGTTGATCACTTTCAGAAGTCCTTTCTCAACTCTTTTTTTTATTTTTACCCAATTTTCTCCCCAATTTGGGCATCTCCAATTCCACCTGCTAGTTAGGACTCCTCCAATCACACGATACTACCAACGCTAGGAGGGTGAAGGCTAACGCAGGCTTCCTCCGAGACCTGTGAAGCCACATCTTTTTGAACTGCCGCTCACCCAACGTCATTGGACAGCTGATCGCGCTCGGAGGAAAGCGCCAACCGCCAGTTCTGTTATGTCAGCTAACACACGCCTACGCTGACTAGCATCGCGTTGAGTAATGGGGGGAGAAGGGGGGCCATCCTACCCACCCAGAGAGAGTGAGGCCAATTGCGCCTTCTAGGACCCCTGGCCACGGATGGCTGTAGCCTCACCAGGGATCAAACTCGCAGTGTCCTGATGACAGGGCCAACGCTTACACGCTTGCGCCACTCGGGAGCCCCTTTCTCAACTGTTCATCTGAAACTTGTGCTGCTGTTGAAGGAGAATTTCAAAATTCAATCATTAAGATGTAAACAAACTCATTCGGAGTGGTCTGATGTGGAATGCACCATGCTGGAGAAACTTACTGAGTCAGAACTGTTCATCACAATGGCTCTAAAAGCTCCCTCACATTGAAAAGGTTTTGACCTACAATGTATTTTAAAATCCATTTACAAAGAAGAGGTGCATGCAGAGTGTTGTAAGACAAAGTCCCAAAGAAAACCTTTTTCATTAGAGCTCTAATTTGGTGAAAATGTCTGTTTCAATTGTTTGGCTCAGTCTAAATGCTTTTCCTACTTCACTGGATTGCTGGCTAGCATGCTCTCTGAGGAAAAATGACAGTGTGCTGGTTAGCAAGCAATCCATAAAGTAGAAAGAAATGTATTAAAACTGAACTGGGTGCTGAGTTTATACTCTGAGTGGCATAAGATTCTAGTTTCTAAACATAGATTCTAAAACATGGTCACCCCCTCGGCTCACCGTTAAGAAGTGACCAAAAGTCCCCCCCTCCTTTCCTCTGCTCTCCTGCACTGCTCATCACTACACATTTAAAGAGTCTCAGCAACCTGGTCAGCGTTGCCAGATTCGGCAGGATCCCCTGCATGACAATAATTATGACAACAATTGTTTATCAATGATTTTCCTTCAAGCTGTAGTATTTTAAGTATTTTAAGTTTCATTAAAAATCATGAATAAAAAGAAAATAAATTGATAGATTCCAGAAATCATAAAATAATAATCATTATTATTATTGTTGTTGTTACTATTATTATTATTATTAATAGTAGTAGTAGTAGTAGTAGTAGTATTTTATTATTATTTATTTGATCCTGCAATCCTGCAGAAACCTGCCAGACAGTGTTCAAGCTGTGATCAAGACACACTGAAATATTTGGATCACTATTAACAGATAAAGTAGAAAAAATGTTTTTAGTAACTATTAAAATGAAACCAGTTCTCGGTAGTGGAGTAGACTTTTGGACCCTAGTGCATCTAGACAAAGACCTTTCTCATTAAAGAAACAAGGCAAAAGAAATGACAGCCAAGAATAAAAGCTCATGATTTGTTTCCCTTCACACTCTTCCACAGCACATCATTACATACCCATCGCATGAACAGCGTCGGCTACTCTTCTCTTTTTATCCTGTACCTGCACAGCTGGGATCCACAATGACCATCAGCAATTTCCACAAATAATACACACTGTTACAGCCAACCAAACAAAACTAACATGCTCCATATTTGGAGTTTATGGAAAAAAGGAAATATTAATGTTGGTCACATCTGTTTTTATTGTATTGTACCTACAATAAGTGTATGATAACTGATTATTAGAAGCCTTTTTTCCCTGTATGACCACTGGAGCATTACTGTGTCTCTACCACATTACGTATTTTATGGGACTAGTTTAGTTTGGTAAATAAGCTACACTAACCAATGAAATACTTACCATCCATCTACGTGCATGTATAAACCATTCATTACTATACCTTAGTGTAAATATATAAATGCTCTGTTTTAGGCATATAGTTTGAGGTGCAAGGGACTGGATTTTGTCTATCATAGTAAAGTGGGTGGGAGCCTGGCTTGAGCTATGAACACACCCACACTCAAATGACTGAGCGCTTGTAAATTCAAGGGGTTCTGATTTCTGTGGTGTATTTTGTTAGAAGGCTGAAGCACTTTTACAAAAAAAGGTTCTTTATAGTACCAATAAAATGTTCTTTGACCTTTTTGGTGCTTTATAGAACAGTTTTCTTTAAATGAGTCTATCTAAATATTCCTTGTACATCTAGTACAAGACTGATTGTAAGTTTCTTTAAATAACCATATGCAGCAGTTCTCCATCATACCACTGAACCATGAGAAGCACCAGTTGAAGATTCACATGGTTCTATGGGTTCTATAATCATTTCCTTTCCCAAAGAACCTATAAAGAACATTTACAAGTGTGTAGTATGTAATTAGATTTCTATAGAACCAAAACATTTAAACATATTAAATATTAGGCTATAAACTGAGCCAAATCTTAACCTCAAAAAATCACACTGAAAATCTAAGTATCCATACAGCTCTACTACTTGCCAATGCACATCCAAATGGAACAAATCAAGCCAAACATAACATGTTGAATAATATTACTTTTGCAAGCAAACCTGCTGAGCTGAGTGCAGCTGGTTATCAATGCTGAAGCTGCTTAAAAGGGAAACTCCACTGATTTTTTAAAAATTCGGTATAATTCAGTAAACAAAGTCATTCAGAGTGGTTTGATGTGAAATGGTTACTTTGTAGAGAAACTTATCGATTCAGGTTTCTTTACAGTGGTGGTGGAACTATCGGTCCCAATAACTATGACGCAAACAGAGCCATTTTATTTACTATCCAAAAGCACCACTAAACCTACATGTGTGTTCTGAGTTTTTATATGTCATTTTAATGATTGGGAAACAATGAAAAAAAAATAAGCTTTCTTTTGGGACTATTCAGCCTTATAACACCCTACATGTATCCCTCCACCATGAACGGAATTAAAATATATTTTAGGCCAAAACTTTATTACAAAACTACTGTAAAACGAAGTCTCACACATTAGCTGTGTATTTAATACCATTAACTTCCTGTGAGGGAGCTTTTAGAGGTGGACGTCTGGTTCCTATCACCGCCACTGTTAGCAATTCTTACTCGGTAAGGTTCTCTAGAACGAAGCATTTCACATCAAACCACTCTGAATCATTTTGTTGACATGCTAACCACTTAATTATACAGAATTTTTGAAAAATCGGTGGAGTTCCCCTCTATGTCAATTTTCCGTTCCACCTTAAATAGCGCAGCAGTTGCATTCATGCGCCTGGGCAGACTCCAGAATGTAAACTGCTGCGCCGTTTAAGGTGGAACGGGAAATTCGAGCTGTCAGTGCTTGATTTTTCATTGTCCACTAACCCAAATTAGCAATTAGCTTTGACTGACTTACTCAGGGCTCCTCCAGGACCGAGTCCAGGCTCCTTGCCTGCGGGCGGAGTCCCGCTTTGCCTCTCGAAATTGCCTGGGTTGGAGAAATAATCCCTCAGCCTGGGAAGCTCCCTTCCAGCTTCCAGAAGCTCCGTGTGCAGCTCCAGGGCTGTGAGGATGTACTGGTCCCGGAGAAGCTGAGCCGCGATGGCGTCCACGGACACCCGGGGCTCCGCGCCGCCGCCTCCCAGCCCTGCTGCACCGCCTATGCCTAAGGCCTGTACGCTGTCCGCGCTGGGGCTGATCCGGCTGTTGGGGAGCAGAAGCGTGCCTGGCTCCTGGTCCGCCTGCGGGGAAAAGGGGCCTGGGCTCCGGCCTGGTGGTGCTTCATCCCCAGGGCTGCGCTCGTCGCTCCTCTGCGGCTCCGCTTCCTCCTCCGAGTCGCTAACGTTAAATGGGTTCACGCTGCCCGACGCCATTGATATGATTTATTTCCGTTCCCTGACAGGAATTCAGTCTCCTTGCTTAATTTTTATTACAGGTTTCCAATCAATGGCAATCCAAAGGGCTGCTTGGTTATTCCGGGCCGAATGTCATTTCAGCAGCAGCTCAGCACTGGGCGTCTGTCTGCACCGGACGTGACCCAACCTGCGCTGCGTTCCCAATGATTCACTCGTACACTCCCTCCCTCCCTACGCCCTATCTAGAAAAATGTAGTTCCCTATGTAGGGAGCTATACTGTTTTTGTTTGTTATCAATAGGCAAGAAAAGTGGTCAGGTCGCCCCCTGCTGTTTGCGTCCAAAACATGCTCCGTCCCTCCGTCTTTTCTACTAATATCCTAATAGCTCTTATATAGAGGGCTTGCCCAGAGAAACAATACGTCTATTTCCTATGAAATGGCTGCATTTGTGTTCTAAAACAGCTAAATGTCAGCTCACCTCAAATAGCTCTTGTCGATTCGCTAAATAAGTCAAAAATAGCTGCTTACATTTGTATGCAAAATTGCAATATATATCATCTGTTTGCTACAATATGCATTCCATCATATGTCTTTGACAATTAGCTATAATAAACAGCTATACAGACAATTCATTAGAATCTATGCCCTATTCTCTACTTGCCCCTCCATCCACTACAAAGCACTACAAAGTGTGCATCAGGTGATCCCTTCAGTATTCTCTATTTAAGACCCTTTAAGGCTACTGTTCGATTTGGAACGACATCACAGAATGGGTGCTGCGAGCTTTCTCCCTCCAAAGAGCTCTTTATAGGCTGCATATATGCTATTTACATTCCTTTTTCTATAATTATAACACTGCATCTTTGATCAGGTGCACATATTTTCCGAAAAAAAAATGCATTTAGGAATAAAGTTAAACTATTTAATTAAAGAATGAAAGTTACTGCATAATTTTACATAAATACCTTGCAGGATCTAAAATCAGAAGATTTGAGTAAGAGGTTATTTTGGACTATTTTGATTGAGCGATGTTGATTAATGACTCTCAGCCGAGTGACTTGACTTGGTTTTTCAAAATAAAAGTCCTAAATCTGCAAACGTGAACGTGTGGTTACATTCATTTATTGAATGAAGTGCATAATTATTCTTATTTATCTAAATACTTTTCTCGGCTTCTTGACATCAAATAAAACGGTCGAAAAGCCACAATATGCACTGCCACTCCAACGCATCATAATTCTTTTATTTTGAAAGGCTGCTGAGACTCAACAAGCAAAGCTTACCACAGCGGTAGCGCAGATAAAGCTCTTTTCATTCGAATTTAGCTATGGGGCGTCTAGTTTAAAAAGGTTGGGATATGTCTTTGTAGCGAGTAGGACGTTTGTCTAAAATATGCTTGAACCTCTTCTTGTGGTCTTTTTAATTAAGGCGAAGTAAGTTAAGCTAAACTTGAGCGGTTCACTTTATTGATTTCAACAGGACGTTCCCTGCAGCTATGTTGCGTTCTGCGGTTGCCTGGATACCTTCGGCCGTCGAAGCTCGTGGAATTAGCTAGATAGCTAGAAAACTGACTGGCTGTGCGGCCTCGTAACCGTTAACGTTTATTCACAAACGACTTTTTTGCCTTGGCTGCGTCCAAAACCAGTTGTTACCACACTAAAAAGTATGTGAAAATATGACTCCACAATTAACGTTAGTAATAGAGTCATTAGTATAGTACTCATATAATAGTGTAGTGTGTGGTTCTGGACGCGGCCCCTCTCATCATCAGCCCCAAACAAACTATGTTTGGTTTAGTAGCTGCACGGCTGAGCCTGCTTAACAAGACGCGTTCGCAGGGATTTATCTACCTCACATCTTCGTTCATAATTGCTTTTTTGACTAGTTAGGTTAACGTGCTGATAAGTCAGTGGAAGCATGGACGGCGGCACCACTGTCAACTGTGTCGAGGACAAGGCAAAGATAGCAACGGACAAGGGCTACATGCCTTACATGGAAATGAAGGTGACTATGTAGCTAGCTAGCTGGTTATCGTTAGTTTTCTAAGAGGGTTTAATTCAGCTTGTGTTTAAATGCTGTTTTATTAAATTTTGATTACTAATGAGACTATGTAGTGAATACCTTGCTTTTGTTCATGTTTTATTTCCTTCCCCCTAGTCAAGCAAGAATTTTCACCCAGAGAAGGAAGACTCTGAGGCTCACAGTAAAACCACATCACGACCCAAGCAGAATAAAGGTGGGGTTAAGTCAGCACAGAAGCTATTCCTGTCAAACCACAGGTCAAGTACACATAACCTAACCTAAGTGTCAACCTCTAGAGACAGTAAACTGTATATTCATGGCCTACAAACAGTATAAATTCACTGATATATAGCATGTTTTTACCATTAAAGTAATTAGTAACAGTGGCAATTTCTGCTGTTTTGATATTCTTTACTGTGTTATACACAGATCAGCCATAACATTAAAATGATCACCTTGTTTCTACATTCATTGTTCATTTTATCAGCTCCACTTACCATATAGGTGCACTTTGTAGTTCTACAATTACAGACTGTAGCTTATTTGTATCTCTGAATACTTTTTTAGCCCCCTTTTGACCTGTTCTTCAATGGTCAGTGACATTGAGGTGTTTAAAAACTCCAGCAGCATTGCTGTGTCTGACCCACACATACTTCTGCAAAACAATAACATGTGACACTGACCACTCAAATAATACCTGCTCTGTAGGGGCCCTGACCATTGAAGAACAGGGTAAAAGGGGGCTAACAAAGTATGCAGAGGAACAGATGGACTACAGTCTGTAATTATAGAGCTTCAAAGTGCACCTATACAGTAGGTGGAACTGATAAAATGAACAATGAGTGTAGATACAAGGAGGTGATTTAATGTTATGGCTGCTTAGTGTATGTCTCTGATAATCAGAATAATAACTTCATACAGAATTGGAAACATTTTTACTATATTTGACAATTCAATAGCTAAACTGTCTCTTAAATGGTTAAATACGCATACAAATGCAATCAAAGACAGTCAGAGGCTGGGAGAGACCAGAGTTAGGCTGTACTCTACAACAGCACAGAAGAAAAAGTGTCTGATGATGTAGTATTATCTGCAAGGTGAAATAGTCATAAGACACAGAAACTAAACTCCAGTCCCTCTGTGACAATCTGATTATTACAGCACAACACTTTTTATTCTTGTGATTGCTGATCTGATATCTTGGCTTGTTTCTCACATAAGGCGATGCCTGTTTTGTCAGTGTACAGCGTGTGTGCCATAAAATAATTTCACATGAATCAGTATACCTACGCTCATACCACACCATGTGTGGTCTGATCAGATCACTTTTTAGGCCAGTAGGTCTAATATAACATGAATCTGAGTGCCAGAAAATTTTTGATATTAAATGGCCAAAGTTTATGAGGCAAATTGTATTAGACCAGGTTTTATGTATCTCAGCATCATATGGCTGTACACCTCAGTGCAAAAATGTATGATATGCATGTAAACCATATGGGTTTTGTCTTGTGCCTTGCTTTCAGAAGAAGGCTATGGCCTGAGTTTGCAGCTGGGAGAAGAGTATGAAAGGAAGAAACAAAAGCTGAAGGAAGAACTTCGTCTGGACTACAGGCGTTATGTAGCTGAGGTATATGGGGCTCAGAAAGATTAACATTGCATGCTGGCTGAAATCATAACTAGGCATCTTCATTCAGGAAGAATTTGGAATTCTTTTCTATTCCAGATATTCAAATAAAAAAGTACAGTCTGGTATATAAATGTATTATTTCTCATTTTTACCTGATTTCCCAAATATATAACCGTTTGAATGTCAAATATAGTACTTTAAAATATAATCAAATGTAGTAGTTTATAGTACTCTAATAAAGTAGTTTAAAGTAGTTTTTAATTTGTTTAGGCCTAACAAGAATGCAAGCACGTTATAACTTTTCTCATTGTAGCGCTGCCTATAAAAAGAATTCATAGTTTGTGATTGTGGTTTTAAGTGGCCCATATCTATATATTTCTAGATTAAAAATTACACAGGCTGTTTTGTTACTGAACCTTTAAGACTGATGTAAATGACCTCTTTTCTGATTGACTGCACTGTATTGTGCTGAAACACAACCTACAGCTTTAGATGTATTGGTTTTTGTGACCTCACAAAAACACTAAATTTAAAACGAGCTGCAGCCTCGTTTTCATATGTGGACTGTATAGACAGTGATTACATACTGCATCAGACTCATTTATTTAAAAAAAAATAGGAAAATTCGGGCCGTTAAAAGTGCATTAATATTCAGCATCAGGCAGGCAGGAAGAATTTTTTAGATAGAAACAGGAACTTGGCAGCCTCTTACTTGTAATGTGATTTGAATTTGAGCATATGAAAGTCACCTTCAGAAATGTTCTTCATTAGTGTTTATAACTGTAGAACATCTTGCATGTTCTAAATTCTTTTGCCCATAATGTTGAGCTTATATTGTCTTTACCTTGTAGAAAAGAGAATTTGGTGCTGGTGAGGCATTCCCTCAACCCCAAACACAGTCTGTTCTCATCAGAGAGAGAAGATCTGGCAAGGTGTGTGTGTGTGTAGTCAAGAACTGATGCCAACTTCTCATAGTAAAGAGCAGAACTACATAGCATAGAGTTTTTTAAGGGGAATTCTATGTATTTTTTCAAATGTCTGTTTTAGTCAGTCTTTGCGATGTAAGCAGTCATTCAGAGTGGCTTGATGAAAGGGTTTATTGTAGAAAAACTTACTAACTCAGATTTTTTTTTACAGTGGTGGTGATAGGAACCAGGGGTCAATGTCTATAACACAAGTATAGCCATTTTATTTACCTTCCAAAGCCACCAGTGAACCTATGTGTGCCTTCTGAGTTTTTACTGTAATGTTGATGATGGTAAAATAGTGGTGAATCTGAAAAATAAATCTGCATGTACCTCTCCTCCATGAATTGCTTTTAAAAAAACATTTCCCATCAAAGCCTTCTCAAAACCATCATAAAACAATGTCTCATACGTCAGGCAGCATATTTGTAACCCTTTCCATGTAATAACTTTTTGTGAGGGAGCTCTTAGAGGTATTGAACTCTTCAGATGTCTGGTTCCTATCACCACCATTGTAAACATTTTGACTTTCAGTTGCTCTGAATGACTTTGTTTACATCCCTTTTTAGTCTTTATCATGTCAGCTTTTGCAGTGCTGATTTTGAAGAAGTATGCAATATTCAAATGAGCCGCTAAGCATTCACTGAATGTTTTAAGCTGTGTTCAAGAAGACATTTTAGTGTCCCTCCAAAACGTATCTCTTGCCATTGATGTGCATGCAGTGTTATTGTGTGCTTTGAGCATACTGACCATTCGCAGCTGTTCTTTGGACTTTGGCAAAAATAATGCAGGCCAGTCTTTAGCCATGTCACCTTAAGGAAGGCATATTGCAATTGCAGGTATGTAGTAATATAGTCAAAATATCGTATTGTGTCCCTGTCGTGCAGCCCTAACTATTGAAATACTGGTTTTATGACCACCTCTAAATACAGCCTTTCCGTCGCTAGACTCATTTTTTTTATTTTTTTTAAAAATCACAATATTTATTCATATTCATTAGCAAAAACGTAGTGTTTTGCAATGCATCTTATTCCCCAATATCATTCAGCCATTTTTTACACATTTGCACATTGAATGACTGGCAGACTTTTGCCTAGGTCATAACCTGAGCTGTGTTGCACAGACTTGTTGACACTAAGAGATTAGGTGTCCAGTAGCAACAGTTTGAGTTGACATCCGTTACCAGACGTTTGTTACCTGATTGTACGCCACTATTGTTTGGTACTGATTCGGCAAGCTGGATTAATAACTCTGATTAGACGTTACATGAGTATTTCCCACCTTGTACATTTCTATGTACTATGTTGTTCTATGTTTATTTTTTCTTCATTTACTTTGTGATGTTGGATGCGATCATAAATGGAGGATCATATATCTTAAGTTATTATAGTACAAAGAGTAGCCATTTCACTGGTTTTCAAGTAAATGAAAGAAATGTTTTTGATCAGTTTATATTCTGATTTAGAATTTTTTTTTACAGGACAAGCTGCGAGATGACCGAATTGGAGAAAACGAGCTCTTTCTCCGAGGGCAAGAAGAAACACAGAAAATAAGGAAAACTGCAAAAACACCACAGGTGTGTGTGAAACCTTTTTCATGGTTCTTACAAAGGCGGTGACTAGTTAGTGCTGCTGGTCAACAAACAAACATAGACCCCGTCAGCAGTTGTTAAATCAAAGACTGCAACTGTGTTGTTTTTTGTTGCTTTTTTGTGATGGAGGGAGTTTTCCCAGTTATTATCCCATATTATTATTGTTGTTCCCACTTACTGTCTGTTGGACAGTGCTTCTTACCGGTGAGGGTGGAGGCTGATGCATGTTTCTCTGCAGTATGTCTAACCAGCCATCACATTTTTGAACTGCTTTTCACAAAACATCACAGGCCACTTGGAGGAGAGGGCTAACTGCTCAGTTCTTGTGAGATTGTTTACCTTTGTTGCAGTAACGGCCACTACTATTCTGGAAAAGCTTGACACTAGATGTTTGAACTTTGCTGTGAGGATTTGATAGCATTCAGCCACAAGAGCATTAGTGAGGTCAGGTGCTGATGATTGATGATTAGTTATGGATCACAGACTCCACTCCAGCTCACCCCAGAGGTTTTAGATGGAGCTCTATCACAGTTCCACTGCTTCACAGTCCAATACTTGGGGGCTTTATACCCCTCTAACCGACACTTGGCATTGGGCATGGTGACCTTAGGCTCATGCATGGTTGCACCTTAAAGAACCTGAATTTGCAGATTAAGACTGAACACTTTTTCTGCAGTGTAAATAAGTAGAAACTAAATACCACTGGAAACTACAGAGTATCAGCAACAAAAACAAAAATAGAACTGTGTAAATCCAGTACGTATATTAGAAGGAGTATTTGCAAGACGTTTACAAGTGACTAAATAGTACAAGTTTTCACATCTGTGCTTGAATTTTAGTAAATACTAGAACTTAACTACTAGGATAGATTGATGGGTATAGATAGATAGATAGACACGTGAAAATAAGTTAGCACATCCTCTACAGAGAACACACTTCTTCACATTAGAATGCCCAGTTGCTATTTATTAGCTGAATTTAACATATTGTTAAAACATAAATTGTGACTTGTGCAAAAGTTGTGGCACATTTTATATTTTCTATGTTTATGTTTTTCCAGTATGTTCTGATCAGGAAAAAAAAACTGAAATTATGCACTAAAATTGGCAGAAAATGGCATAGCTGAGTACAGAATGTTACCTTATTTTCACTTAGAAAATCAACAAGACATGAATTTTTGCATGTAACGGTAGGTGGGTAGGTAGGTAGGGAGGTAGGTAGGTGGGCGGGTAGGACTTTTTGTATATGACAGAACTTGAAGTAGTCGTTAGTGAAGTTTGTAAAACATAAGTACATACGCATGCATCATTCCAGATGACATAAAGAGCAGAATAACACCATGTTAAAATATAGAGGTACTAGGAACACTGCAGACTGCTATTAACCAAGTTGCATGCGTTAAGCAGCTTGGTAGCGTTCAGTCTGACTGAGGTCAATACCTTCCTAGCCGTAGGGTGACTCATAATAGAGCCTAATGGCTGTGGGTAGGACCGACCTCAAATAGCACTGTTTGGCACATCACAGTTGTATCATTCTGTTGCTGAAACACTTCCTGTTTAGCCAAAAGGGCTAGAGGATTAGCATCATTGTGCAAGATAGCCAGTGCCCTTTGTTCTGTCACAGCCTCTAACTAGGACCGAACCTTTTAAGTAGGTAATTGATCTCCTTACAATCTGTTACACTTTGTGTCATATATGGTAATCTCTATGTCTCTCTTTGGGTCAAGGCTCCAGGCAGAGATCTTTTTGGCTCCACAGCTACCAGACATACACTACTTTCTCCAGAATTACGAGGGCAAAAGAGCAGCCCGAGCCCAGAGAGGCTGCTGTTCTCCAGGAGGGACGTTGGCACAGTAACAGAGCCGGCAGTCAGGGCTGCACCGAGGCCACCACGGAAACACTGGGAGGAGACGGTGGAGCGCTGGGACAGAAGGCCCAGGCGCCGTTACAGCACTGAGGAAGAGCTGGACTCTGAGGAGGAGCAGGAGGAGCTTGAGCTTCTGCAGAAGAGCAAACCCAGAAACCGCCAGGAGCCTGCACAGCCAGGCAGGAGAGAGAGGAGGCTTCACCACACAGCAAACAGGTGCCTCAGAAAACTTCTATATGGCTGTCACTGTAGCTTGTGTTAGAATTGGGTAGTCTAATGATTATTCTGATGATTAATTGAGTATTCAGTTTAATTAATTGAGTATTTTCAACCTTTCAGAGATTCTGAAATATTGTTTTGAAAGAAGATAAACAGGGCAAGACTTTGTTAAATAAATATAAAAATATACAAAAAGTAAATAAGCAAAAAAATACTTATAAATAAGTGTGCCAATCATAGTCTGTTTCTTACAGTAATTGCAGTAGTAAATTAAGTAGATTAAGCTACATATACAGCCTGTTTTGAATTAATTTGTTTTGTGAGGTCATGAAAAACTACTAATTTACATAGTTCACCCATTCAACTTACTGCTCTACTGATTGTTGTTGGTTGTAAGGACTGTTTCAGCCTGGACTGCTTTTTTGAAAGAGACACAATACAGGGCTGTGAGTCAGAACAGAGATCATTTAAATATGTCAGTTTTACAAAGTAACAAAGTCAGCTTGAGTATTTCTATGGGGTAAAGAGAGGTTGGAAAAAGGTCATGTAAAAGTAAATTGCAGCTGTTATCAGTATGTAAAACTGCAAAAACACCATAAGAAAAGTAGAAGAAGAATTTAGAAAGACTATGAATATGAGCCTTTTAAAATATGCTTTAACATCAAATTGCCAACTAGCTTGATTTTTATTTCTTTCTAGTATCTAGTATTTGGGTTTAAATCTACAATCATGGTGGACCTGTTTTTTTTTCTTAGAAAATACCATATTGCATATATACATTAACAATTGCAATTTGCTTTGTAATATATCACAAGCACATTGATGAACTCTTATTGTGATGTGGTTAAAGATAAGCCTGCATTATATCACTCAAATGTAAATAATTTGTTAGTAGGATCGTGTGAATGCATTGATTTATCCCAACACCAAAAACACATCTGTATTTGGTCAGGATGCTCATAGCACACAATAAAACATTCAGTGATTGATTAGAGGCTCATTTGCATATTGTAGAGTTTAGCAATATCAGTTTTTTGAAGGCTAATATCGCAGTAACAATTAACAAACAATACATTGTGCAGCCCAAATTTCTGTGTTGGGTTTGTGTTTGTTAACGGAACCGTAAAAACAATGTTTTTATGTAATAATTATTTGAGTTGCTCTACATCAGAGTTCATACAACAACCAATCAGTTTCTCTGCACTTAAGCCTATTGCTTTCCCACTTAACAGAGTTGCCCAGGAGAGGAGAGAAGTGGAGGTACCTACAGTTAATGAAGAGGAATATCAAGAGGAGAACAACCGAACCCCACTGGCAACATTTAAAACCAAGTACTAATCTCCAGCAATTAGAATAATTGGATTTTTGTTGCTTAGGTTTTAAGTGAAAATGAAACAAGAGTGCATTAATTAGCTGAAGAGGCAGTTTTTCTGTTCCTGCAGAGGGCTGCACTGTACAGATAAATCCTCCTTTATTGATTTGTATCTGCCTGTGATCGGAGAAGTGCTGGGAAGTGGGATCATGTTGGTATTCACTGTTAACGTTGGTCTTTTTAGTTACATTTTAGTTTTTCTATTAACCTGAATCATGGTATCTGTTAGCTAAAGGGGTATGTACACCTCTGTGTGCTGGACTGGGTAAGATATATTGGGCAGCCCGTCAGCGGGATTACATTGATCCATGGAGAAATGGGCGGCTCTGCAGATCAGGCCGTTCTGAAGTGGCTCTCAGGCAGTGAATCGCTTTGATCTACTGGGTGTGTGATGTAGTGGGATGTCGTAGTCTTGCCTAGGCTTCATTGATCTAAGGTGTTAGACAGTTTGAAGTGTGCAAGACTGACCTGTGGTTCACCTCTCTTTGTGTCTACTAGCGTACCAGCACAGGCCCGAGCCACTAGCAAGAAGAACATGGCTGATTTTGCCACAGGACTTATGATTGGTAAGGCTAATAGCTTCAGAGCCAATTATACATGTTCCAGAGAAATGTCCATTGGACCAGCTGAAACGCCTTGCTGTTATTTAATTTGTGGATTTTATAAGCTGTAAGTTTGATTACTCATGTTGAAATGGCTTTTTCCACTGCATTACCCATCCTGAAGGGGTTTTTTTCTGTCACCCTTAAGGTGCTGCTGAGGAAGAGGAGGCCACTCAGAGGAGAAAGGCACGTTACCGACAGGAGCTACTGGAGCAAATGGCGGAACAGCGGAAGAATAAGAGGAAGTGAGTGCATTTTAACTGATTGGACTCTTGAAAGGGAACATCTGAGATGTTCTGACTTGAACATTTCTCATTCTTTTTTTTTTTCCCTTTTTTTTTCAGCGCATGTAAACCTTTAATATAGCTTTTGTTTTTCTACAGCAGTCTGCATTTTTTAACTTCCAGTCAAAAATGGCCATTAAGTACAAGTTGTTCATTTTTCAGGAGATATTTCTGAGGAGATTAGATAAGATTCATTACCCTGATTTATAAATTATAAACTAGTTGCTTAGTAATAGTTTCATTCAAAGTCATTGTGAAATGTTAAACTACCTACAAATGAGATAAAATAGACAGGAAAGATACATTTTTGTCAATATTTATATGTGACTTGTATCTTAAAGGGAAAAGGAGCTTGAGTTAAGAGTTGCAGCTACAGGAGCCATCGACCCAGAGAAACAGGTAAAGACAGAAAATCGACAGGTGACCGACCTTGAAGTATTTCTTTCTAAGACTTTTGGTATTTCTGTCATACTTGTGGCAGGCTGCCATGTCTAAGACATTTGTTGAAACATTCTATAGAGCAATTTTTTATACAAAGACTCTAAACCACTCTAAGCGTCATGCTCTAACTACTAACCTCAATTAGCACCGTAGTAATAGATGTCTTCCAGTGTCTTCTAGAAGTTTGGAATCACTGTTCAATATTTTCTTTAGTATAAATCAAGATAGATGTATGAAATAAATGTACTATACAAGGCCTGTGTGATTCCATAACTTTCAGGTGATTGGTTCAAAGTTAGGAAAGGCAGGGGGAAAAGGAAACTTTTAGATCTTTCCAGAATGACAAACAGAGCTGTAGATATTTCTAAAATGACTGAGAAAGCTGTAGAACTTTTAAGAATGAAACGAATATTAATTATACCTTATAAAAATAATAATGCCTATTAATGCCAGAATGCCTCACATTTTAAATGTGGTAATCTAGTCTTGAGACAGATAATATAAAAAAAAATGATATTATAGGATGATAGATATACAGTATGGACCTTGCAATATATAATAATTAAATCTCATGTATAATATAACAACGCAAATCTTTTTGTGTCTAGTTTGAGTGAAACCACATTCTAAAAGTTATTGTGTGTAAAATAACACCAATTATATATAGAATGAGTCATTCAGACCTCTGAATGGAGTTCTAAAGATGAGATAAATGCTGAACGTTAAATCTGTTATCATTATATGATCCATTTGTTTTATTTCCTGTACCTGGACTTCAACAATACGATAGGAGGTCTGTAAAAATGTGTTTGTGGCCAAGTGCTCATAATGTTACAGTATGTCTGATCTTAAGGTCCTGCATTACCCAGTTGGTAAAAAGATGTTTGTGCATATCTGATTCTAGACTTTGATTACAATAAATTTTCTGAGAAACAGAAAAAATGTGAATAAACAGTTTTAGTAGTTGAAAGTGAACATTTATGTGTGGCATCTAATGATTGACTTGTGCTGTTGTATTTTTAGCCCAACAAGATGCAGGTAAATGTGTGGACTTTTATACAGTAGAGGGCAGGCTTGCTTTGCTCTTTTGGTGTAGGACTGTTTTCTGTTTTCTGTTTTGCAACATACACATGCAGTTATATCGTTTTGCTTAAGTTGTCAATTTATAGAGATAATACAAGCTGGTTATCCATTTTTTGCATTACCCATCTTCATTTGCCATTTATTTTCAGAATTTGTAATACAACATGCCTTTTATTTCAGTATGTGACAGACTGCTTGACTGGTCTCCCCCAGCCTGACAGGATCAAACAGTTTGGTGCTGTGAGACGGGAGTATGAAGGCAGGAGGCGGGACGTGCCCTACAGGCCAGGACTGGGGCTGGACACGCTAGGGGCAGACTCGGATAGGAAAACCCAAGAGGAGAAGTCTCTGCAGGGGTTAGAAGAAAAAAAAGAGCCTCCTGAGAGGCCCCGTGTGGCCTTCCAGTCTCCAATCCTGGAGTACAGTGCAGCTTTGGGGCACTTGGCTAATGCAGCAGGTCCAGGTTTTGGGGCTGAGGCTGGGGCCTGGCAGGGTGTTGGAGGGATTACCCCCTTTAGTGAAGACTTTCAGAAAGGCCTCTCAGGAACTCTTGGAGAAATGGTTAGCCCCAGGTATGCTTCATAATTCATATTTACAAATGCTGGGGTTTATGCCTTTTGCATTGTTGTTAGTTATGCACTGATCCTATACACTAAATCGGTATTGGCACCTTTATCACATTTTTCTGTCACATTTTTAAACTGTTTGTTGTCTTAGCCAGGGACAACTCAGGGCACTAGGGGCACCCCTCCGATAGCCGAATCTGAAGGGGTGGCAGTTATAAATTAGTAAAAAAAAAACAAACAAAAAACAGAGTATTGATTATGTCTTGATGTAAACAGTTCTGTTATTGGCACTGAAGAAACTGGAATTTACAGAAATGTCACAGTTTAGTCACTCTGTCTCTCTCCACTTCTCTCTCATTGTTTACTCAAAAACAACTGAGGTGTTTACTTATAGGCAAGTTGCTAATTGTAGAGAGATTGAAACAATCTAAGTGTTGATTCTGTTTTGTTTTGTTTTTCTTCTTTTGTAAAATAATAATGAACACAGTAGCAGTGAGATACAGTATGGATAAGAGTAGTAGGATCAAAAAATCTAATGATGCTCATATCTACATCGCACAAATCTGGTCATTCTTTTTCCTCCGTGTCCCACTTGAAGGTTTTTATCTGAAATGCTGATGACATCTTACACAGACTGATTAATTATAGTTAACTGTTTTTGTATTTTGATTTTAGAGTTACAGGAGTTCCTCCTCCACTAGCACCTGCACTCTCAGAGGTATACTCCACTCCATATGATGATGCCTACTATTACTATGGAGCCAGGAATCCCCTAGATCCTAATTTAAACTACTGTAAGTGTTTTTCGTACAGCATTGTGCTCAAGGGAGCATTTTTGTTAGATATTTATAATTTAACTTGAGTTGCCAGACTATGAAGACAATTCTAGACAGCCTTGGCTGAGTTTAGTAGTTGGACAAAATGTGACTGCAGATTTGCTTCTGCATACCTGAAGAATGTTGGCCATTACTTTAAATTACAGATAATATACTACATTTTCTGTTGACTAAGATCAATACTAGGTTAATGTGCTACAAAGTAGCATGTAAGTAGTTAAGTAATGTACAAATACATTAGTGCAGTGTAAGACATTAGTTACTAACCTAAGAAGAATTACATAACACTGGCTAAGAATAATTTGTAAACATACCTCATTGAGAATGCACAGCAAGGTGGTGGTGGTATTATAGTTCATATAGGCCTAATTAATCAATCACTAAACTGACAATTTCAGTGAGGACTGATTGTAGAGGACTTATTCAGTCATCTTTCAGTTTTCATGCATCTTCATGTATTTTATCTTTGCAGTATTTGTTTGTAAAGCAAGTGCTTTTGTTATATAGATGGGCCTCCTGCAGCTGCAGTACCTTCGTTGCCTAATCTTCCCTCTGGAGCACATACATCCATCCTGCAGCCTCCTGCTGGACTGCTTGCACAGTGAGTGCTCCTGCACTGCTCCTGTCTCTAAGGGTGCATTCAGATTTGGCAGGTTTGGTTTGATTAAAATTATAATTGCGGTGTAAATGCTTTGAAAGTGTGGTTTGTTAGTGAGAACGCTGCCATCTGAACTCTGGTATGCACCAAATAAAGAGAACTTTGGTGCATTTCATTCAAAGTATGAACACAAAGGTGTCTAAACGGACCAAAGACTACATGAACCATCGTTTCCTCTGTGCATAACTTCTTTAATATGTGGGAAGGCAGAGTTTTAAAATGAGGTTGAGGCACATTTAAAGCCATCATAAAATAAAATTAGAAAAATGTTAAGCAAATGTTTGGTGGAGGGCTAAACACAAGCTCACACATTGTTTTTCGCTTGAGATTTAATGCCTTTTGTATATATAAGCAACCTACATATCTATGCTGCAAATGAAAATAAAAACATTGTCTCCAACACCCAATTGTTTTTTTTGTGGACAAGATGAGCTTAGACGTAAATACGTCTAATTTTTTGTAATCAAAGTAATTATTAGTAGAGTAAAGAGGCTTTATCAAATGCAGCAAATTTATTTTTGGTCACAAAGAAGAACAGCAAATGTCAGCACAATGAAATCGAATAAATTTAGTATGACTGTTGACTGTTGACAATTAATATGGAGGTATGGGCACTGACATTGTTTACTGTAGCCTAAGTCTTGGCTAGTTAATGAATGTATAACTTACCCTGCCAAATGGAGGCTGTACTTTTGCCTGGCTACTCCCACTGTGAGAGGATGACTAAAAGCACATTCTACTTCAATTTGTATTAAAAGTTACTATTTCAGAGTGACAAGGTTTTGCAAAAAAAAAGTGTATAAAAGATACACGGGTAATCCAGTCCATTACAAATTTTGAATTTCAGTTCATATCTGTGCCAATTTTTTTTCTTATACCCCATCAGTAAGTAGTATTTTTAATGCCTCTATAGATCAACTTCACAGCATGGCGTTGCCCTCTCTGGAATGGGGATTGGGATGCTTCCTCCTGACAGGCATCAGCAGCCCAAAGAAAACGCTCTGAGCTACAAGGAAGCACTTAAACAACAGGTACACTATAAAATGTATATGTCTGGTAAAAGCAGTGCACCTCTCCCCAGCCAGCAGTGCCTATTATAAATCATACATGTCTGTTAGCACGAAGTCCTGCTGTGGTGCACTGAACTGTGTTGTAAAAGGCTGGAAGTATAAGATTCCTGCAGTGATACTGTGGAAGGTCTGGAGTGTCTTGAATGTATGGAAGAAATGTCTCTTTAGTGATGTTTGCAGATACAGATTCCTTTGCAGTCAAATAGGTTCCTCCTGCAAAAAGAAATTAGTAATGAGCAAGACGTTGGGAGCACGTTTTGGGAGTATAGAGATTCAGAATGATTTTTGTGCCTCCTGATGGCCAAAGAAAAGGAGTCAGTGGAATTCTTTTATTGCCACACAACAATTTTAGTGGTGCTTGGATTTGTTGGAGCTCTGTGTATAAATCCACAGCAACCAATGAACAAGACAATAGTGTTTTTTATGTACTGTCAATATCCACTCTATGCTTGGGAAAGCATATTACGATGTAATTTATTATGATAAAATAGCATCAGGTTGCCCATTCCTATATGATGACAAATAAATCCCCTTATTGAACCTTCTTCTCTTTGTTCAAGTGAAAATAATTACCTAGTAACAGGAGTTCTGGACACTAATACTTTTGATCTGTGATGCAGATTGAAGAGAGGCAGGAGAGGAGACGGCGAGAAAGAGAGGAGAGAGACCACTATGACGCTAAACTGGAGGCTGAGATGAAAGTCTATGAACCCTGGGGGAGAGGAGGAGGTGGAGCTCCACTGAGAGATGACCGAGGCAACCTCATAAGTAAGGCCACAGTTTCTGCTACTCAGTATAGGGTGCATCTCATGGGTAGGATTCAGATTTGAATCTTAGTGGTTTCTCCGAAATGTCTTTGTTTCTAGGCGATCTGAAGCGAATGCACAGGACGAATGAGGAGGCATACATGAACCCAGAATCCCGTGGTAGAAGAGCCACAGAACCAGCGGCTCTGATCAGAGCCATATCAAGAGCAGAGGACAAGGACCCTGCTGCAGACAAAGTACCAGGTACCACACAGAATGTCTGTGTCCAAACAGCCTAATTTCTATTTGTTCCATCTGTATCATGTCAAGTACCACAGACAATTTTGATGCATTTCTCTGTACTTAGAAAAGAACTTAAAACCCGTTGTCTTGAATCTTTCTTAAAACGAAAACTATTAAGCGGTTGCTTAATTCTGTGAGTAAACGTGAAATATGTTACTACACTCACCGAGCACTTTATTAGGAACACCTCCTTGTATCTGCACTCACTGTCCATTTTATCAGCTCCACATACCGTACAGGAGCACTTTGACTGTAGTCCATCTGTTTCTCTGCATACTTTCACCCTGTTCTTCAATGGTCAGGACCCCCACAGCACCACCACAGAGCAGGTATTATTTGGGTGGTGGGTCATTCTTAGCAGTGCAGTAACACTGACGTGGTGGTGGTGTGTTAGTGTGTGTTGTGCTGGAATGAGTGGATCAGACACAGCAGCACTGCTGGAGTTTTTAAACGCTGTGTCCACTCACTGTCCACTCTATCACACATTCCTACCTTGTTTGTCCACCTTGTAGTTGTAAAGTCAGAGACGCTAGCTCATCTGTTGCTGCACAGTGTCTTGGTCATCCACTGGTCCTTCATCACTGGTCACAGGATGCTGCTCACATGGTGCTGTTGGCTGGATATTCTTGGTTGATGGACTATCCTCAGTCCAGCAGTGACACTGAGATATTTAAAAACTCCAGCTGCACTGCTGTGTCTGATCCACTCGTACCAGCACAACACACCACCACCACGTCAGTGTCACCGCAGTGCTGAGAATGATCCGCCGCCTAAATAATACCTGCTCTGTGGTGGTCCTGTGAGGGTCCTTACTGCTGAAGAACAGGGCAAAATGGGGCTAACAGTATATACAGAGAAACAGATGGACTATGGTCTGTAATTGTAGAACTACGAAGTGCACCTGTGTGGTAGGTTAAGCTGATAAAATGGACAATGAGTGTGGATACAAGGAGGTGTTCCTAATAAAGAGCTTGGTGAGTGTATATATTGCATATTTGAAAATACAGCTATTACAACCTAGCAATACAGGCTGTAAAGTAAGATGGACATAAACCGATTTAATAATTGAACTTTGAAACAGAGCAGCACACTAAAGTCAATTCCAGTTATATTCACTTTCCCTAAGATATCCAGGCAAGAGCATGTAAAAAGTCATTAGTATAGTGCTAATGAAAAGCTGATCCCATTTCCAAAAGAATGAATTGTAGATTTAATGAGTGTTTATACAAAACTACGTTTTGCATAAATGTTTGTTGAATTCAGCAATTTCCCTTTGACTCTGAATGTGAGTTTTGAGTTTTTTTTTTTTCAGGGACTAGAGGGGGGAACGGATCAAAATTATTATCTGGGGTAACTGATGGTGTGCTACATGTGGCAGATAGAGATTAGGTTAAAAAAAACTGCAGTATTTCTTTTGAGAACTGTCTGTTTTGGTCAGAAAGAAACTGTCATCGTCTGCCTTTGTCACAGACAGTTTACCAAATGAACAGGAGTGGCCATCTTTCCATGTACCATAAAGTAGCTGATTTTTGCATTGCTTCAACTGCATGCCTTCACTCTGCTGATGAATGTGACTCCTTGTTTACTCCTGTAGGTTTCACCTTTACCCAGCCCTCACCATACGCCCGAGGCAATGTCTTCACAGACCGTCCCACGCCCCAGCAGCTCCATGAGCAGGAGAAGTACAAAGAAAGTCTAAAACAGCAGGTAAAGAGCACTTCACCTCTTTGAACTTGTCCTTCTGGAATAGCTTCTGATAATGTGTGGGCTTTGGGTGCACAGATTGAGGAAAAGCGGAGGATGGATGCAGAGAGGAGGGAGAGGTTGAGGCTGGAAGAGGAGCGGGAGGAGAAGAGGCTGGCGGAGCAGAGGGCACGGATCCAGAGGGAGTATGAGGAGGAACAGGAAAAGAAGAAACGGAAGGAGATGGAGGTGTGCTTCACTGCTTTTCACACCATTGCAGAGGTCTTCCACTTCACTCCAGAAATATGAAATGTGACCTTGTGTTTTTTATTTTTTTTGTTTTTGGCCACCTGGGTTTAATTTTCATTTGATTTTCAGAGGGAATTTTGACTTTTGTTATGGAATGTTAGTCTTATAAAACACAATCAGCCACAGGCCTCTATAGCAACAAAACGGGGTTTATATAAAATTTGGTGGTTGTCTCACCTGTGCATTATAAATTTCACCACATTAAATTTTTGAGGCTGTGACATTAATATTTGAACAGAACTACTATACTGCTACAACAGTGCTGATAATATGCTGTAATGCTCAGCTTAATTTCAGAAGTGACACTGTTGTCTTTCATCTCAGATGAGACAAAAATTGCAGTGACAGATTTCAGATGCTCCCTTCTCTTGCAGCAAAGTGCCAAAAATCAGGAGATTATCCGGCAAGCTGAGGAACGGCGCAAAGAGGCCGAGGTGAAGAGGAAAGAAGAAGAGGCAAAGGAGAGTGAGGCTGTCAGACAGCAGTACGAGCGAGAGAGGCAAGCGCGGCTGGAACAGGTTAGTGATGGCAGCTGTTCTGGATGTTGTGAATTAGTCAGTGCAGGGGAGAGACATAGATTGATGAATCAATAGATGAACAGATGAATTCAAGGACAGATGGATAGAGAGATGCATGGATGGATTCATAGAGGGATTGATGGACGAATCAATGGATGGATCGATAGATGAATTGATAGATAAATAGATGGTTTGATGGATGGATTAAAAGATGGATAGGTAGATCGATGGTTGGATGGACAGATCATTGGATTGATATCTACATTGGTAGATGAATCGATAGATGGGTTGATGGATAAATCAATAAATAGGTGGTCATGCTCATCTCGCATTTGCCAAAAAACATCTAGATGACCCCAGGACTTTTGGGTGGAACTTTTTAGAAGACATAGGTTCCAGTACATCTGGTGTAAAGCCAACACCACATTCTACCATAAGAACATCATACCAACAGTCAAACATGGTGGTGGTAGTGTGATGGTCTGGGGCTGCTTTGCTTCTGCAGGACCTGGACAGCTTGTGATAATTGACAGAACAATGAATTCTGCTCTCCATCAGAAAATCCTGAAGGCGACCTTACACGGGCAGTTCATGCTTAAAAACTGTCCAATGCAGCCGATTTAAAACAATTCTGCAAAGAAGAGTGGGCAAAAATTCCTCCTCAGCGATGTAAAAGCCTTATTACAAGTTATTGCAAGCATTTTATTGCAGTTATTGCAAAGGGTGGCACAACCAGTTATTAGGTTTAGGGGGCAATTACTTTTTCACATTGGTGAATGGAATAATTGGAATGGTCATTTAAAACCTGCATTTTGTGTGTACCTGTTTGTGTGTTGTCTTTATCTATTATTAAAAGTAGTTGGATGATCTGAAACATTTAAATATCTCAAATTAACGAAAATAGAAGAAATAGGGCGCGCAAATGCATTGATAATCGCTAAATAGTAGGATCAGTAGATAGATTGAGGAACAATAGATTGGTGTATGGAAAGGTGGAATGAACAATAGGTAGGTAGTTCAGTATACGGATGGATGGATGGATGGATAAATGAAGTTTGATGATTATTTAAAAGCATACATACAGTCCTACAGTACATTTAACATAATAGCAAGGATAAAAACACACAGTCTAAAGGGTTTTTTCCATTGTGGTCTCCTTAAAGATCAAATAAAAAAACATTTCTAACATAGAATGATTGCATTTTCTGTAATATTTAGTAGTTGGCTGTACATATGGATATGTTACTGCACTGATTGTACCCAATGTTTAACAAATGAAAAGGACCACCGGTCGGAGTCCCCACCCATCCCCGCTGTGCAGAAAAGACTCGGCTATCAGCCTCCTCCGAGACCACCTTCACTGGACAGCCAGCGCTCGGCTGCCATTCTTTCTGTGAGTAACACACACACGAGCATATAGAAGGCATGTGCTGCTATTAAAATTTAATAGGAAAAAAAATTTCTGATTTTAAATTCTGATATTTTTATTTATTTATTTATTTTTTCCCAGTTTTTATAGTCAAACTTCTTTACTTACTAGAGCAATAACTGGGACATCACTGATGAACACAATGGATGGAATGGAGCGGAAGGAAAGCATGTTAATGTCTTGTCCTCTGTATGTGTGCTACCACAGGCTTCCTCACTTTCAACTCCTCGCTCCCCCCCAGTGCCTGCACGGAGGAACCAAATCAGAGCAACAGGTAGATCAGAGCGTCTTCTCCAGAGAATTCAACTTATTTATAGCCCTTTGTTGCAGACATACATAGGGTGCCAAGAGATGTCTTTTAATGCATCGACTCCTGACAGTGAAAGACTGACGCATTGAGGTTAAGGCTAACTGTGCGTGTGCCTGCGTTTCAGAGGAACAGCAAGGTGTGATCAGCGAATTGTCGGTCCTGCGTAGGCGCCTGAGAAGTGAGCAGAGGCGTCTTGAAGGGCAGTTACTGCAGTCAGACAGAGAAGACACACAAAGTCCCATGAAGAGCAGGTACTTATGTGATAAATACACAGTTACCCAGTTAAAAAAATTCCATTCAACATGAAGAATTTACACAGTGAATTGGATATGCTACATAATATTGAGTCAACAGTTTAAAATTTCTACGCTACTGAGATGGACTGTGTTGTTGTATCTAATCAAAACAAAGTAGGACGGAAAGGACAATAAATTTACTACAATGCTAATATTAGCTCTATTACACAGTACACAACAAACACAAAGCTTCACAAAAACCTAATAAATGTTAACTCTTAACTTCTTTTATGACAGCAATTCTCAAGTTTCTTTTTTAACTCGGGCTTAAATACTATTAATCCTCATCAGCAAATTGTGTAAAACATAAGGAGGATTTAAGAGACCTATATTTTAAAGAAGGAAAAAGAAATCATGCTATGTAATTCTTTAGAATGTAAAGCATTTTTGCTTAGTGGTGTAGTAATTGCTCAAGGTGACCTGAAAAGGACCAGAGGTGTCCACCTCTTTTGGAAGGCCTTCCCCGATTGATCAGAGTCTCCACCCTGATTGGTCCAAAAGCTGTTTATGCTCCTAAGAGGTCAAACTAAGCTGAAAGTTAGCTGGCTAAGCAACAAATCCTGCTACGTGACACAGGCCCCAGCACTGTCCTAACAGGGCAGCCTTTCATGTGAATATAAAATAAGTATCATTTGAAATTATTCACACTTGAAATGTCTGTTTTGAGTTGTGTGCTACATTTCTTATAAGTTGGGATTCATTTGTTAAAGCTGTTTAAACATTAGGTTAAATGAAGATTTCTTTTAATCTGTCAACTGCATCTGTAGTGTATAGTAATTTACTGCAGACAATAACTGACCCATTTCCCTGTGCTTACTAAAATAACAAAACCCACTGGGTTCCAGCACTCTTAATAGAAGCCAATGGGAAGGTGCTGAAGCTAAAGAAATTGTCCATAGATTTCTATTTTATGTCTCTTTTGAGTCAACATTTTTTTGTTCTTTTACTAAGTACAGGGAAACATTTCAAAGATCGCCTGTGGTAATCTACTGTCAGCCACAGATGTGCCAAATGGGGATTAGCTTGAGAAACACCAGTGTTCCTTTACTCGACCTCACTGCATGTGAACATACTCTGTAATATAACATTTTGTGTAGACAGGACATGAGATCAGTGCTTGAGTGAACTCAAGGCTCTATCTGACTTGTTCACAACTCTGTGCTTTTTGTATAAATTTGAAAGGATGCGACATCTCCAACCCTTTTCTTTTGAAAGGGTTGAAGATATGACGCATGAAATGGCAGATTTTTAAACTAAATCATGTGTTCGGTCTTCAATAAAATGAATCACAGAGTGCCTTTACATGGTGTATGTGATAAATCAGATCCATAACCAAACCCATGTGAGAATTTCTTTGGGTGGTTGCCCATTTTAAGGCTTTTGGGTGTTTGTAAGCTGGTTATCCTACATATACCAGGCTTTGAAACTGCTAGAGGACTGTATGTGGAAGGTGGTATCACTACTGTCCTGCTCAAACATGGAAGTCATCCAATTGCAGCATGCTAACATCGCCTATTTAAAGATCCCCAGTACAAAGATAAGCATGTGAATTGCATTATAGCATGTTTTTGGTAATGAAATAAGGAGTCAAGGCTTGTGTTTGTATGTATATGTATGTGTGAACAGAGACCACCCGCCGCTGGATGTTTTTGACATGGCCAGACTGCGCATGCAGGTTCCTGCTAGAAGACCCCCCTCAAACACAAGACCGATTAACACGCAAAACATAGAAGATTTCAATCAACTCAAGTACAGAGGTTAGTATTTCATAAGATATCTGGTGTCCTTTTGTATGTGTGTTTTTGTGTGAATGTGTGATGGTTAAATATGGATTTAATTTGTGTACGATTGTGTGAATAGATGGAGGTTTTGATTATGGTAGACAAAAATCTCTTCTATTCCATAGACCAAATCAGAATGTTTATTAACATAAAAGTTGGCTAAACTTCTGGGTGGATATCTGTCAGCTGGTCAGCAGTAAATACAAACAGAACAGACTGAACCAAAACACTGGCAATAATTGTAAAACCTTGTTGTTTCTGAGGCAGTCATGTGAAATGTAGTTTTTAGCGTTCTTAATGTCTGAAGTTTCTTTCTGATATGGTCAGCTCACTAATCTACACACGTCTTGGAAATAAATGTAACAGAGATGCAGCTTACATAGCTAGCTAACAGTCCTGAGCAGTAAGGAACTTATTTGGACTGCACCAAGAGCCTCAAATCAGAAAGTTAAGAGTGGAGTCTCTCACATCGTGCCTGCCTCCAAACAGCCCAGGCTGGGTTTACCAAAAGCATCTTGGCACAAAGACGATTAGCACTGCTTTTTTACCTCTTAAAGATGATTTTGGGGAACCAGGGCCTAGTGGGCAGAGCTGGCAACTGTGTTACTGGTGACAAGCTGGCATTAGGCCTGATAAACAAATATTGTTTCCCCACAGACATGCGGTCACTGTTTTTTCTAACATTTTCAGGATAACATTTAGGGAATATTTGCGAATGATCAATGCAGCCCACTCTTAAATAATTGTCAGGATTAGTTCAGAATCATGTAATGCTACCGGCATTATCCACCTAGGAGTAAGTCCTTTGCTGTTGTGATGTAACACTGATTTATCCTCTTCTGTTCTTCCCTGCTAGATGGACAATTCAAATTCATATTTTATAAGTGGTGCAAAACTGATATCACAATACTTGAAAACATTTTCATGATGTATCTTCTAGGGTTTAAACAGTTAGAACAGACACACTGTATGAGCAAAACAATAATACTACTTTTTAATGAAACATAGAATTGGTCAGTATTCTTTTAATACTGACAGTGTAATGAAATTTCAAAAAATTCTGTCTAGAACTACATTTTTATGTTTTGAGTCGACAACTGATCCGAGTACAACAAATTTCTGTCCAAAACTGACTCAAACCAGCCCATCACTCAGTATCAAATATAACCTGACAGGATAGCACAGGGGTGCACAACTCCAGTCCTGGATGGCCGGTGTCCAGCACAGTTTGGTGAATTACCTGCTTCAACAGACCTGATTACACTTTACATTTACATTTACAGCATTTAGCAGACGCTCTTATCCAGAGCGACTTATAAAAACTGCTTTGTCTATCCAGAGAAAGTATCTTCGCTAGTTACCAATAGGTTTAGAGAGAAAGCCAGTCCTGAGCTCAGATACTGCTAGAATCAGAAAGTCATTATTGACACCTAGAGAAAAAGGAATAGAGGTAAACACAGAACAGTGCAATACAATACATAAGTGCTGTACAATACATTACAATCAATACTTAATTCAGTGCTCATTTAAGTGCTGTATAAAGAGATGTGTCTTCAGTCTGCGTATTGAAGACAGCGAGAGACTCTGCGGTACGGACAGCCAGTGGGAGTTCGTTTCACCACCTGGGTGCCAACACAGAGAACAGTCTTAATGCTTGCCTTCCACGCGCCTTAAAGGATGGCGGGTCAAGCCGAGCTGTACTCAAAGCTCAAAGGGCTCGTGGTACAGTTCGAAAGTTTCACCATTGCCATCAATTAGGGAGGAGCTGGTCCATTTTTGGCTTTGTAGGCAAGCATAAGGGTTTTAAATCTGATGCGTGCAGCTACAGGAAGCCAGTGAAGGGAGCGCAGCAGTGGGGTGACGTGGCTGAACTTTAGGAGATTGAAGACGAGCCGCGCTGCTGCATTCTGGATGAGTTGCAGAGGCTTGATGGCCTGCATTGGAAGACCAGCCAAGAGCGAGTTGCAGTAGTCAAGCCTTGAGATGACAAGAGACTGCACTAGCACCTGGGTGGCCTAGACACTTTTCTTTTAATTACCAGGTTAAGTGGGTGTGTTTGAGCAGGGAAACCTCCAAACTGTGTTGTGCACCCCTGGGATAGCACCAGTAACCATGTAGTGACAAAAATAGCTAGAATAATAGCTAGGGTAAATAAAACACATAAAACAACATAAAATATGATATAATCAAATAATCAGCTGTTCGTAATTTAAGTTTAAATTCTGCTTTTACAAATTTTGTCAAGAAATGCCAAAAAAAAAAAGCATCTCAAATGTTTCTTTAGCGTAGATAAACTTTACATACTGTGCTGTTCTCATGCCGTGCAATGCTGATACAGCATTGGCAATTTTTTTTTTGTGGCCGCACTACCTTTTCTTTAACCAATTCACTGTCCTTGGTGCTGAGGGGTGGGGGAAATAATAATATAACTTACTCAGCCACTGGCACCACACTTTGTACTAAGCCAACACACAATCTTTTTAGCTTTAAGGTTGTAAAAGTAGAGAAGAATAAAGTAAGGAGTAAAACTACAACTTGAAATTTGAACCCGACCCAATCCCGACACATGTTTGAGAAATGAAGTCTGAGCCAGTAACATTCACTTCCATAAAAACAAAGTCATTACCCTAATGTAAAGCAGCCATATAGTTGCAGATCTCTGTGGCACTCTTGTGTTAAGTCAGCCAAATCCAAGCACTTCACTTCAGCCTCCAACTGCTAGAATACCTTGCATTAGGGTAAAGCTTTCTCTTGATCCATCCAGGGAGATGTCAGAATAACCAGGATGGAAGGCTGCAGTAATTGTCCAATCTCTGATATTGTACTGATATTGCTTTTATGGCTTCAAGTTGAAGTAATGGAACAGCTTTTAGGCTGAAAGTTTTAGTTGGTTTGTCTCAAGTTTGTCCAGAAGATCTCTTCACATTCAAGCCAGAGTGTAATGATGTCATGAATTGAATTGCTTAAAATACAGCCATCCATAAAATCTTGGCAGCATCATTATCATCTTCCAGTGAGTGTGCCAAAACTGTTACAGCAGAAGACCACTCATCACGGACGGTCTCAGATTTTGCTAGCATATTTACGAAAGGTTGCATGATATGGACAAAATACTGATACATGTTGCGATTTGTATATTAAAAATGAACCATTTTTTAATACAGTAGATTTTTTTTTTATAAAGAAATTGTGCTTAATTAATTCTCCTCAATGCCCACACCTGTATTTATTTATCCAACTAGATCAAGCAGTGGTGTGGCTCTTGTCTCTAAGGTTGTAGATTCTTGCTGCATCTCCAGGTGCTTTGTATTATAGCTTGAAATATTTATCTGGACATCATTTCTCTAGCTCAGGTCAAGTTCAACTGTGTTGGTTCTTACAGCCAGCCTCCCACTTTTAATAGGTTTTATCCTGCATTTCCCCCCGCATTAGTTTTCCTCCTTACTCTATTCTTCACTACTTTTATTACCTTAAATCTGGCACGCTGGAATCACCCACTCAGCACTTAAGTCCACACTCCTGAGAAAATGGGACATAAACAGTGAATCGATTCAGGAAAGTACTTTTCAGTGCAGTCCGAGCATTTTATTTATTTATTTTTTTATTTTTTTGGCTAAACATATTTTTGTGTGTTCAACATAACATTTAGGTAGCATGTTCTACATCCAGAAATATTGTTGTAGGATTAAACAGGTGAAGATATATTGCTATATCAGCACCCCATAGCATGAGTATAGCACATTATGGACTAAAGAAGGTTTGAGCTGCTGTTTGAAAGCATTATTTGTCAAATAAATTCAGCAGAATTTGAACTTAATATTGTGGACAGCTGATTGTTATCAGCATATTATTTTATTTGGGTTTGTATTTTATTTATTTATTAGAATGACTGCTATTATTGTCAATACACAGTAACTGTAACTGTCATGTCAGGTTTTATTCTGCACCGAGTTATGGGCCTGTTCAGTTTATTTTGGGCAGAATTTTGCTGTTCTTGTGTTGTTTTTGGACTCAACTTGATGTTAGTTTTTCAGGTTCAGGCAGAATTTTGTCAGGCAGGTATGGACTCAAAACGCGATGCTGTGTGTTTTCTGATTAGGCTCGTTCAGAAACTTCTTAGGCTGTCTTTAGGCTCAGGCCAAAATTTTAGGCCCGATGAAAGCTCTGCTTTGTATCGCTTTGGCTTCCACTGTTTGCACATTTTTCAAGTCACTCTGGATAAGACCATTAGCTAAATGACCAAATGTAAATGCATATGTAAAAAACTGTGTGATTGGTTATAGAGCTGTGTGCATATTGCAGCCCTCTGCAATATCAGTATTGCAAAGGCTATAATTGTAATAAAAATTAACAAATGATTTACCCTGCACTGTCATAAATAACTGGACGCAAAAGGGCAAAACATTTTGCCCCTTAAAACAACTACAGTACCAAAGTACACCCCCAAAATAACGTTATGAATGTGATAAACTGATATGAATTCATTTAGAATAACTTAGTATGAATGAATGTCAAATTCTGTTGCTGACATCATTTAGCCATACACATTCTCATATTCTCGTTACGTTAAAATGCTATTTTGTGTATGTCTCATTTATTTATAAAATGCCCTTGAATTCCAGTCAGTAAGTGCAACAATTTCCCCTTGATTAGATGGGGAGAGCCGTATCTCCTGTGAAGTATGACTCAGCACCCAGCTGTACACCTCTGCAGGACTCGGTGGGGAAGTGCTTAGTCACTGCCTTGTTTTTAGCACTGGTTCACAGATACAGAGGTGTTTTACTTACTGATTCACAGTGTCTGTGTCTTGCTGCGAGTGTGAGAGTAGCGTTTATTCTTAGATCAGTGATGGAGAGTTTTGCTCTGGTCTGATGCACTGCAGTAAAGGGAGTCCAGGTCTAACTACAGCCGTCTCTGCTGCCTGTCCTGTCATCAATATTAGGGTGGTCACTGTAATGTCAGCAATCGAGTAACCTGTCAATTAGTTTGCCAATTAATGAAGTAATCAGAGTTTTAAAAAAGGCCAACGAAACGGTGCATAGCTATTTAAAGCAGCCTGTTTCAATACTGTTTATGAATTTTTATGGACTGCACTCCCGCATCAGTGCATTTTACCGTCTGAACGAGCCATAGAAATAACCCAGGTTATGTTAATCCTGTGCAAATCCACATTTCAGCAGGGCTGCCTACTCTCACGCATTGGTCGTGAGTCTCAATGTTACTTCAACAAGCCAGCATGTTTCAGCATCATCCACAGAGCAGAAAATAATTTACCTTGTGTGAAAAATGACAACTGCCCAGTTCATCTGACATTAAACTGACCAGTTAAGAGTTAATCCCACAGTGGCTAAAAGATTTCCCTTTGCTTTTGAGTGACAGAGGTAGTTTGTTTAATTAAAAAAAATGTGTTTTGTTGATTATCTAAATGAAAATAAGTTCACTTTTCCACTACTATGAACTTAATGTGGCATTTCTCTTTTAGTGCACAATTTCTCTGTTTTTTGCTAAGTTTAACATATGGCGGGGGTTGGTCCTCTAGTTCTTACTGTGAGTAGTGAGAGTAGAATCATGCAAATTTCCAAGCAATCATTGTTCATTTATTTGAAATGATTGTATTTTGGAAAGGCTATGCAGGTCCAATTTTGTGATTATTTTTAAAAACCCTAGTGATTTACATGATTTGATTTTATTACTAATAATCAGCACTGATGGCCCTACTTGAATCCAAGAAGCAGAGCTGTTCATCTGTGGGCGTATGTATTTATGTGTTGCAGACAGTGAGTCTCGCGAGCAAGTGAGGCAGGCGTATCCAGATCCGCCCAGTGATGAGGCCAGTCTGGAGCTCCAGCAGCAGGCTCTGCTCCGAGAGCAGCAGCGCAGACTCAATAACATGAGGAGAGCCAGAGTCAACGGTCAGACATCCACCCACACGCCAGGGCTGTCACTATCAATTATATATTCGAAACGGATTAATAATGATTGACAGTTTATTCAATTATTATAGTTTTAAAAAGGGAAGAATAAAAAGATTCCGAAGTGTTTCAATGGCAAAAGAACTAGGATGCTTTTAAAAAGCCATTAAAACCGTATCTGTTATATACAAAACGCATATCATTGCTGTCGGAACAAAAGCTTGTATCTCCATCTTTTTCGCATCATTTGAAAATGCCAGCCAGCTGCCCTTTACATTGAGTTAAAACTCCATGATGAGCAGACCAATAGAAATGGTCCAAAATGACATGGAACAAAATTTTATTAACATTATCATTAACATACATTTACAGTTAAAATTTTTTCCTTCTTCTGTAGTTACTGTTTTGGTGATATGGTTTCCCACAGTAACAATATAAAAGGGTTTGTCTACCATGTTATGTTTGTGTTTGAACAAGACATCAGTAAGAAAATTTTTAAAATACGTTTTGCAAACTGCCAACTAATCACATTATCATATTTAATTGATTAATCATGACAGCCCAACACACTCATTAAGCCTTATTCTCTCTCATACGTATGCTCATATGAAATCACTCTTTCTGTATCTACAGTATTTCCCCATGCTTCCCCCTGCTTTCATGTAGAAACAAACCACTCTGATTTAATACGAATCAAGTTAATTTGATTTAGTAAGGGATCTGGCAACCTTCAGGAGACTTACAAATGGGTCTAATTCTAAAAGACCTAAAAGAGGCCTCTGTAGTCCAATTTCGTGCCAGTGGCTTCGTTACTCAAAATAAATGTTTAAAAACGCAAAACATTTTTCTTATTTAAACCAATTTCCCAGACCCAGATTAAGTTTAAGATTAAGCTTGGACTGAATAGGCTTTTTAGTTGTGAATCATTGCTGACATTGCAGTGTAATCTAAGATTAGGCCTAGTCCATATCTCAGAAACCAGTTTTCTAATATACAGATCTTGTTCATGTATAAATTGTATAATTCTAGATATTTTACACTGTACCTTTTCAAGTAAAATTATCTCGAATCTAATCCATATATTCAGTATTTCTTTTTCGCTGTCATTTAAGATGGTTGTAAGAATGTTATAACATTATTGTACTTATTTCTAGGCATTTTTTTTACATAAGTCGTTTCATCTAGTAAATTTCTTATTCTGTTGGCAGATCATTTTGCTTGTTCCAAGCATTATTTCTTGAAATAAGCAAAATTATCTGGCTGAAGAATTTAAAAAACAAGTTGTAAACGTCTATAAATAAGTTCAATAATATTCTTACAACATTCTCAAAATGAGAAATATTAGGTATTTTCACTGTAATTTAGATGTTTTGACTTGCCAAGACAACATTTTTTGCAGTGTAGCATTTTAGCCTTTGTGGCTTTGATTTAAAATTAGCAATGTTAGTTAATTAAATTAATAATTTTACACTAATTCTACTGTCTTTCTGATGGCACTGTGGGATTCAGCACCTTTTTATCTTTATGAATTGTGGTCTCTTACTGAGTTGCTTTCCTAGTACCCCTTCACTCTCTCACACACCCTCATACCCGCACTCTTTCTGTGTATTGACTCCTCTCTATCTTGTTAGATTACTTTGACCTGTCGTCTCCGATGAAGCCTCCTAATCAGCGGGTGAGTGAGATAGATGTGGCAGTGTTGGGCGCTGCGCCGGCCTGTTTAACTGACCCAGTTTTTCGTGGCCTTTCAGGATAACTGCACTCTGTTTCCTCTCTCTCTGACAGCTCTGTTTATTGACATGACATTTTTATTGATGTGTTTATGCCTGCAGAAGGAGCGCCGCACTGAAGAGGCAGAGAGACACTCCCTGCTACAGTCCGAGAGTGCTTTTATTGGTGAGCGCCTATAAAACCCAACATAGACCTTCATAACAGGGAGCGGATGTAAATTGCAGGGAGGTACTGTGTACTCTGGCGAGAGTAGACGCCATCTCCAATTACCTGAAGGCAATCTTTTCCTGAGGCCAACATGTAAAATGTGCGATAAAATAAATTATTGGGCTTTAATAAGATGAAATTGTGAGTATTGTTTAAAGAGACTGTGTTTTAAAGGCTTTAAGGCAGGAGCTTTGTGGTTGTGGCCCTGAGAACATGGGGCTATTTGAGGAGCAGCCAGTGCATCGCACCACTTTTAGCCAGCTTCACTGAGTGCCAGTTAGAAGTTAGCAGCAGTTGATGAGAACGGCAGCCAGTATGACCCAACTGAAGGACAGAACAGAGAAGTGATGAGCAGAGAGAGCGCACTAAGCCTGATCATATTTCCAAGCTGTTTTATATACCGCCAGGAGCTTTAGATCCTCCTCATAGAGTGATGTGGAAAGACCACGGCATGGAGCACTGCCCAACAAACGTTCTAATGTTGGCGGGCAGCTTTATACTGTTGCAGAATAAGAATGAACAAGACAAATGAACCAGTGTGAGAGGGGCCGTTCTAGAACAGTATGAATAGGGAGAACGTTCTCGCACAGTGTAAACCAAAGGGCAACATTCTAGAAACCAAATGTGGGGGGAAAACATTTCTAGAACAGTGCAAGTCAGTGCAGAGCTTTCTCATGCACCTAGATCGAGGGTTGAACATTTCTAGGACAGGAGTAACGGGGAGATGAACAATCTAGTGTCCGAAATGACTGTATGTTCTGCTCTGTGTTTTCAGACACCACTATAAAATAGCAGAACCCCAAAATAGCGCACTCTATAGTGGATGGCAGTTTTGGACACAGCGTAGGACAGCATGAATGGACGGGGGGGTGAACATTCTAGGATAGCAGGAATGGGGGTGAACATTCTTGTACACATTAATTGGGGGTGAACATTTCTAGGATAGCAGGAATGGGGTGAACATTCTAGTACACTGTGATTGGGGAGAAAACATTCTATGACAGCATAAATGGGGGGGGCATGAACATTCTAGGACAGCATGAATGGGGAGACGAACATTATAGTACAGTATGATGGGGGGTGGACATCATTGAAGGACAGAGTGCAATTAATCTACTTCAAGGGTACAGAAGTGTTTGTACTGGAGTGTGTAAATGGCTGTTTCTCCCTCTGTACAGATGCTAATGGTTATTCATTCTCAACAACACCTCAGCCAGAGCGGAGGGCTGGCCAGAGCTCTGCTAGAGAGAGGAGACGGCAAGCAAGGACAGACTTTGATGATGCAAGTACTTTTCATTAAAAGAAGAATCATCATAAAACAGTCTGTGTCTGACTGAAGGAGAAAAGCAGCGTGATATTGGAGCTGCAGTGTTCATAACGACCGTGCTGTGGTTGCATGCAGGGCTTGGAGACCCCCAGCAGAGAGAGGAACGGCCAGTCTCTCGGCTCAGCGAGCAGCTTTCAACTGGACAGAGTCCGAGAGCACAACCAGCGCAGGATGAGAGCACTAGACGACATGAGTGCGCAGGGCTGGAGATCAGGTGAGAAAAGTGATCCATCCAGTGCGTTTTGACATAGCTTGTTGTAATTGGACTGCTTTTTGTATTGTTTCTCTTAATATCACACCAATGGGAACCTGTGTATTTAGCTTTTGTGTATTTTAAACTGTACTTAAAATCTGAAGGACTCAGGAAATGCATCAGTGTTAACTAATTTTTATCTATTAATACCACTAAAACTCAGTATTGTGGGTTACCAACGTATCACTACCACTATATATGTTAATTTCAAATAATAATAATTTTGTATGCGTCTGTCCATGCGTTTGTATGGATAGATGAATTCATACTGAAACACCATGACTAAACCTGAGGATTGAGGGAGACCTAGTCAGGTTTTGCAGTGTTGGCTTAAGATGAGATGCTTAAAATGTACTGTAAGGTGCAGGTGTTGATCTTAGGTGGTGACAGTTACTGATTTACAAAGACATCTTGGTTCTTTCACTGAGAAAGCAAAGCTTGTGTTAGGACTATTTATTATAATAGAAAGTAAACTGTGTTTGGTTGGAAGTGACACCAGGGTGCTGATCAGTCACTAAAGCTTTATTCAAATATTGAAATATTCCTTACGCTCCAGGAGAAATATCTGCTGATGAAGAGGACGACCTTTGGCAGCAGACTCCGTCACCGGCCCCTGCTAGGCGTGTTTCTACGACAACAGTTGCTACGGAGCCCTGGCTACGCCCCGGCACCACTGAGACACTGAAGAGGTTGATGGCGGGTCGCAGGCCATCCAGCCGCGGCCCGCTGAATCGCGAGTGGGAGGGGCCGTCCACCTATCACGGTTAAGCTCAGGGTCATCACGGTAACACTAGAGTGCACTTTCTCCATATTGAATCCCCTTTTCCCCCACCATAGAAGTCATATGTACAACCAAAGAAGTCTGTTTATTTCTCTAATTTGCTCCACCCACAAATGTCTTTCATAGCAACTGTTGCTAGGCTGGATGAACTACAGAATATTGGGACAATCCTGTTCAATTTAATGAGAAATTGCAGCACACAGGTTTGTCAGAATTATTCACATCTGACTGTTATGATGTTTGAATCACTGCACTGTCACCACAACCTTGTGTCAACTTTGTGGTGTTCTAGCTAATTAAAACTAGGCAGGGGAATTCCACCAGTTTTTAAAATTTCTGCATAATTCATTCATTCATAGTGGTCTGATGTGAAATGGTTCATTGTAGAGAAATGTAACAATTCAGATTCTTTTATAGTGGTGGTGATCGGAATCAGGGGTCACCCAAATATGTCTGTCAAAATATTACAGGTATGTAACACGTTTTCTGAGTTTTATTATGTAATGCAGATAATCATAAAAGAATAGTAAGTCTGGGTACTGTAGTGCCTCTCTTTCACGTTTCTGCCATGAATGGATTAAAATAAAGGTTTAACCTTCTCAAAATTAACAAAAACAATGTCTCAGGCATCAGGCAGTGAATTCATAATTATTTCATGTAATAACTTTGTGAGAGGGATTTTAGAGGCATTAAACTCTTCAGACGTCTGGTTCCTAGCACCATCACTTTGCACAATTCTGACTACGTTTTTCTGTAACAGAGCATTTCACATCAAACCACTCACCACTCTGAATGACACTGTCTACATCTTAAGTATTATGTTAAAAAAAAAAAGGAATTCTTCTTTTAATAACAAACTCTAAACTGATGTATTGACAAAAAACAGTTTTACTGGTTTTTAACAGCTTGTCCAACCTAACAGCAGGTGTTTTTAGAAGAATGCATTTGTGGCCGGAGCATAGATGACTAATTCAATGACTGAGCCCTGCTTGGTTTCTCCCCCCCACCCCCCCCGCCCCCATTGCCTTTTTCTATGTTGAATTACCTTGACAATGAGAAGTGGTCCTTTTATGTAGACTATGAATTGTAATGCATTGAGACACTTGCACAATCTACAAAAGGTCAGATGGATCCTAGATTAAAGCCATAAAGCAGAAGCAACTACAGAAGCGCAAAGCAGCGTCAGCCATTATGTCTTGCCCTCTTGCCAGCCAGCAGAGCCTGGGAGGAATTACTACTCAGAGGTCCCATCTGCTGCACCCTGCTGCATGTTTGCTTGTATGAAATGCCTTTTTCCCCCCTTTGTCAGAATGTGTTTATTGAATGTATAACAGGATTGTAATTATGATGTCTGTAACAAAAAGCTTATTTAACTTGAACTTTGCAGAGAAATTAATAAATTATTTTATCTTTTGTAGCCATCATCTTTCACTGTTGAGTGCAGTTCATGCTGAATAAGTCACAATTCTTTCCACAAATAAACCAAGTTCAAAAACTTTATTGACCTATGACCTGATTAGGATGTGTGGGATGATAACCAGTATTGTACAGAGTTGTACAGATCATTTATTCCACATAGAAAACTTTACAGTGCTGTACCATTATACACGTCTTCACCATAACCAGGAATGCTTCAGATCCTTACACCAACAGTTTAAAGCGCAACTAACGTTATTCGTTATGTTCTATACAATACAGCCCATCCCCGAACCAAAGAGATTTAAATATATTAGCTTTTTAAATTTGTACACATACAGTGAAGCTTACTTCAGAGGGATATATAGACCAGTGATTCAGATGCAGCTCACATTAGGTTGCAATTTTTCTTTTTTCAAGTTCCAGTTTTTTTTTTCTTAAGTATCCCAGTTGTCGCCTTCTTCATGTGTTTACTTAAAAAAGCATCAGTACATATAAAATGGAATAATTTAACTATATATAATAGAATATATATAGTTGATATCAATTAGAAATCTCAGACAACCTGGGAGAGATGGCATAGTTAAATAAATTATCACAAAAGTAAAAATCTCCAGTGCATTTGAAAAGGAAAACAAGTGCAGCAAATTCAGAGAAAACCAAAAAAAAATTCAGAAATAAAGTCTAGTGTTATGAGATTATATTACAAAGCTGCTTTTTTCTGTACATCTAATTTAATCCAAGGAGCTATTCATGCTAATGTTAGCCATTAGCGGTGCAAAAGACAAAAACAAACAAAAAAAAAAAGGGCGTTAGAATCATTGAGTAACGGACATTACTCTTCGTTTTTAACTACTGATCGTTTGCTTGATGCTGAAACCTTTTTTCATTCAGACAGTTTTAAGATAATGTCAAGACAAAGCAAGAAACACACCGTTTTGAAATATATCTGAACCTTCTGAGGTTCTCAGAGGTCGAGTAATTAAATAGCTGTTATAATCACCAGTATGATCCTGTAGATGATTTCTGAGTCTATTGTACAAAGCCCTGGTCATTTTTTTTGTCCAGTAATGGGATGTGGTTTCTGTCCCAGGATCATCTCGAATAGTCCAGTGTAGACCCTGGCAGAAGTGGTGGGATGCTACCAGTACCTTCAACACGTTCTTCAGCTCACTGATAGTCCCATCATTTCCTGGGCTTCCCTATTGCCCTTCTTTTGGAGAGATTAGAATCCTAAACCAGTTGGACGGCAGATAAAACGAGGGATCTTCTGATTACTTCAGCTCAGTGAGGGACGTCTTTAGGCCTCCTGTGGGGTTTGAGGGCTGGAGGGCTCTGAGCTCAGCTCCTGCTCCGGCTCCAGAGTCTGAGCGATGTGGAACACCAGCCCGATCCGAAGGAAAAACTTCCTCAGCACTGCTCTCAGCTCGGGAATCAGGTCGAACTGCATGATCTCGCATAGGAGAGGGTAGTAGCGGGTGGCGTGCGCCTTGAACTGATGACAGAGAATTTATATAAACATAAATATACTTGTACAAATATTTACCCACAAGTACAGTCTGTTTCTTAATAGGGTCACTGTTGTAAGAAAACCTCAAATCAAGCATTCACTGCAGATTGAGGAGCAGATGGATATAGCATCTGTTAAAGGGCCTATATCACGGAAATCTGAATTTTCCACATTTTTTTGTTGTTTCTAATGAGGGAGTTTAATGTAGTACGTCAACATTTTTAAAATTGCTCACCAAAGCATTCCCTCAGACATTTTTAGCAAAACGTGCACTGCCCAGTTCAAGCAGTCCGTATATGGAAGCTAAGCTGCAAAAACAGCCTGAGTTCAATGTTTTTGTGATGTCACAGAAAACAACGTTTTTATATATAGCTGCCTATTTTGCCTACATTCTTTAGAAGCGGGGGTTAAATCGGGCTGGCGCGCGCTGGAACTGAGCTCCAGCATCTTTGGTTCATTGTAATACAAAGGGAGCTCTGGTACTGTCATTGGTAAGATGCATAAATCATTTGCAATAAAACCTTCATTAAATCCAATTAAAACCTTTAAACTGTTTTGCAATGAACAACCTCCAAAAGTCCATCTGTTGTTTTGCCGCTGCATGTGTTTTGGCATTTTAGGTGGCTCAACCTCATGTTGTTTTACAGATTTTCACAATCATGTAGGGCATCCTGAATCCTCCCATTTCATGATGTTTTAACTGAAATACCTAAAATAGATATGTAACTGAATACATGTGTAAATTATGCCTCAATCTTTGTAGCAGAGGTCACGACTGAGGAAACTAAAGCAAATATTTGTTCTTATAGTAAGCCTTTTTTTCTGTGAATAGGTTTTTGTGAAATTTGACATTCTTGCCTAAATATGATGTTTAACTACTTTGCCAGCTGACTGTTGTTAAAAATACTTGAATGCACACGTTTGTACCTAGCTAGTTAGCTAATATTGCTCATTGGCTTCATCAGTTCAGTTTAATTGATTAGTTATATCGGGTAGGACAGCTCATGTTTATAGTGGTTTGAAGACTGTTGGCTGTTTTTGGTACAACACAAAAATCTAAATACTAGAAATGAATGTGTCCACTTTAAAAAAAAAAATACAAAAACAGAAAAGCCATCTGCCATTTTCAAGTGGAGAAAAAGATTATATAGAAAAATAAATGGAATGAAAAAAGAATTTATGAGGTATTACAGGTACTGTAACATGTAAGCCCATGAATTTCTACAATAATACAATACAGCAAAAAAAAATTATTAAGTAAATTAAACCTGCACTACACTTATTCTTTAGTTTTATTCTATAGTATTTTAGTTTATTATGCTCTTCATTTTTTTCTTTACTCTATTTAATTGATTACTTGTTAATATATCTTTTAATGCTAATATGTCTCTTACTTGGTCAATGAAACCAATTCTGATTCTGAATTCTAATTCTGATAATCTTAAAAATGGAACAGATTAAAATCATTTCATCCCATCAAGTGTAAATAAACATGCTTCTGTATGTCTACTGATTCTACCTCGTGGCTGTGCAGATAGGCAGCTATCTAAAATAAATCAAAGTTAAATAAATCTGCAATGTTTTCTCTGCTCATCCAGAAGGGGGGGGGGAGAAAATACCAATCTGAAGAGTCTCAGGTAATCACTACTTCCGGTTCTCATGATTTGTTATAACTCAATTTGTTCTGATGAGTGTCTGATTACACCCTCTTGTCTCTCCTCTTGACTCAGTAATTCATTATGAGCGTAACTGAAGCGGATTAGACGTGACATCTGCTTAATCACTCTTATGAGTTTGCCTGCTGTAACTGCAGAGGAGGAAGGGTTACAGACACACTTTAACCCTCACACAGATTAAACCGGCCAAGACTCCGTATGAAATTAGGTCGGCAGTGTTTGTTGCACCAGGTGCTTTTTGGGCCTGAGCATGATTTTTTTTTCCTACTCAACCCATTCAGAAAAAAATACATGGGCAGGTATCGTTTTATGTGAGAAGTACATTTCAGATACACTGTATCATTCCGAAACAGTGAAGTACATTTAAAAAAAAAAAATGCCATTTTTAATGGAATTTACAAATTTATTTGACAAATACATACATTTATTTCCCATATGGGAAAACCCAATCATGAGCCCACATTATACGTCTTCTTTTTTCCCCCCTTGTGAGGTCCATTTATGGCATGTTTCATGTATCAAAAACAGTATATCTTAACATAATCATTTTCCAACCTCTCTCTTCTAAAAATGCCTGTTTTTGTTACTATGCCTTCAAGTCTGACATATGAAAATAAGCTCTGTTCTGATTGGTTGCCCACATCGCGCCTCATTCAAAACACAGAGCGGCCGGAAACACTCCTTATAACCTTAGTGTGAATCGGTGGGGCTGAACTGCTGTAAGCTGAGTAGGCAGGTGTATGTAAATGTGTTACATTTATGTTTTCATGACATCACAAAACACAATGAATTCAAAACGGGCTGTTTTTGCAGCTTAGTTTCCATAAAAGACTTTGTCTTCTGCCACCTGCCACAACAGAAGCATGTATAAAATAGTTTAGATTTAGCGGGGCATGATGACTGGCTGGTGGGCTAATCATGCATGGTGGCATCGCCCTCTAATTCTGTTTTTGCTTGCTTTAATCATCCTCTTTTGGTATTCCAAATCCAAAATTATCTTATTTTTAGAAAAGCAGATGCTACATAGCTTGAGGTGTTTAATTTTATTATTTTTTTCTATAAAATACATGAAGAATCATCATCATCATCATCATCATCAGTCAAGCGTGTGTTCTCACCCTGTCATCGCTGATCTTCAGCACTTTGGTGAGGAAGAGGAGCAGCAGGTTGGTCCAGGCCTCGCGGTGGCTCTCTGACGTCAGGGTGAGGAAATAGGCCACAGCATCACTGCATACACTGCAACAAGGCAGAAAACAACACAGCACTCACTTAGTTTAAATGTACATAGTTGTTAATATTATATATCAGAAAAAAGTCTTGGACCACTGGTGAAAATGCTTCTGATTTTCATTGTTTTCAAAAAACAATTTTGGTAAAAATCTTTGAAATTTTAACATGAACTTCTGAATTTCTTTTTGGTTTTTGGTATGTCCCCTTTTTCCTTTAGTAAGCAGGCACTGACACCACAAGTTTGTGCAGGAACCTCTGATAAGCAGATCAGAATCCAAATGAGAGCTGTCTGAGCATGAGCTTCAATGTAAGACATAAGACAAAAAATGTAACCTTCCACCGAGGTTTAAAAGGAAAAAAAAAGATTTTCAAAGTGGTCTCAGACTGTTGGACCCCACTGTATACTGTATAATATGTAGATGACAAAAAAATGGTAAAATCTACTAATAGTATGAGGTAAACACATGGAGGTAAGAACATTCTCTGCAGGGATAACATTTTACTTTGTCTTTCCCATCCCATTTTAATTCAGTTCAAACGAAACTCAAAAGAAAATAATAATAATTCTGCTGCAGACAGAAACGGCACCCAAAAAAGTGCCTAAACATATTTAGTGCACATCTAACAAGTGAAAGTGTCGCATTTGTCCTTTCTGCACTTCTGTAATCCCCATCTGCCCTTGTGCCTCCTACTCTCTCCAATCTCCATGACCTAATCACCTGCCAAATCTCCTTTAGCCTGTTTCAGTGAGCCTCAGTAATCAAGCCCACACATCTGAGAGCTCTGTACACAGGCACAGTGCTCCAGAATGGACAAGTGAATCCATGGCCGCCTCTCGGCTCTGTTGATGGCTACCCAGCAGACAGGCCGTGAATTAGCTCACTCTGCTTGCCAAGACTGCGCTGTATTGCACTCTTAGCCAGGCCAGCCTCAGTTTGGCTGCATCTCAGTATTGAAGAGGAAGCACAAGGAAATTTAGGCACTGCCCCAAGCTGCAGTCCTCATTTGAGTGTACCCGCGAGTTCCGCAAGACCGCAGGGTGTCCCATTTGTCATTTTGGTGCTCAAAGGGGCACTTAAGACCTCTATGCACCCTTAGTGCACCCTTTGGTGGAACCCACATTGATACCTGTCCCTAAGTCCACAAGTGCAATCGTGTGTACTTGTGTGCTCTCCAGTGAGCATCCAACTGTGTCCCATGCAGAAATTTTGAAAAATCAGTGCACTTCCCCTTTAAGCAAGGCCACAAATTCCAAACATGGATTAAAAAAAAGGTCAACTTCCCAAAAATTGAGATACAGGCTAGAATCAACCCAATCTAAATTTCCAGCCTTCCTGGAACTTGCCGAACTGAGGGCAAGTCCACAGGGCCGTAGAGCTGCTCTGCCTAATTTAGCCACTCATCTAGTCCACAAGTGGGCGGGGGGGTCATTTGTGATCTTCCAGAGAGGCTGTCTGGGATGTAGATTTTAGCAGATGTTGCCTGTGAAATGACTCTAAATTCATAGAGAAAAGAATGTGAAGACATGGACTAGAAGGTCTTCCAGCGTTATACAATATTAAATTGCCATACGTATATATATTTTTTAATTCCATTCCAAGTGAGTGAGTTGGTGCTTTTCATTCGCTCGCAGCCCTGCGTCCTCTGAGACCTGATGTGACGACGTTGATCTTTTCAGTGAATGTCAGAGCAACTGTGTATGAAGTTATTGACAGCTGCTTGACCGAGACAGCTGAGATATTCACATGACAGTTATTATTTTATCTAGCCAACTGCCTATGCTTTTAATTTATACTGGACCCATGTAAATAAGCAAACTGACTCACAATCAATATTCTTGCCTGGCACAGCCTACACATCACATTGTGCTGTTTTGCAAGTCTGACCCAACAGCATGTTTGTAAACCTAGCACGCGCGAGGACTCTTGCCACATAGGTATACACGTTATTGTTGTCATCAAGGCGCTGATTTGTAGAAGTAGGACTCAGTATGCCATTTGGGACAGGCCCTAATATCCAGTGGAGGGAGCTTCTCCACTCACAGCTACATACTGCAATACTGTAGTTGTGATATGTGATATTCTGTAAAGTTACCATTTTGGAGATACAAGGTTTTCTTCTGACAACAGTGATATTGTGCACTTACCACTACAGTCCTGCAGCGCTCCATTATTTATGTTCAGCAGAAGCTCAAGTCTTTGTAATACACCATTCACTCACAGCAGTAGATAAAATGAGGCCAAATAAACACTCCTGATCAGCTTAATAAAGTAGGAGGCTGTTCGTATGCTCTTGTACCTTATTAAAGCATAACAGAGTAGAAGAACTCACTTAGCCTTTACTTGCCCTGTCCTTTTCACTTTGAGTTCGGTCAAACTCTGGTAACATTTGGAGGATGCGTGCTTATACTAACGTCACATTACTAACCTTTAAATGTTTCCAAGAAGCATTACAGCTAGGACTGCATGACATGAACAAAATATCATTATTATAACTGTGAATGCCTTGCAATATATTAAAAACGCACTGGTGGATCAATAATGTAACAATATGAAAAATAGTCATGTAAGTGCTGCCGCAACAGCTCTGAACCGCCGAGGGATGGACTCTGAAGGTTCCCTGTGGTATCTGGCACCAAGATGTTAGCAGCAGATCCTTGAAGTCCTATAAGTTTCCACCACAGGTCAGACTTGTTGTTCCAGCATGTCCCACAGTGGCTCGATCAGACTGAGATCTGGTGAATTTGGAGGCCAGGACAACACCCTGAACTCATCATGTTCCTCAAACCATTCCTGAACAATGTGTGCAGTGTGTCTGGGAGCATTATCCCGCTGAAAGAGGCCACTGCCATCAGGGAATATACCACTGTCATGAAGGGGTAACCTGGTCTGTAACGAGTCAGTTGGTGACACATTAAAATGACGTCCACATAAAGGCCTGGATCCAGGCTTTCCCAGCAGATCATTGTCTAGAGCATCACATTCCCTCCACTGGTGCCCAACACCCTGTAGCCGGTTTGCAGTTTGTCTCTGACCGCCCACTGTTGCTAGGTACTCACCACTGCTAACCGTGAGCACTCCACAAACCTCCATTCATTACGATAATTTTGACAAAAAATTCACGACCTCTATTCTCAAAGAAAGTGTATCATGATAAAGGTCGTTGTCATAAGCTGCTAGTATAGCGTTAGCAAGATAAGGTTAGCTAATTCAAATACATATGGAATGTGGAGAAAGCCACTTTCTATCAGAAAGCCCTGAAGACAAACCTCTACTTGCATATTAATAGAAAGAAGCAACTTTTAAGGCATTATGGAATTTTTTTTCTTGGAAATAACTTCAAAATATGTAACTCTGATGAACTGAGATTAGTTTTTAGGGGGTTCATCCATGCCTGGAGAGGGTTTTTAATAAGTAACTCTAAACTTTTTAACGGCAAAGAAAATTAGTGAAAATCAAATCAAATATTGAGCTCAGAACTGAAAATCATACCATATCGCATGGAACCCCGAATGGCCTGCATTATTTTTTAACTAAATAATTTATGCTTAAGGGATCATGTAAAATCCTTAATTCATGTTGTGACTGGTCAAGATGCTTAGGGCACATAATAAAACATTTCACGATTGATGAGAGGGCTCATTTGCATATTACAGACTGCTGTGATATTAGTATTGCGAAGGCCACAAAGGCGATACTGACTAACATATCATGCAAATCCTTAAGCTTTCAGGAATTTTAATGAAACACTGAAAATTCCACAATCCAGTGGAAGCCAACAGCAATAAAAGCCCAACAAAAACCCCTATAATATACAGTGGGATCTGAACTGTTAGAGTCAAACTGCAAGAAAGTCCAGCTGCATCTTCTCAGCTGAAAACCTCCTACTAAACATTCTCTAAACAATTTCTACACTTGAGCAACAGAAGATTTGCACATTATATGACGGAAGCATCAGCAGCTCTCTAATAAGAGGAAAGCTGTTGCAGAGGAAGTGTGAGAGAACACACCGGGTGATTCTGGCACAGCGCTAGTGTGTGTTTGTGTGAGACAGTGATGTCTTACTTGAGTAGGCGTCTCTGCACCTCCTCCCAAGCGTCCTGCCTGCTGGGGTCCGTGTACATACGGAAGAGAATCCGCAGCCCACAGGCCAGGCTGCTGGTCTCCTGTTTCAGCAGATTGGGCTTCGACTTCCCTTTGAAACCTGAAGCACAAACAGAGACACAGATACCGTATGAGTGGAGCAGCAGAGGATCCCAACACTGATGAGACGCTTAAAAAGACTTTCCATTACACAACAAGAGGATCTATCAGATACCAGCTCTGAACTTTTGGAAATTCTGCTCCTTCTTAAACGTGTTCTTAGAGATGTTCCAATAGGAACCAGATGTCTGAAGCATTTAATGCCTCTAAAAGCTTTCTCACAGCAAGTTATGACATTAAATATGCTACTTGATGCCTGAGACATTATTTTACAATAGTTCTGAGAATGTTTTGCCCCAAAACATATTTTTTTAAATCCATTCATGACGGAGAGGAACATACAGAGTGTTGTGCGGCAAAATAACTCCCAAAGAAAAAGAAAAGATTCACTACTTTGAGATTGCATTCATTGTAAAAATTTTGCACAGGCTATTGTTTATGCTGTTTACTTCATGGTCTTAGTGAGGGCTGGTTTCCCACACAGGGATTAAGCCTAGCTTTGGATAAAATCAAAGTGCCAATGGTGACTTACCTTTGGAAATTCTTTTTAGCCTGTGCTTAAGCTTAATCTGGGTCTGGGAAACTGGCCCTGGGAGTTGTGATACTTGGCACAAAGCCAGAAAACCAGCTCTAGCGTGGAATTAAAGGGTGTCAGACTCCAGTCCTGGAGAGCCACAGTACTGCAGAGTTCAGTATTTCTCATTTAACACAACTGACTCCACCTATCAGCTAATCTGCTAGGCCTTTATGAATTGAATTAAGGGTTTAAATGCAGGACAAATATTAATCTCTGCACAGCTGTGGCCCTTCTGGACACACCTTGCCTAAATCTACATGAGTGCAATTAGACTGAGAATGAATCCTGACCAGCCTTCCACAGGGCAGTTCTCTGCTCATTATTGGAGTTGAAGGCCTTTGCGAAGCGATGGGACTCCAGCAGGCAGTCCAGCAGTTTGAACAGCTGCTCAGAGGTCAGGTAGCGGTACATTCCCTGGTCCTGAGTCTCCACGTGCACATCAGCGTCCAGAGCATCTCTCTGCATGATACATATTATACACATTTTAATAAATAAAAGCATAGACAAAATTCGAGCTTCAATTTTTTTTAGTTGGCAAGGTACTTTTCAGGGATGCACAGTGATACTGTATTCATTTTGTAGGGCTGAACAATTTGAAGAAACTATCTAATTGCGATTTTTTAAATTGTGATTAAATGTTCTATAAACTGAGGTCCAGGCCTGTTTTTTGGCTATAAAGATCAGCATACCCACATCTACTGAACCTAGTGTGCCAGACAGACTGTTAGTTGTGGTTGTGTTTTTATACAAACAGCACATGGCTGTCTGGTTGCTTCTGACTGATCTCATTAAAAGGCACTTCACAAGCTCAGTGTTGTTCAAATAAATTTCCCCATTTAAAACATAATTACAGCTCTTGCAATTTAAACAAACTGCACTCTTTCAAACTAATTTCAACATAATGATTAATCTTTCAGCTCTGTCACTGTCATTTGTGCAAAAAAATGTTTTTAAAAAAATGGTATCAGACGTTTTATCAGATTTGTTGATATTTATTGTACTGCGGAAGAGCAGAATGTTTAGGTGATGCTGGGCTGCTAAAAAATCTACATTTTACAGCATTTGTAACCCTACAGACATCAGAGTTTTATGCCTCTGTAACGCTAATGCTGGCAGATGTACAGCCAATTTCAGTATCAGAAACCACATAAGCAAGTCTTTTAGAGACTACTCAACTTGAGGCAAGTTTGTGATGATTACGCATGCTAATTAGTGTGGTATAAGCTTTTATTACTTAGCTACATTAACCTCAAACTTCAAATGCCAAACATGTGCTCCTGAGAGGCACGGCAGTCTAAGTGCTGGCCAAATCATCAGGAGATGATGTCTTGAAGGAAGCACTTGCTAGCCTTTAGCCTCCTCGCTTGGCAGCACTGTGTGATAAGGGGAAACCTAGCTAGTGCGAACTAGCCACAACAAAATTGGGGAAAAAAATATCCTAAAAACATGTCTTGGTTGATTGTCTACATTTAGGATAAGAGGAAGATGTAGGGAAGTGTAAGGGAAGTGCAAATTAGATTTTTTGCTGAACTATTCTTTTAAGTATGCTGTTGAGTACCTGTGCGGCCGCAAAATTTTCAGCATCCTCTTTCTTGCTGGTGGCGGGGAAGAAGACAATGTTGTCGATGGTCTGAATGAGCTCCAGCTGCACCACACACTTTATGAGCAACGCTGCGAACAGCCGCTGCTCCTGGGCTTCTGTGGAACATACACACACACACACTCACTAACCTCTCACTATGACTCAGCCAGTCACACCCACTCTGTTTCAGTGCCATTTGACCAGAAACTGATGTGGAATCTATGTCTTAAATTGCATTGCAAAAACGTTATGAGAACATCCCCCAACAATCAAATTGCCAAACCGAGCTAGGATTAAAAATTAACACTGAAGTCTGGCTGCTCGCCAAGTGTCTGCTGACAGAGCTGAGCTGTGAACAAACAAATGAGTCCGTGGCTTGTATCAGTTCCAGCAGTGAACGCTGAACTTGCCTGAAGCCACACTGAACTGACTGTGTCTCCGGTTCTCTGCCAGTGCCTTCTCCATACTGCTGATGGACTGCTGATCTTCAGCTCGAGACTGGATGTCCACAGACTTCTGGGATATGGAGTCCTGCAATCACCAGACACATGAAAAAAAGCAACAATATTAAAAAGATATTCATTATCATATACACGGCCTAAAACATTACTGACAGATATAACTAGCAACAAAGGACAAAAATACTATGCTAATAAAATACTCGTCTATAATCTATAATTTTCAATCTATAAATCTAATCTATAACTAATCTATAATTTAAAAATTTGAAAATGAAAGTGTTTATTGGTTTTCTTCTTAATATTATCTTGTTTTTGTATATCTGATGGTCCTGAACTACAGTAAGTAATGACAAAAACTGCTCCTTAAAAATTTCTTAAAAAAAAACAACAGTTCTGCTTTAGCTAAGAACAGAACTATTGTTCGCATACCAGCTGTCTGTCCGAATCCAGCTGTGTCATGTGATCTCCGCCCCCGCTTGCCGGTCTCCACGTCAACAACCTGAGAAGAGGACAGGACAAATATAATCTAATCCACCTCAAATGGCACAGATCTCCCAAATCTAACACAGTTTAAAGGCAGTGAAGACAACTCACACATGGGGGATGGTGGTTTTGAAGATGTCCAGCATGCAGTTGCAAGTTTTGTCCCATGTCTCCGGTGTGAACTTTTCTCCGTTCAGGATGACCACGTTCTCTAAACAGTTGGTGCCCGATCTGGCCAGCTGCTCGTTATCTACAAAAAAAGGCAGTGGTGGAAGGATTAGGAATGAGTAGGATGATCTCTGATCAGTTTTGATTTTAATTCTTTGGAAACAATTTTATGTATCTTGACATCTGAAATTTCAGCACAATCGACTGAATCTGTAATCCATTAATAATTCCGAATCATACCAAAAAAAATCAAACAATAAAAGCAAACTGTCAAGCTTTTATTTATTTATTTTATGCCTAAAAACAACATTTTTGCAAAAAATATGTTATTCCTTTGTTTGAAGTGTCATATCTTATATTCTATCTGCTCTTTTCTGTTTTGTATGTATGCTGATCAGATTCTCACCTTGCTGCACACACCAGTAGAGTTGAGAGAGGATGTCGTCCAGTAGAACGTCATTGAGAGACTCAAAGTATTGCGTGAAGACATCACAAATGGCGTAAAGTGCATGATTACAGGTGGTGGTCATCCACTCCGCTTTCTGCAAAACAGTACAACACTTAATACTGGCTACTGCTCTAAATGTCTACATGCCAAATAGAACCAGAACTGACTGATAATAACAATAATAATAATAATAATAATAATAATGATAAAAACCCCATCTCCATCACCTGTCTTCTTTGCCATTTTCTATATTTTTTCCTTTGTTAACAAAAATCAGCTGGCCCTACACGCTGTGTGAACATTTTCTGATGAATGGATCGATTCTGACATAAGTGCCTCTTACTCTCAATGTAGCACTTTATGTGATTCATGTTATTTAAATATGCAACTGATATTAAAAAAAATGTTTGGCAAAATAAGTTTGGCTAATAAAAAGAGCTGGAAATGTCCTAGTGTGCTCATGTATTCATTTACTCAGAGTTAAAAGGCTAATCGAAAAATATCAGTTATCGGGCAATTTGACCGTAAAAAGAAATAGAAATTGGACACAAAAATTCATAGTGCATCCCTAATATTTACATACCTCAGTTCGCTGCTCTGGTAGCTTCATGTTGTCAAAAATTCTGAAGACGATACGGAACAAGTCTTGCCACCAGTGCTTCTCATAAGTGTGACCATAAGTCTTCATCACTTCAAACATTACTGTCAAACCCCTGAAGCACACACACACACACAGACACTCAGTTAGTTCTTAAAGTACTCAGCCAACAGTCACTACTGCTGAGCTCTGCTTTACCTCCATTTCAGGGTATTATCAGATTTAACCACAAGCACCACAGCAGGCTGCCTTCTTTTCCCAAGAACTTATGGTTGCCTGATATCTACATGCTCTTCAGATACTTAATTTAATGTTGCTGGCAGACGTCATCTTTTATACAGATTTGAGGTCAATAAGTTTTATAATCTTACAGTAATTAAGATTAGCACTTGAACTTATAGCAAGGCTAGCAGGTTTAGCATAAAAGTGCAAGTTCTTTCAGTAATCTAGCCACTTTCAAAAGGCAAGCTAAATCTTACAAGGTTATGAGCCTTAAATACTACTGGAGCTGGATTAGTTCCTGGAGGAGGTTGTGGAACGTAATGTGTAGGATTTGACTGCACTGTTGTTACAGATTTAACAAACTGTCTAATTTCTATAAATTCCTACAGATGGCCAGGATGTATGTTCATGACAGCCTTACGCATAAGACACTCCATAACGACAGCAATTCGCATCATGGTTGTGTGTATATGTTGGTTTTGTTATTCTTTTAACGTGAGGTTTGGAACAGGACTACTAATACTGAGGGAGATCCGCATCTAGCGAATTACAGAAGAACATCCACATCACATTTATTACTGTCAGACTGTTAAAACTACACACACACACACACACACACACACACACACACACACACACACAGCAGATTCATATTGGATTAAAATCATTCCACAATTACAACTTTCAGACTGTAAAAACTAAACTCACTGCACATTCATACTGGATTAAGATCACTTATCTTGTCTGCAACTATAGCATCTCCCCAGGTAAACCTAATCCAGCTCCAACCCTGCCTTAGTAAGCAGTTGCACTGACCTGGTCCGGACATCCAGCTTGCACCTGTTGATGATGCAGGAGAGTTCGAACAGGATGGGGAACCAGCCTCGGACCCACACCCGATCTTCTGGAGCTACATTCATGTCATCACTTGTGTAGTCTTTAAACGCCTGCCATTAGAGAAAACATCTCATAATTCAATACAGCAAAGGTAAAATTCTGCACAGAGAAACAAATAAACTCCCTCTCCTTACAGAAAACACCGCACATACTGGTTTGATTTAGGTCATATTTACAGATCAGTGGAGGTTCCCTCTCTCTCAATCTGGCAACCCTCCCAAATTCTCCCAGAATTTTGCCAGAACTGTGGGCTGACTTCTCTAATCCTCAATTAGCACAAGCATAAGCCATGCTACTTCCTAAACCATTTATGATGGTACCATAACCAAAGCCCTGGGCAAATTCAGCCTTTAAAGAGAAGAAAAAAAATAGAGTTTCTGTCCTCAGTGCATCTCTAATTCTATATTTCCTTCATACTGGTTGGGTGATATGACCAAAAATCTTTTCACAATTTGTTTTTCCACATCTTTCAATATGTGTAATTACTTATATTTTTATATGCTTTTGCTGATTCTCAATTTTAACTCACATTCCAGAGAATATTAGGAATGAAAGCTCAATGTACATATGTATGTGAAAATTAAATATCGTCTGTCTAAGACAACTCATTTCTATAATAGCTTTTTTCCTTTTGCGATAAGGTTACTAAATCCTTCTGCGTGGTGAATATCATTACATCTGTAGGTTACATTTTAAACCTTTGTAACACTGCATTGATGAAATTATTTTGTAATTTTCCTTAGTTCTTCTATACTATACATACACAATATGGACAAAAGTATTGGGACTTCTACACATTACACCTACAAGAGCGTTTATGACATCCTATTCTAAATTCATAGGCATTAATATAGAGTTGGTTTACTTGGCAGCTATAACAGCTTCCACTTTTCTGGGAAGCTTCCTACAAGATTTTTGAGTGTGTCTGTGGGGATTTTTGCCCATTCATCCAGAAAGCGATTTGTGAGGTGGACCACAATCTCCCTTCTAGTTCATCCCAAAGGTGTTTGATGGGGTTGAGGCCAGGGCTCTGTGTGGGCCAGTCAACGTCTTTCACACCAAACTCACCCAAACATGCCTTTATGGACCTTGCTTTGTGCACTGGGGCTCAGTCATACTGGAACAGAAAAAGGCCTTCCCCAAACTGTTCCCACAAAGTTGCAAACATATCATTGTCCAAACTACAAACTAAGTGAAACTAAGGGGCCTAGGCCAATCTCTAAAAACAGCCCTATAGCATTATCCCTCCTCCACCAAACTTTACAGTTGGCACAATCTAGGAGGGAAGAAATTTCACGAACTGACTTTGCAATGGTGGCATCCTACTACAGTAACATGCTCAATTTAAGTGAGCTCTTTAGAACAACCCATCTTTCACAAATCTTTGTAAAGGCAGACTGCATGGCTAGGTGCTTGATTCTTTACACCTGGGGCAACTGAATGAAACACCTGTATTCAATGATTAAAAGGTGTGTCCCAAAACTTTTGGTGCACATAGTGTATGTTGCATATGTTGTATATTGAATACTGTTTATCGTATTTATGTGTTACGTAATATGTTTATGATTATTGTGCTGACAGAGTCGGATTACATTTGAAGCATTCAACTGCCATGCTGGTCTGTGCTGTTGTGAGTGAATGGCTTGTTCTTCCTCTCTGTTACTGTCCAGTTACAAACTGTTTAACATCTTAAGCATATCATCATAACAGCAGAACTGAGACTGACTATTTTATTGAGTGAAGTCTTAGGCTGACCTGAGGCCTGTCAGAGACATATTTGGCGCAGTGGCGGATCAGACGGATTGCCTCCATGCTGGTGTCGGGGAAAGAAGCATTACAGGCAAACTCTGACAGACACTTGACGGCGTCCTGGAAGGAGTCGATGGTGGCAGGGAAGTGCTTCTCGAATACATTCGCTGTAAGACAAGACAGACACTAAGCACTGATACCTCAGTCTACACCTACATGATGGAAAGCACAACTGAACTCTACAGTACAGATAAAACCTATAATACAGAGAAAACCTGTAACAAAAAAAAAACTGTAATGATCAGTCTATACGTTCAAACTTGAATTCCTCACTCTTATAACTATGTACTACACATCAGTTTCAGTAGTTAATTCTGAATAATAAGTCTTAAATGATGACTGAATGGTAAGTATGGGGTTGAGGGGTTATGTCTGAACAAATGTTGAAAAGGGATTAAAAAGAATACAATTACTAATCCCATGATTGCATTTTTCAAGTTTGGCAAAAAGTCATGGTTACGTTTACCTGGCATCAACAATGTGGCAAATCAACTGAAATGGCTTAGCAATGCCAGGAAGAAAACCTTCCTGTCAAAAGTTTAGGGTCACCTTGCCCTCCTATGATTGATTTTCACTGTTATTATTCAATTAAGTAAGCAATTACTTTTTAACCATAAAGGAGCCATTTTCTTATCCTTTGGGTGTATTTAGCTTGAAAACAAAACTTCATGTTCATTAAAATGTCTTTTCTTCTTAGTAGAAGCAAGTTCGTCCTAACTATTGATCTGTTTTTTTAAAAGCGTTGACTGACACTTGGCTAAAAGTTGGTTTAAACACCTGGAAGGTCTGAGAGCATCACAACAAGGGGATAAAATGATGGTATTTTGTCATGTGTTCCTTCTGTTTTTTTAGCTTTCACAAGGCTGTTAATGTAAGGCTGATCTAAACAGCTTTCTATTTAATGTTAAGTTATTGCGAGTTGACAAGTGTTTATTTATCAAAAACACTTTTAAAGCCTAGGTGTCTCCAGACTTCACAGGCTGTGCTTTGTTAACAATGTACATGTATTAATTAAATGTTAATTCATTATAAATAACAAAAACATGCAGTTGGTCACTTACTGACGATATGTCCAGTGGTTTGGAACGCCAGTTCCACGATGCTCTCGTCCTGATCGGACGCTGCCAGGTGGAAGACAGAGAAGATGTTCTTCCAGCCTGAGCGGATATTTCCTGCCTGAGAGTTCACCATTTGAGCTATGCAACGGACCACCATGTCCCTGATGGTGGGCGATCTGCACAGATGCAAACAGAAATGTGTCAACAATACAAACACCACTGTCAGGGTAGTTATGCAAAAAAAGTAATCCATTACAAATGACTAATTATATCTCTCAAACTGTAAGGGGATAACTAATTACTTCCTGAAGAGTGTGATCTACGAGAAGCAGCTAGTTATGCTGATTACAATCAGGAAAACTGAGAAACTAGCCAGTAGAAACTAGTAGTAGAATAAAATGTGAAGCTTACAGAGCTGATCCTGAATGAAAGTCTGGCCTGTTTAGGTGAGACTGGGTCTCTCTCTTTTTTGGCACAGGGATCTTTACCCATCAGTTTCATCTTAGTGTGATTTGATGCTTCAACAAATTGTTTGCCGTTTTTATGTTGCTGCTCATATTCACAATTCAAATTGCACAGTCATCTGCCACAGCTAGCACATGCACACAAAATCCAAATAAGTAAATAAATAAATAAAAATACATATCCATATGATACTAATTAATCTCACAAAATTAATGTTATCTAAGAGATACAAGTTATGAAAGTAATGAAATTCTCTTCATTAAGTTAGTAATTATAACGTGATTATAAGAATTTAAACAGTGACAGTACTTAGTTACAGTTTTGGGGACATGCAGAAGAAACATTTTGTAATATGGGTTGTGGTTTAGACTCCTTCACCTGAGCGGATGAATCTGATGATAGCAAGTGATTGAAAGAGAATTCAAAGAGAACTCCGTCAAAACTTGGTGAAAGATGCATCTTCCGAGGATGTAAGTGAATTATCTACTATTGTCATTGTATTTTCTTCGGCATATTATTGATTTTGCATCTGAGACCTAAACACTGACCCAGACCTTTTTTTTTTTGAGTCTGTACGTGTGATGTTATTACATAAAGACATGGTACCAAAAACTCCAGTGATATGATACCTGAAACCTCTGACTTGTAAATTATTAATTCAGGCTTTACAGGGCGACTCACAGCAGCGCATACACATCCTATTTTGGCATGCTTTTTTCCCCTCCTGACTCAGCAATTCTACTTCTTTCAAATTTAACCACAAAATCTTACATAGTGCGGCTTTAAGGACTACTCAGAAAGTTTTTAATTTTTCTATGGGGTGGTAGTGCAATGCACATTTACCTTAGGACATCTGTTTAAGTAGAAGATATCTATATACATAAAATACACAGATGGGAGAGGCTGCTCAATTTATGCACAACTTACTCCAAAAAACATGTAATTTAGCCTTTTTATTTGATTCCCCTAACCATCCACATAGCAGTCTTAAATAAATGGATTAGCATTGTCATTAGCTTGGGAATTAACAGCCAATTGTCAACATCACCACATAAATCAAACTTTTTCAATGTCATTTACCATGTTTTAACATTCAGAGTCATATACTTGAGGCAGGGCAATACATATCGGCTTGATTCGAACCACAGAGAACACAGAATATGACCTGTCAATTCACACAGGGTTAATTTAACCCGGGGTTGTACTTACTGTTTCTTTTAAAGCGGGTAAAGGCAGTGGAATCTTTAAAAATGTGGGCCAGTGCACTCTGACTGAGATGGCACATTCTAAAAGACTAAAATCCCTAAGAAACAACAGCAAAAATAACATTTCCTACTTAAGTCAGCAACAGCTAACACATACAGATAAGCTCGTTTTACCCTCAGTCCAAAGTTAAGGTCTAATCACTTTTGACATTGGCCTGTGTGCATGTGTGAGTGTGGGCTTGAGGCAGAAACGACTGCTTGCTGTTTAGGTTTAATGACCACCAAACTCTGCAGGGTGTGTGTGGCCTCAGACAACCTCTCTTCACAGCTGCCAACAGATGGGTGAGGTGATTTTACCAACTCCAGCCAAATTCTACAGCTTTATACCATACATGTCAGAACATGTGGAAAAAGATCTGGAAAAAGCGAGAATATACCTAAAACTTGCTGCTTGCTTATGTAACTGGTTCTACACTAAACAAATGAAAGGGTGAAAATCAAGTAAAACTACAATTTATTTACAAACCAGACATCTGAAGAGTTTAATGCCTCTTAAATGACATGAAATGAATATATGATACAATCATGATCTATATATTTTTGAACAAAACTCTGCCATTCCTTATTCTCACTATGTAAAGGGATAAAGTAAAACAACAGCATAAAATAAAATAAAAAAGTAAATATTTGCTGTTGTATCTCAAAAACATTACTTTTATATAGAAGAAAGAAAATCTTAACATCTATTTATGACAAATGTTAATGTCTCAGTCAGGAACCAGACATCTGAATTGTTTAATGTCTCTAAAGAAAATATACCTACCTCACAGAAATATATTACATAAAACATTACAAAAAATTGTTGATGCCTGAGACCCTGTTTTATTATTGTTTTGAGAAAAGGTTTTGGTGCAACAAGTAGTTTTGATAATAACAGCACTCTGCCATCCCCTATTCTCCCGTATCACTATGTACTGAGATAAAGTAACACAATAGTATAAATTAAAATAAATCAAAACATGTGTTTGCTGTTATATCTCTAAAAACACTACCTTTATATAGGAGAAGAAACAATATTTACATCTGTTATCATCTAACGATGACTTTCTGATGAGCAGAATCAGAGGCAGTGTTGGGGGTAATGCAGTTCAAAATAATCAGATTAAGTAGTGTAGAACACTGCTGTTTACAATTTTACATTGTTGTTTACATTCCTAGAATTACAGATACTGATTTAATTAGAATCTCATCACTTGCATTATTTATAATTTTCATTTGTACATTTAAAGCACAAATCTTCTGTTATCTGCGGCTGCCCTTTTATGTATTTTTTTTAATGCACTACCTCTGCCAGTTCACAGTTCAGAGCGACTGTGGGCAAGTTGCACAATAAGGAGGATGAGAGTGGATATTTCAAAGAGTATATTCTCAATTTCTTTATTTATTTTGATAAAAACACTGTAACGTTATGCCCAATCTTGAAATAGCTTTCCTGCTGTAAACCTCATCTAAAATCAGTCTATGTACTAACATGAAATCTAAAAAACTACATATGCCGTATGCATTCATGCTTGTGAGACATAATTTAACTAACATATCATTACTTGTTGGACAGCTGAAACAGTGAGGTAAGCTATATGGTATTTTATCCATAGATATTTTAATTAGAGGCAGCTACTATAAAATTATCAACTTTCTTCTGACTAGAGCAAAGGCAGGTATAGTGACATGGCTTTTAAGGATGCTTACTATTTCTTCTGAAATAAAGCACTGGGGTTTCTCTTGTACTTCTCAATTAGTACAGACTTGTTTGTGATTTACAGGGTCATGTAATTAGCAGCGAAACACATTTCCAATGAGTAATAAATAAACAAATCCTATTACAGTTTGTAAGTAGCTAGTAATTTGTAAAGGATTACTCTGAGCAAAGACACTGCGTAGTGCCGGAGTTACCCAGAATTGACCTGAAAGTCAATGTCTTAAAAAGCAATGCCTGCATCAGGGTCTGTGACACACTGATAACACCACTATACCACCATCACTCTTTATTTGCTTTGTAAAGCTTTTGCTGCAGGCAGGTTCCTGTTAATTTCATGGGGTCTCTGACTTTAGTCTCCCTTTTCAGCAAGTGAAATGAATGCTCAACTGAATTTAATTTAGTAAACTGACTTTTCCGCATTTCATTCCCCTGGTGAACTCCTTGTTGCCTCATCCCTGCATTTTAGGTCCTTGTCTTGTAGCACAGAGAATCATCCACACAATGGCAGTTCAAAGTTAAAGCAAAAGTAGCGTAGAACAAATAGATATGTTTTGACAATGCAGTGCTGCACTGCCAATATTTTTTTATTACAAGATGTGGAAGTTTGCAGAGACTGCCATACATATGTTGAGTTATGGCACTACCTCCACCATGTGTTACAGATGACTGTATGTGTTTGATTCGCTGAAGTTTTTTTTTTATGTGTACCTCACAATTGCCATGACAAACTTCACTGGCAGAGGTTTTGGATGAACAGAAGAAGTAAAAACAGACTTGAACTCACTAAACCACTACTTATGAAAGACAGCATGTCTGTAATCATTCTTGAAGTCTCTTTATGTTTCTGAAGACATTTTAATGCCACTTTATATTGAAGACCAAATTTGCAGTGGTGATATACAAAATATAAGAACATGCTTCAAAGTAATGCACCCAGCAACTCTGTAATTTCAACGTGCATGTGAAATCAAATGTCTCAAATGTCTTGGTCAAAAAGACCAAGTAAAGACTTTATTACATAAGTTTTTTCCATTTGTAAAAGATCATTTTGGACATTTTAAAACTATAAGGACCTGCAGACACTGTGGAAGATAAACATATCACTTTACTCAAAATGAAGCTTGTACTCATTGACACATTTTTTCCACTGAGATCAGGAGGAGTGTCAGGTAAAAAGACCTTCACCTGTTCTTTTTCATGATGTGCTCAAACGGCCTCAAGAAGTCCTTCTGAAACCTGAAATTGGCCAACTCTCCTTTCTCTAAAAATTTCATGGATAGCTGCCTGAGCGAATCCACAGCAAAGATAGCGACATCCTCATTGGGATTACAACCAACCTAAGAGAGAGAGGGAGAGATTTTATTACCTTGCTACCTTTACTACTTTCCACAGTGCCATTCAAGACAAACTGCTCATAAATTTGAGATGTCAAACTGCTAGTGCTTTACACTTGAAACAGAATGATAAATTTCAGATTACCTGCACTTGAAAACATTCTATCCAGCTCAGGTTAGTAGATTTGGCACTAAAATGTACTCACTTTGTTGAAATGATCTCCGATCACCTCCCAGATTCTGGACCACTGGAGCCTGATACGGCCCATGTTGTAGTAAGAAATCTCCACAATCTTCTGCAGGCTGAACATGCGAGGGTGCGTCGGGGAGGCGAGTTCGTCCATCGATACGGCACAAAGCCAGCGTACAAAATCAACTGCAAAAGCCAGAAAATGGTGTTCAACATTATTTTTTTTTAAATTATCACTCAAACACAGTTACAAGGCTATGAAAATTATAGTTATGGATATTATGTACACATACAATACACATACAATATCATTTATGTCATGATACCCACCGATAGCATTGCCATCCAATCTAGTGGATCCTGTAAATATCCTACAATAACAAAAAATCATGACAATGTTAGTAACAGCAAACTAGCATATTAAATAACAGCAGAAATGTCAAACAGCACTGTACCTGTCCACAGCCACCACAACACTTTGGGAGCTGGTTTCTCCGATGGATTCCTGTATGCTGGCAATCTGCTTTCTATCTACATTCCCCCCCACTGAGAAACAGAAGAAAACAAAGAATGGACATCTGTGGTGCAACTACACTTTATTTCATACAGATAAACAAAGTAACATTCAAACAAATCCATAAGTGTTAGCATTATAAAATGTGTGTAAATCTCTGATTTACATCACAAATTTCAATATGATTTTATCTGACTATTTTGGCATGATTAAGAACTATTTTTAATAAATCCCTGTACAAACAAAGGCGACTGGTGAAACTATTTATTTAACATATGATTTTGACATAAAAAAGTATCATTTATTTAATATAATCATAGAATATTCCAAAACAGATGCAACTGAACAGCCACCTTCAGACTGACAAGCCACCCCTTGAATTAACACCCTTACATTACATAAGAGAAGGTATACTGCACTTCAACCTAAGACTACAGTTCAGATGATGAAGCAGCGTGGACATTCGTACTGACCGAGGCCCAGGTATTCGTCTGAAGTCTGCTCTTTGGTGCTGGTGATGAGGCCCTCTTTACCCCGGACGGTTCCAGATATGTAGCGAGCCTTCACCCCTGTCCCTATGAGTTGGGCCAGCTCCAGCTGGCTAATGCACTTTAGAATCTACAGGAAATACAAATATACACTCAATCTCTGTCAGAAAAAGAGGAGTTAGGAATACCCAGGAGCGAGGTTCTTGTAGTTAGTCATATCAAAATGTTGTGAGTATTTGGTTGCAACATAAAGAGCAGACAGTTGGAGAATTGCTGTACAGTTAAAAGTAGCTTGTTGTGGGCTAGCTGCGTAGCTAGATGTGACCTCACAGAAAACGCAGGAATACCTGCTTGTGGTCTAATCATAGAGTAAGAAGTAACTAGTTATGGTTAGTTGCGGTCTTTTCATAGACTCAGCAGTAGCTAGTTGTGGTGTAATTGTAAAGTCAGAAACTGTGGTCTAATCATGCAGTCAGATACAGATAACTGTGATCTAATCATACAGTCAAAAGAAGGTAGCCGTGTATTAATCCTACAGCCAGAAGTAGCTGTGGTTCCACTGAAGAGAGAGAAGTAGGTAGTTGTGGTCTAATCACAGAGGATGAAGCAGCTGTGGTCTAATCGCAGAGTCAGTCATGGCTAGTTGCAGGAACAGCTTACCTCATGCCAGGAATTTCCCAGATAGTTCCCGTCAGTATGAGCCACTGTGATGAGGGTTTTGATAGTGTCTATGTTCTTCTGCTTCATCTCAGTGATTCCCGAGCTGGCTGTCAGCAAGGTGAAGCGAGCCAGAGCCTGCACGTACGCATCCCGCTCCAGCTGGAAACCACAGCGCAAAACATTCAGTACAACAACAAAAATAAAATCAAATAAATTTCACATTTATCTTTATTTCTGAACCCCAGCAGGCATGTAATATGTACATACATGTAAAATACATACATGTAAAAGTATACTTGAGTTGAAATTAAAAAAAAGCTGCAGAGCCGAGATAAGCTGTCAACATAGACGTAAGACATAGCTAAAACAACGATGAAGTGCCAAAAGAAAAGATGCAATGTGTGAAAAAGAGACAAAAATGAATAGAAAGCGAGTAGAGATTTGAGAGTACAGGAATGTTGCGATAATGAAGATTATAACTAAGGATACAGGGGGCATTATTTTGTACAAACTGAAGTTTGTTAAGAGATTTAGTTTGTACCATGACAAAAAGTGCAATGTCATAGTCAATCCTAGATTAAGACAGTATAGACACTCTGCATCTGGCACTGACAGAAGTACTCTAATCCTAGCAGTATTACAGAGCTGGAACAAATTGATTGTTATGAAGTTATGAGCTAACTGACTATCAAACCACAGAAGGCAGAGACATTTAAATACTGTCAATAATGAGATTTTTACTATTTGTCAAAATAAAAATAAATAAATAAATAAATAAATAATCAGAGAAAGATCTGCTTTATCCAATTTATTTTGTTTAAGCAAGTTGCTAAAGAATAAGCATTCATGTCAGATGTATTGGAATAAAAGAGTCATACTGCAGTTGTACAACAACTCAAACCTACCAGTAATTTTCCCAAGACAAAGCATATAAGTACAAATAAAAGCAAAAAGGGCCTAAAACCATACCCTGTAGAACACCTTGCTTGGCTGATCTGAATGCATCCATAACGACAAACTGAACGCCAGATAAGAATTCTTTAAACCGTGGTTCAGCCTTTACACCTTCCAGCTTGCGTGACAGACTTCAAACAGCTCCACTTCACTTTTCTGACATCTTAAACTGGATTGCTAACTAAAAAGCCAATCCAGCCAATTAAGTGCCAAATAATGACAGAACATTTAATATGATATGACAGAGGACCTTAAAAGTGTTGTTCTTGGACACATTGACTGCCCTTTGGAAATAAAAACCAGCATAATGTGTGAAAAAAAAAAAACAATTGCCAGCAAAAAATCAATAAGGTCACTCTTGGTAGGTGGCACGCTTAAGAGCTTGTACCTGAATAGTAAAGATACAGGCTATTCTGATGGCACAGCGGATACCCTCCAGGCAAAGAGAAGCCACCTCGGTGTCATCACAGTCCTGCAGGCCCACACTGAATGCTGCTAAGAACGGCGTCCAGGCCAGCTATGGAGAAAAGGTCATGCGTCATTAATGCCAACACAGGGAACTGAACAATATTCTGCAGGCTAGACAATGCATCTGGCATTCAGAGAACCACAAATAAATTCGAGGAACACATTACTGGGCATTAACCTCTTAAAGTCCAAGCTTATCATACAGTTATTTATCTTAAGTTATGTTATTCAGTATTTGCTGTGAATTATTCGATATTTAAAATGATGCTTATATGTACAGTACTGTCAAAGTCAAAGACCACCCTTCATTTAATCAATATCAAATTTAAAATTTTAAAATGGCCATTAAGTACAAGTGAAAAATGAATAACTTGTATTCAAATAAATGAAGGCCAGTCTCTGACTTTTGAACAGTACTCTAAAAAGTTATGGAAGTAAGGCATTAAAGTGTGGACCAATTCAACAGTTCTTTAAAGTTTAAGGAGTTAAAGCTTATAAATAAATTTGTGTGTGTGTGTTGCACCTTAAACATTGGCCGGACATGCTCCAAATGAGTGGCGCTGGTGAACGGAGCCTGAACATGGCTCACTGCCTCCATCAGAGCCTTAGCCGTCTTTGCCATCTGCTCCATTTCCACATTGTAAAGCAGCCGCCTTTGCTTCTCACTGGCCACACCTGACCCAGGAACATCAGCACAGCATATACTATACTTGCACTATATCATTTAGACTGGTTGACCACTGATCTTGGGACATTACTCATCTCACAGTGGGTGTAATTACGAATAATCAATTCACCACTGAACAAAATGATCTTGTTTTGCTGGTTTACTTTAACATTTAATCTGCTTAAATATGCATATCAGGGTCATGACAAATGACAAGTTGAAACAAGAGGCCTGGAATTAAGCATTATAATGAATTTCTGTGCTGTTAACAAAGCTGAAATGTTACATTCTGAGGATGATGACTTGAGAGAGATTTCATCATCTCTTCAAGCGGGTAATCTGAGATACTGATGGCTGTAAAATCGTCTTTGACACATCCATTCCAGTGCAGTGATAAATGCAAAAATGTAATCATAGCACAGCATGCAAAACTCACTTTGTTTATTTGATTTGAGTGTTAATTCCTTTGTTTCCTTCATGGATATTTTCTTCCCAGCGATTTCATCATAGATAGCTGACAAATACTCTTCGGGCAAATCTTTACTATCATTGATCCCTCTATTCATCTTGATGTATTGCTCTTTTGTCATTTTATTCTTCACCTGTCAAGCAAAAAGAGAAAAGAAACAATTTATTACATGTTACTGCTCAGGAGGATTCAACTTTCCACACTTTTTTTTGACGCTACTGGAAAGAATCTGTGCTGAAGAACACATCATTGTGTTGAAAAGGCACTGACTTTATGCCATGACATTCCAACATGCATTCACACCTTCAGCCTTCATATTATAAGTCACAGACTTCAAGAATGTATTGTCTGTCTGACTGAGGACTATGCCTAAGTGAGAAAATTGCTTTCTGAAGTCAAGAATTCAGCAAACAGACAAAGAGATGCTCTCACCTGTGGACTATGGAGGTCTGTAGTCAGCATAATGATTGAATAAGCAAGGACATACGCTGTGTCTGCACTCGCAAACAGTGTTTGCCTACGGAGAAAAAACACAAAAATACAACATATTTAAAACATGAGCTGCACTGTCTACTAACTATGCTTCATTACACTTCACTCAAGAGAGCTGAAGAGAAGCCCACTCACCCTTGGTTGCACTCTAAATATCTAGCAGCAAATTTTTCCATCAGGCGATCGATTTTCTGGGCTTCTCCAGGGAGCCGGAAGCCCTCCAGGAACATCCGCAGGGCCGACACAAAGTCTTTACCCTGGAAATCCATTTGGTCCACATAGGCATACATCACTTCTTTGTTGAAGCGATCGTTGTCTCCCAGAAACTCACCAGCTTGAATCTGTAACATGAAAGGTAAAATGGTTTTAATGTATTAACTCCATGACACAATCAGGATACAGGATAAAAATTAAGAAACATTAGATGTGTCCAGAATGATAAACAGATCAATAGAAGACTATAAAATAACTGAGAACCCCATATAACATTGTTCTATTAAATTTGTAATAAAATCAATTTTAGAAGTCGTCATATTTCAAAAGTGGAGATCAAATATGCAGGTAGATAAACATACATCTAAAAATACATTCTGGTGAATAATGTGTAATATTTAAATCCATAATTTGTAAGTTAATTAATAATTAATTAATACATTAATTAATTGAAGTTAATTAATAAGTTAATTTGTAAGAATTTTTCTACATGGCAAATGATTCCAAACCTTTGAACGGTAGACTAGCACTTCATTCATATTATATTATTAGATTTAGATCATACTGTGGGAATTTGTGCCCCGTACTTGAGAATTAACAGACGAAATTGCCCCATATTTAACATTTCTGCCCTTTAAACCATAAGAAAAAATGTCCACAATATAATATGCTATATGCTATTAATGCTTGTGCACAAGATTAATATCACAAGTTTCTTCACTAGTTCTTCAATTTCTTATTAGGTCTCCTTTTTAAGATCAAAGAGAAGAGGTCAATTTATTTGTTTTCTTTAGACTATTTAATAGTGTTTTTAGACTATAGCCTTTCAAACAAGATATCGATTGCCAGTTTCTACTGCAATTGTGAAACTGCAGCGTCAGTAACAGACACAATGGTCAGCATAAGCAGCCACAACATCCCTAGCCCCTTAGCTGACTTTCAAGCTAAAGTATTCGGAATTCAAATCTTTATTTGTCTCTATTCACCAGGCACAAAGCATGAAAATGTGCCATTTTCCCTCCTTTGATGAGCATAATGTGATAAATACACGTCTTGGCGGGTGCTCTAGAGTCTTTTCAGCAAGCTGCAGGCTTGGCGTCGAGGAGCTCTCGTTTTCAGAGCAGATGTTAAGAGAGTTCTTTTTCACACACGTCCCGGCAGAATGGAGAGACCCTCGAGGCCCGCTGATGATGAGGCTGCCTAACAAGAGCACGGCTGCTGAAAACAACACCAACACTCACCCAAAACTGTCAAGTCTTTTTGGAATGGGAGTTCGGAAATACTTGATCTTCCTTATCAAGATAAGAAGCCCAAGCGTCTAAGTGTTTTCTGTGGCAGAAATTTGAGGACTGTGATTCATGTTTTTTGTCACTGAGTATTGTTTACAGCATATTAATAGCATATATTAGTAATATAATTACTGTGCAAAGTCATAGGCATCTACGCAAGTTGTTTAAAACAAAGCAGTAAACGCTCTCTTGCTTGTAAAAACAAGCATATATAGCATTAGCATAAATAAAAACATGAATGCAGTAAATCCGAATACAAATTTCTTGTTTTCCAGAAAGTAGTAGATTTTTTTGTTAGAACACCACAGATTTGGTTCCAGATGTCTCCTCGACAGGGATGCACCAAAATTTCAGCCAAAACAATTTGGACAAAAATAAAGTTTAAAAAGAAAACAAACTGTAAAGTCCAGAAGCAGGGATGCCAGACAAAATCCATTAATTAACAGTAAAAGTATGTTTTCTCAATAAGGTTAAAAATCTGTAAAATTACAGTCATCTTATTTCTTAGAAATACTGACCTTTACCCTCATTCAACAGTTATTCAACTATTTAGTTTCACTAGTTCAACTGCTCTCTGTTGTCAAGGACACTGGATTCTATGCCACATGTAGCCCACACACTGTAATAATTTGGTAAGTTTATTTTATGTATGTTTTTATTTATTGTCAGCTTTTGTAGGTTACTGGTTTCAGTTTTCGACCTGAATTTCAGCCACAAAGTTTCATTTGTGGGCATCACTACTCCTCGGCATTACCGGAATTTATTCAATTCAATCGTCACCACAACTGATTTAATTTAATGAGAGACCGATTAGCTGAAGCAAGTATTGCATGATAACTACAAATGATATGGGTGATTCCTTGAGGTACAACACCAAAAAACATGAACACACACAAAATGAGCTCTTTTGTACTAATGATATTTCTCTGTGTTGTAATATTAGTGTTTTGCTGAGCAAACAAACATAGAAAATGTAATTTAATTTAATGTGATTTTCTGTGGTGTCAGACGTTATGCCACACAAACACATTATTTTTGTAAATTGCATTATCTGGAAAATAACCAAGAGCTTACAGAATCCAGTCTCTCCTCCTGATGTAAAAACTGAGCGATGTCCTCAGGGGTGGTTCCCAGCATGCCTTGCTCCTGCAGGTACTGGATGCCTCTCTTTGGTTTTTTGTTGAACCTTTAAAAGAGGCACAAGCACCAGTAAGTTGACACAGACTCTGGACAACAATTATTATCATTGGGTAACAGATTTATTCTTAGCACAGCAGTGACACACACACTGTAGCGGTACCTAATAAAATGGCAACTGTTTTTTTTGTTGAAGGCATTAGAAGCTTAGCTTACAGGTCAATGCCCTGCTCAATGATCTCCTTCTGCTGTTTGAGGACCTCAAACTGCTCTGGGTTGTCTGTGCCGGACATCTGCGTGCTGTAGCTGCCGATGCCGGAGGAGGCAGTGGAGTCGAGAGAGTTAATGCTCCCATAACGGTTAATGGTCTCCGGGTGCTTGGACTCATTGGACTCCTGTTCTGAAGGCTTCTCCTGGCCTGAGAGAGAGAGAGAGAGAGAGATGGGGGGCAGCAAGAGAGAGAATGGTGGAATAAGAAAGATATAAAGAGGCACAAAAAAGGGAAAAAAGAAAGAAAGGAGAGTGGTTAGTGAGAGAGATACAGAGAGGGACAAGGGAAGTGAAGGACAGAAAAAAGGAAACAAAAAAGAGACAGAGGGGGCAAGCAACATCGAGAGGTGAGGGAAAAGAGAGAGTGGGGGAAGAGAGAATGAGGTGGAGTAAGAGAGAGATTGTGAGAGAAAGAGAGAAAGGGGGGAGCAAAACAGACAGAGAGAAAGTGTAAAAGAGAGAGGGGGACAGAGAGAGAGAGGAACAGAGAGAGGGACAGAGAGAGCGAGAGAGATATGAACACGGCAGACAAAGAGACACAAAGTGTAAGTAAAGAAAGAGAAAAGGGAAAGCAAGGCAGATAAAGAGAGACAAAGCGTGTAAGAGTGAGCAAGAGAGCGCGAGAGAGAGAGAGAAAGCGAGAGAGATGAATAAAGCTGGTAAAACTCCAGGCCCCAGTGGTGCAGGCAGTGGAGACAGTATGATTCATTAGCGTTCTGGCTGGGTTGTAATGTGAGTGCTTCTGTGTGGAGGCCCTGCTCTCAGTATGAGGTCCAGAACCCATTACAAAAGGTCAGTTAGAAGCTTTTCACCTCGGAAAGAGACAAGAACCCAAAAGCAGGCGGTTTGAGGGGAGAATGTAGCAGGACAGGCCACAAGCTAAAAGCTAAAGGCTCTGCAAACAAAGCCAGCAGATTGTGTGTGCTTGTATATGGAAGACGCTGTTCAGGTCTCTGATTACATGTCGGAAACTCTCTAAAACATTCAGCATGCAGCCGGCACGGAAATCTGAGCCTGCAGGTTGCTTTCCTGTTTCCACTGTTCCACTGTAGACTAAATGTTACCTCCTCTAGAGGCACTACGAACGCTTCCCAATGGTCTAATACATCAACTTTACACAGCCACGCTATACTGAAAAAATGAATGCAATGAATGAATTAACGTAACAGGGAATTCACCCATTTTTCATAATATACGCATATTGCAATCATTAAGCTGTCATTAAACAGTGTCATTCAGAGCAGTATGAAGTGAAATGCTCTGTTCTAGAGAAACTTACAAAGTCAGAATTGTTCACAGTGGTGATAAGAACCAGACATGTTTAGAGTCTAATGCCTCTACAAGCTACATCACATAAAATGGTTATGAATACGCTGCTTGATGCAAAAGACCACGTTTTACAATAACTGTTCGATAAGGTATTTATAAAATATATGCACGGCTGACAGGTATATTGTATGTTGTAAGGCAAAATAGTATCCAAAAAAAGACCTTTTTTTCAGATTTACCACTATTTTATTATTATTATTATTATTATTGTTATTATTATTATTATTAATATATAAAATTCAGAAGACACGTGCACGTTAACCAGTGGTTTCAGTAAACAAAATGGCTACATCTGCAGTGCAGAAGTTATGACCCCTGGTTCCTAACAGCACCACAGTTGAGTCTAAGTGCTTTTTCACACCTGAAAGTCTAGACCACATGTGTCAGGCTCAAGTCCTTGCGGGCCAAACACTGCAGACTTCAGCAAACTGCCTCATTAAGCTGCCTGATTCAGCTCTTCAGCTAATTAGCAAGGCCTTCATGAACTGAATCCAGAGTGTTGGATGAGAATGACCACATTCCCAGTTTGACATGCCTGGTCTACACCAAGGTCCGAGCCAAGGTTCACATTTTTGTTACATTGTATACATCTGATCTGGTTAGTTTTGGTTTTACTGCATTTTAGCAAGTGCACCAAAGAACTTTGGATGACACACCTACATCCTGTTGTCATCACCCACAAGAGCTGTGTTTCCTCATACTTGACATTGATCCTCTCAGAAAATAAGTTATAAGTGTCAGCATTTTTATGCCTTTTTTCAAGTTGACATTTAACTTTCCGTTGGACCAAATTACAATTAATTATTTTGACACCTTCTCTCACTGTGTGCTACCGTGGCTAATTTTACTTCTCTCCTGGTTCTTTTTCTTCTTCTATTGCTTAACGGCTGACAATAGCCTGCCTCAACTTCCTGTAATTGGTCTGAAAGTCGGAACCATCCAAAAAAAAGTGTTTAACGCTGCAAACAAACCAAACAAGTTTCAGTTTGATCCGGACAAAGACCACCTCTTTTGGTCAGACTAAATTTTGGTCCTTTGGTCCAGACTGTGGTCCGAGGCAACTTTCGCACCTGCTTTGGACCAAACCGAAAAGTCTGAAGGTCCAGACCAAACAAGGTAGATGTGAAATCACCTTAAGTTTCTCTAGAATGGAGCGTTTCACATCAAACCACTTTGAATGACTTTGTTTACATTTTTAACACTTGAGTTAGGCATAAATTCAAAAAATGGTGTAATTCAAATGTGTACATCATTTCCATATGAATAAAATATTACATCATCACAGTTATGGCCTAAAGCAAGTAAACTGAAATGCAAAGCTTGCTGCAATATATTTCATTCATGCGGAAATGAATGGCGTCCATTTGAATGAAGTAAATGCTATGCATTACTTTTTTCAGTGAACTAAACAGCATCAAACACCACATTCTAGCTAACAAACAACAAACCTATACAAACACAAAAGGACCCCTAAGTAACTTATGCAACAGATGAGTATTAAGAGGTCATCTAATGCATAAAGCTAGAGGAAGCTGTTCTAACCCACCACCAACTAAACAGAGGCCTTTAATCAGGCCAATAGTTACTACAGCAACAAGGACAGCGAAATCCACATCCGCTCGTATAATACCTCCTCTCCCTTTGATGTGTGCCCATAAAGACAAAGAACAAAACAGCAAGAGAGCAGTGATGACATGCACAGAGTAGACTTAGAGCGGGCTTATTAGAGAAGGCCAATGCTCCAAAACAACCAAAATTATGTTTACTGAGTTACAAAGGCAAATTACAGTTTTATGTTTGGTCTAACATCACTTGTACAGGGAAATTATAGTTATAATTTAGCCTCGTGTCTTTTGTTTCTATAAAAGTTACAGGTGTGTAGCTTTGATACAGATGCTAATGAAGGGTTCACATGTTTTTGAAGTGATCTGAGGAATTTGCCTGGTTCAGTCAGGCAGAAGTAAATTTCAATATAGCACCAACATTTCAAAGTAAAAAAGAATATGAACGTAAAATACAAAAAGTATTAGTAAAACATAAAAAAGAAACAAGATAAATAAGAATTAAGACTGAAAAAAGACAAATCTGATAAAATAACCTCAATCAAGTAACTTACCATCCGTTTTCCCTGCTCCACCCATAAATTCGATCTTTCATAGCGACTAACGACATTTCCATTCACATATTTTTATGCATATTTGGACAAACTAAAGACCTGAGACTATATAACAAAATAGATCAAATCTGCATAAAAGTATGCTCGCATGAAGTGGATTTTTTTGCAGATGTGTTTAATTCCAACAAAATACGATGGGAAAGGATTTGCTTAAAAAATAATGTTATTATAAATAAAACAGTCACGATTGATCCCATGTTTCCATATTTGCCCAGCCATAGCTACAAAACAGGACAGAAAGCAGCAAGTAACAGTGAACTAAAGAAGAAATTAGAAGAAAGAAACTTGGCTACTGTTGCTAGGTTGGACAAGCTTCCCAGAATACTGGCAAAAATCACATCCAACCTAAAGAGTTCAGGCTGGAGTTTAGATTGGCTACATATAGGCCTGTCATAATTATTACATCATCACATAATCACAATTATTTGAGATGATCACGACTCTTTGAGCTGAACTGCAATCATTTTCCACATTCGTTTGATTTCAAAGTCAACAAATAAAATATGAAATGGCTCTGTTGGGTTAAGGCAATTAAATGTAAATTGAAGAAAGCAGTAATGAATTCAAAGGCTTGTGAAAAAAAAGTTCTAACTTGGTGCTCTGACATGTAGAGGGCAGCGTGAGCAATGTTTGTTTATATGTTAACTGTAGCTAATTCTAACATGCTTAGCATGTATGTCAGCAGAATGCATTTTCTGCTTATATTTTTACTCTCATAAAGACATAGCTTTGCTTAACTCTACACATACTGTGTAACGGTAGACATTTGAGAGTGTGCACACACAACAGTGTAGTGTATTGCTTCGACAGTACTACCAGTGTTAATGACTAGGTAAACAGAGCTAAGAAGTAAGGTGGCTAATCAGCCAATGTAGCCACTTCAGGGCTGTATTTCAATAACTACGAACTAAAAAAAGACAAATACAATTTACAAGGCAACTAAACAGCTAAAATTTCATGATTGTGACAGCCCTAGCTACATAACATTAAGATTTTAGGTTAAAATGCTACACTAGTCTGTGTTGTTGTAGCTAAACGAAACTGGCCAGACTGAAAACAAAGTTAGTACCATGCTAACATTTGCATGAATACAAAAAAATAAATAAAAATAAATAACACAATACATCTGATCTTAACAGTGTGATATTTTATATGCATACAAAATGAATATTATTTGAAGCTCATAATGCACTCTAAATTAACATATTTTGACAGAAGCAGCTACACTTTCTCATTAGGTTAAAAGGGAGTTTGGCCAGTGTACTCTAAAGTTTGTCCAGCCTCATAAAGGCTGCTACAAAAGAATATTTGTGACCCTGAGTCTTAATTAAAAGCTAGATTTAAAATGTCATATAAATTTTGAGCATTAATTCAAGCATGTAATTTCAGGGATCAGCATGCAAATGCATTTTCTCCTGCTGCTCCTTTTCTTTATGCTAAGCCTGACCCTCCGAGTCAACTCCACTCTGACTATGGATCATCATTTAGACTGGCCTGGAAAGAGGGCTACTGGACACAGCACAGACAAGGAGCATTTGATCTAGGATGGACTCCAGTCCTGTGCCTTGGAATGGGCCTGGGGCTCTGTATGCCTGCCCTGAATGATGAGCAAACAGCCTCTGGCCTGCTTGAGTAAGATGGAATGCTTTGCCACAGGCACTGCACTAATAGCTGAGTGCTTACTCTAAGGCACTGAATTTGCCCTCCAATATATATAAAGCTAGAGAAACACTGGGGTACAAAGCCCCCCCGGCACTGGGCTGTGGAGCAGTGGAACTGCGTTCTCTGGAGTGATGGAACCTTTGGGATGAGCTGATCAGAACTAATCATCCAACATCACTACCTGACTTCACTAAGGCTCTTGAGGCTGAATGCAATCAAATCCTAACTATTAACACCCTTGATTTCAGAAAAAACTTAAATAAGCACACAAAGGTTTGGACATCATTAGAGCATCATAGTCTTTGTAAGGGTAAACGCCATAAAAAAACCTTTTTTATCCGACTTTGGTGGCTAACTGTCGCAGCACTAATGTTTTAATCAATAAATCAAGCAAATATACAGCCACTTAACATTATTAATATACTTTTTTTTATTATTAATATAGTATTAATATACTGCACAGACTATTTCTTACACACAGGCCCTTGAATAAGGGTGGGCAATATGACAAAAATAAATAAGATTCCACTTTTTGAGGTTTGATAAAACACAATCCAGGAGAAAAAATACAAATACATACAAAATATAATACCAAAAATCCACTTGAATCAAAAATGATACACATAATTTTTTTAATTTGGTATTTCAAATCTCCCGACAACGAGGCAAACTCTGTCTAAATCTCTTCAATGAAACATGCAGCTGTTCAAGTGTTCTGTTAATACCCACAATATGCTCACAAAAGCTTATCATGATGCAATTTATCATGATTACGATATTTTTAAAAAAAATTTAGAAACAAGAAGGAATGACAGCAAGTGATGGCTCATCTACCAGCCGCTAAAGGAAGATTGTGGGTGGCTTACCGAGGCTGGTCTGCGAGTTAGGGTTTACGTATTGATCCTTGCTCCACTCGACCATGCACTTGAGGATGGAGACCAGACACTCCAGGCCTTTTTTCCTTAGAGTGAGCTCCTGGAGATCAGAGCAGACTAATGTCATAACACAGCTAGGTCTTCTCTCAAACAGTGTCCATAAAGACCTGTGCTGACACGCCACTACCAAAACTTGCCATTACCATAACTAACTTAAGGACAACATATTTTGTGTTTCTTTAAAACAAAATAAGCCAAAGCAAAAAGTTTCAAAGCATTCAGTTAGCTTATTATAAGTGGCCAGAATGCTCACCAAGAAAACCAAGCCTATTATCATGGTAATAAGATCATTACACTGGTGGCTAGTTTTGAATTGAAAGAATTAAAAGTCAAATAAAAACTTAACAGGCCTTTCAGATCACCTGGGATTAATCAGCGAGCAGTGCTTAAACTGAGAAACCTAGAATGTTGAGGCAGCTTTTAGCTTGAATGCTGCCAAAAGCTGGAACCAGCTGTCAGAAGATCTCAGATGTGCCCCAGAATTGGGGCTCTTTAAGACCAAACTGGACACTTCTTTTTTTCCTGTACTTTTGACACACTTTCTATCTAGACCTTTTTAGTTATGTATTTAATTTGTCTTTTGTTCTTATTATGCTTTTATGCTGTTTTTATTAAGCTTTTATTCACACAAGGAACTTGCTGAATATTTTAAACAGAAATAAATTATGCAACCCAAAACTTAGTCAGATTTGACTTAACAAGGTAGCACATCCCTTTATGTACACTGTCCTTGAGAGTCTTAAGGCTAAAGCCTTAGCATTGACTAGAAGACAGGCACTAAGTTAGCCTAATTAGGTGTACGTGTTGGTTGTTAGTGCTATGTGCTAATATTAGAAATAAAAATGCTATGTTTATGTCTTAAAACCCCTGTCAAATACTTGTGGCAGACCACTACAAATATTTAAAAGACAATATCAAAAGGCAAATATTAAAAGTCGATATCAATTAATGTCTAAACACCTTCTGCCTGCCGGACAATGATAAGGTTGAGCTTGTGCTCGTCGTAAAAGTGTCATGTGGACTACAGCTCTATTCACTACATAGTAATTGTGTCAAAGAATTAGATTTACCTGCAGTGGGGTCGTGCCCAATTCATGGCCTCCTCGGCCCTGTGCAATCTTGGACAGGTCATTCACCAATCTCTCAAATATATTAGCAGCATTCAGGTCACAGTCATAATTCACATAGATATCCACAACACTCTGGGCATCTGCAGCAGCAACAGAAATTACACAGTTAACAGCATGAAATCTAAGACCCAGTAAACACCAGATCATTTCATATGACTTCTGGATCTGGATTTTAACCACATGCATTTACACTTGGCTTGTGGCTTGGAGAGACTAATGCATTTATATTTGTATAACATTTGGCATCTCAAACCACCTCCTGACAGATCAGATTTACGTGAGTGTTCAAAAGTTTGGAATCACTTGTCATATTAATAATTGCTCTTTATTTATTCAATTAAAACTTTCACAGTGTAAACTGAAATACTGTAAATTAGACAACAGAAGGTATATTTAGTTTTATTTTAGTTTTTTACTCAGTATTTCGATCAACTCCTTCATTAAGGCATTTTGAATATTAATTTATTATATAGTTGCATGCAAAAGTTTCAAGACCCCTGTCAAATGATGTTTTATTTTTCGAAGGGAAAATAGGTTAACACATCCTTTACAGAGAACAAACTTAAATAATGGCATTTTTCTGCAATTTTAGGGCATCATTTCTATTTACTTGCTGAATTTAAGATATTGGAAGAAAAAAATAAACACAAAAATCTAATATAAAATGTTTTTTTTGCATAGGCTTTATTTTTTGTTTTATTTAGATTCAGGAAACAATAGGAAATTGTGCACTATTAACGTGTGTATAAACTTTTGCACACAACCGTAACTTCATTCTCAAAGTTCTACAGCTTTCCCAGTCATTTTAGAATTGACTACAGATATGTTCATCATTCTGGACTCAGCTAACACTTCTTTAGTTTTTATAGCTTCCTCCTAATAATTTGAAATCTCTGAAATTGTAGAGTAGTGGTATCATAAAAGAATTGTTTTATATATGTACCTGCAACTTTTTTTCTATTTTATTGAGAACCGTGATTTCAAACTATTATACACTACTGTAAAATTATTAAAATATGTCTTGGGTGCATTTACACCTACACTTTAATGTGGCTAATAGGATACAACAAGACAGAATCCAAATGGTGAAGGTGCACTAGGTATAAATAAACACTAAATCTAAACACTAGATAACACATTCATGTTCTGAATAGAAAAGAATAAACTAGCTCCATACCAGCACATATTCTAGTGAGGGTCTGAATAACCATCCATTTGTGGTCATACGAGCTTGTGGACGTCTCAAGGATGTACAGGAAAATCTCTTTGAAAAACACCTGAGGGAAGATAAAGTGAGTTAGACCTGCACTTATGACTTAGCAAAGTAGCTCAAATTAGCCTCTAAAACCTCTAAAATCAACACAGAACCAAAATAGAAAGAATAATAAAGGAATAATAGCAATGATGAAGTGCAGCACTGACTAGGTGATGGACTACAAATTGGCAAATTATGTCTTGTGGATGAATGTGCATGGTGATGATAAATCCTCAGAGTCTGATTTGGTATGACTGAGTCTCTTTCTGACAAACAGACACATACTCACTCATACCGGGACGGAATTACAAGCCGTAATAAACCAACGGCTAAGATAAATCTACACTGTCAGCGAGCTGTTCCGCAGGCTAATGGCAGCAGAAGACACATGAATGCTTTATGAGGGGAGGAGGACTGAGTTCAGGCACCTCAATTTGCATCTTGAGATGGGTTTTGAAGTTGGACAGCAGGGTGAGGAAGATGGACAGCGAGAGCTCAAAGACTTCTGGGACGGAGGAGACGCCGTTTTTGGACAGCGCCACACACAGGTACTGCTTGATGGCGTTGATGAACATCTCGTTGGTCTTGAAGATGGGCCCTGCGTTCTGCAGGATGGACAGCAGCAGCTGCAGCGAGAGCACCTTGGAGCGCAGCTCATGCGATCTGGAAAGAAGGAAGCAAGATTACGTCAACTGAATGTAGAAAATGTTCCCTTTAAAAAAAGTCTTTCAGCCAAAACGTGTTTGGTATCTGAAGTTTCTATTGGTCCATACAACACCTTGTATGTTCATCTGACTTTTATCACGCACTTTGAATGAAGTGAAGTACAAGTAAGCCAATCAGAACAGACCTCATTTACACACATAGTTTTGCACTCACCCTGTGTAACCACAGTAAAATCAAATCATGAAGGACCTGGTAATTAGCTAATATGATGCATGAGGGACTAAACTAAACAGTGGGCCACCAGAAGAGCCTAACACCTCAGAGTCAAAGTGTTTATCCTGAGCTTAAGTGGTTAGCTTAGTATTAGGCATTAGGCTTTGCATTCAGTACAGAATAATAACACAGTAAAAATACAGAGAATATAAAGTTCAGTTTCTTTTTGAATGTTTTCCTCTCCAATTCTTCTTCATAGTCATGAATAGTCATGAATAAACACAACACTGCAAATACAATTCCACATATTCAAATGAAAGCTGCTTTTCTCTGTAGCTGGAACTAAAGGTCTGTAAATCAATTTATTCCAGGATAAGTAAGAGGCTTCCAACTGTGTACTGCATACAAATTAACAGCAAAAATAAAATAGGAGCAAAATGACATGAGCAAATTAGTGCCATGAAAAACAATAACCAAACAAAATGAACAAATAAAGAAATAAAGTCCTTTATTAAAGGGCCTACATCATGGAAAACAATTTTCCTTTCTTCTTGGAAACAAGTTTGATAAAGTATGTAAACATTTCAGGTTTCAAACATCGTTCACTACGCAGTCCATAAGGAAACTAAGCTGCAAAAAAAGCCCATTTTAAAATGCCTGTTTTTTTTGTGATGTCTAAAAAAAATCAACATATTTGCATTTATCCACCAATTCCACCTACAGCAGTTTAGCCCCATCCATTCAAACTGAAGGAGCGGTTAAATCCAAACTGTGCTTTGAATGAAGCCCAATACAAGGCAGCCAATCAGAAGAGAGAGCATGTACATATATCAGCCTTGAAGGCACAGTAAGAAACACAGGGATACATAATACGGACACTTTAATATTTATTCCTCCACTGAACAGCAAGGTAACAGCCCCTCACCAGATTTTGTAACAGACCACTAAGAATTTTAAAAGTAGCCAGATCAAAAGCCAGCCAGAGCAGCTTCCTTTTCACCACTGCTTCACTGACAAGCATGGCTTTGGCCCATCCAAGACAATGTCTCTCAGAGCAACTCTGATGTAAATCTGCAGAAGTGAAAGAGCTCTCTGTCCCCCAAACATAAAGAAATCAATACTGCGCTATCACAGGCTTCCTGCCCACTGTCTCTAATGACAAACAGGGATGAAAGAGTGCGCTCCTATCTGTAAGCTGGTCTGGGAGACATATCGCTATGAAGTTGTTACATACTGTGATGAGCCTACAAGTAAAACCAGCAGCAACAGAAATTACACAGTTAACAGCATGAAATCTAAGACCCAGTAAACACCAGATCATTTCATATGACTTCTGGATCTGGATTTTAACCACATGCATTTACACTTGGCTTGTGGCTTGGAGAGACTAATGCATTTATATTTGTATAACATTTGGCATCTCAAACCACCTGTCATATTAATAATTGCTTTCACTTTCGCAGTGTAAACTGAAATACTGTAAATTAGACAACAGAAGGTATATTTGGTTTTATGTTAGTTTTTTACTCAATATTTCGATCAACTCCTTGATGAAGTAACTCCTATGAAGTTGTTACATACTGTGATGAGCCTAAAAGTAAAACCATAAATACTCCCATCCCCAACAAAAGTGAGTACTGTCCTGATTCTTGATGTATTAATTATATACTAATGGATTGGCTTGGCTCTGAGAATAAAAGATATAAAATAATAAAATCAACCCCAAAAATTACAATGCCTCGAATTTATAAGCAACTTCAGGAAAAAGCCCAAGCCCAGTCATTGTGGGTGCATGCACAGCACATGCCCTGCCCCCTTCCTGCCCACTTTACTCTAATAAGATGCACTAACATGACTAGTTTTGATCACTGACAACGGTTTCCATGAAAGGCGGTAAAACAGAGGAGTATAGGGAGGGATGCATTAAAGGGTTTTAAGGACCCATACCATGAAAAAAAGAATTATGTCCATTTTGGTATATAAAACCAGACAAAAGTTATAAGTAAACATTCATGAAAAAAAAAAAATACAAACTGTACGATATGGGTCCTTAATATTTCAACATCTTTTCCAATTTTTCAATACTATTGTGAGTTTATTGCGCCCTTAAATAATAAAATGACACCCTTAAATAAAAGTAATACAATTATTATTATTATTGCTACTAATACTAGTACTACTACAACAATTTTAATAAAGGGTTTCCGTATATCACGAAATTGGACAATATAGTTACATAAAATATTGCAAAGTATAAACATACCACCCCATCTAGGCAACAAAGACTGCAACTGGTTTTACCTTTTCAGGTGTCCACTTGAGTATGATCCAGCTTAGCCCAGCTTAGCCTAAACCCTCCCTTTAACTTAACTATAACTGGAGCTAGGAAAGTAGTCTGGGAACACCAAGCTTATCACAGTCCAGCCCAATGAAATATAGACCTTCCTGGTCCTGAACTGAATTACAGTGAGAAATCAGTTTGGAAAATCCTGTTACACAAGCTTGTGCTATCTGTTACTGAAAAATCTGATTCTTCTCTGAATCTAACCGAGTCCTCAACCATCTCATCTCACTTGTGTTATCTGAGGGCAAAATCTGATCATTCTTCTGACTCCTGACAAAATCGTTCAAGCTTATTTTCACAGACTTTGCTCAACCATCTCTGTTGAAGATAATCAGGCTTACTTTGGATCCGGGGGACCGTCCGAAAGAGGCTTCATGGACAGCTTGCAGAGGGAGCGAAACACAAGGAAAGCGTCCTTTTGCAGAATGTGTGAGAATTTTGCACCCGGCGCTGGCCCTGTAGGCGCACCAGATTCCTGCAGCAGATAAAAAAAAAGAAAAGATGGACTCCGTCAAAACCTGCTGCTAAAGGTGAAAAATTTTAATATTGCACTGGTCGCAGCCCTATAACACTGCAGATATGACTATTGTCACAGTAAATTATGTAAATACAACCTGCAACCTGTAGGCTTACTTTTTTTTACAGGTATATTATTAATTTGCAACTATCAAAAATAACTAAAACAAAATCTTAATGCAAACACTTCCATGAGACCAAATACTAACTAGCATAAGTAACTCATCCTGAATAATAAGGTGTTTTCCCTGCTCTCAACATACCCAATCCAATGAACTGGCTAATTAATTAACAAGTCATGGGCTGGAGGTTAGGGAACCAGTCTTGTGACCGGAAGGTCGCCAGTTTGATCCCCGGAGCCAACAGTATGTGACTGAAGTGCCCTTGAGCAAGGCACCTAACCCCCAACCGAGTCTGCTCACTGCCCCCTAGTGTTTGTGCGTTCACTAATGTGTATGTGGTGTTTCACTGTACAGATGGGTCAAAATGCAGAGGTGAAATTTCCCCGTTGTGGGACTAATAAGGGTCACTTAACTTAACTGGCCCTCCCTGATTATTGGTGGGTGCATGATAGGAAAAACCCTAAAATGTGCAGAACCAGGGTTGGGAACCATTGACATACAGGGCTTAACATTAAGCATTTCTGGGTCCCATGGACAAGTTATTCTACATTTTATTCGTCTGAAGGCCAAAATCATTTTCCATGATGTGAGGAGGCCGTGTGGTTTGACGTTCACTTTTGCAATTAATGTACACTATGGCCAGAGGTATGTGGGTACCTCTTCTAATTATTGAGTTCAGAGGTTTCAGCCACACCCATTGCTAACAAGCACATAAAATCGAACACACAGCAATGCAATCTCCAAACAGTGGCAGTAGAAATGGGTCATACTGAAGAGCTCATTCACTTTAATCACTGTCACAGGATGCCACCTTTGTCATAAGACAGTTCGTGACATTTCCAATCTGCGAAGTCTACCCCGAGAAACCGTAAGTGCTATTATTGTGAAATGGAAGCGTCTAGGAATCTGTTGTACTGCTCATTACACAGTTCCAAACTGCCTCTGGAAGCAACGTCAGCAACTGAGCGTCAGGAGCCTCATTAAATAAGTTTCCATTCTGGAGCAGCTGCACACAAGCTTAAGATCACTATCCACAACGCCAAGCCTCGGCTGGAGTGGCGTAAGCATGCTGCCACTGAAACCTGGAGCAGTAGAACCGTGTTCTGAACTGGGACATTGACTGCGATCTAAACCTTCTCATCATTTTCATACCTCTCAGCATTAGCACTCAAACTTTTTTTGGCTTTAGTTGGCACTTATCAAACTGTGGAGGTTTTAGAAACAATCTGACTGATTTGCTGCTGCCGTTCACAGGTGTGATGAAGAGACTGGTGGCTCTGACTCACCTGAGTGTCGTTAGAGGAGACGGACAGCCTGTCATCGGGCAGGGACGGAGTGAAGCTGGCAGAGATGGGGGTTCCTGGAATGCCGTTAGCGTGGACGTTCTCATTGTCGCTGCCCAGACAGCCCTCCTCCTCCAGAGAGTTGGACGTGGCCTCTGTTGGCCCTGCCTCACCTCCCCCATTCCCCTTGGCATCTGGCCACAGACGAACAGGGTTTAGTCAGTGTCCTTTGGGGCGGTTTAAGACACATGGGTATCAAAACGGCACTGGCTGCAGAATGCTCTGATTCTATGCTTGACCTCATAACGATTTGACTCAACTGCAATTCTTTATGAAACAGTTTAGTCATCATAAAATTGAAAATTTTACTACAATTTGATTGGATTACACAGTTTTACACATAAACTACCGATTATATTGATAATCATGTAACACAATGATTATTTTAATAATATACATGCTTTTTACAAAACCAAATATTTAATTTTACTTCATTTACATGAAGCTTCTAACTACAAATGTGTGTGCATGTGTGAGATCCTGTTAGTGTGGGTTTCCTCTTTTTAAAAACTGATTTGATCTAAAAGTTCCCCTTGTAGAAAATGTTTAAGACTGCTGAACACTGCTTTATAATGACTGACGGATTCCCTCGTTATCAAGTAATCACGAAATCAATTCACTGAGAATGTAAATTTGAAATGATTATTTTTTGAAAAATCAAGTATCAATCGTGACAGTATTCAGAATTATTATGAAAAAAGGCACTGAATATACAAATGGGACAGGAAAAAGTATTTACACAGTAGTGATTTTTTACATTTGAAACAGTCTAAGTAGCCAAAATATGAGTGCATTCTTTAAAGAATATTTTTATAATTGGTTATAATAAATTACAACATTCCAAATTGATGCAACTGAATCACAGCCATGAGATCAATACACAGCCATCAGATCAATAAATTACAATGCACTTATGCATTTTTACAACTTTATTCTACAAAAGCCGCATCTCAAGTCCTCTTCCTGGGCAGCCGGCCTCCCGCAGAGTTTTATTCCAGCCCTATAATAACTCTTGATTTGGCCAATTAAAGCCTGCAGGACTTTGTCTACAAGAGCAATGCGCAGTAGATTAATCCTTGGAAGTTAGTTATTGCCAGTGATGCCAAAAGCATATAATTTCATATTAACCCCCAATTCACTGAAACAAACTCTGTTGAAAGCGTGGATTGTAAACTTTCAATCCCTACCACATGTAAGGAGAAAGCAGAAGAGCAGATAATTTTGAGGAAGTTCATTTTATGCACATCCTCTTGTTTTGCGCTACATTCTTTAACATTTTTGCCACAAATGTCAAAAGTGCAAAAATCAAAAATGCATATGCAAACTTGATCATATGTAAATGAAATGAATAACTGTGTAATGTTTTATTTATTTTCATTTAAATATTTGTGTAATAAAAATAAAAAAAAAGCAAGAATTAAAAACCGCAGTAGGTTAGCTCTCCAGAACATTCCCGAAGATTCCGCCTGCAGCACAAGATGCTACAGACCTACAGTCTAGATAGCACCCAATAAAACGCAGGCTAATCTTACCTCCAGCTACTGTGTTAACAACCTCCTGCAATATGCTCTGTACGATCTCCTGAGCTTTCTCTTCATAATTTGGACTCTCCTCTTCTTCAGTAGCTTCTGTGCCCTGCTCTGCGGCACCTACAAAAAACAAAACGAGAAAAAAACAAAATTACATGTCCACTTGGATTATTTATTCCTCACAAAGCTTTCGGTTCATTTACAGAGAAAGGCATTTGTCCCCTCTGCTTGCCCAGTGTTATCACAGGCTAGTTTACACTATCAATTTTCCAATTCTGTTTCTAATATGTGCACTATTAACTGAGGCTGGTGATTGCCTCCAACCAAACGATCAACAGCGAGAAAATTGTGCTATTAGGGTCTTACATAACAGAGGAGAGCCACTGACACAGATTTGCAACAGCAGTCACAGATCACAGAACCAGAGCCGCTGCATTTTACCACATTTTCTTTGATGGAGAAGACTAAATGCAGTGTTCTCATATTCTCTTACTCATATTCGTCTGTCTACTGATTTATAATGTTTATTTACAGTTCTACATTATGTAAAAGTGGCTTTGTGATTACAGATGGGATGAAAATTTCCTATCATGATGTCCAGTTTTCAATTATCCAGCTTTCAGTATTGTCACAATATTGTTACAATGTTCTCAATATCAGTATAAACACAATATACTGATATACAAAGTTTTTATTGATCCTCTTGTCACTACAATGTGAATATATGAGAAATTATCACCAGTAATACTAATGTTTACTGTTGAGGTTATAATGAACATGCAGATGTGTTGTCCTGGCTTATGCTCTACAGGGAGACCGTGTAGAATTCTGCGGTGTCCGTCCCTACATGTAATAATTTTGAAGGGCCCATATCATTGTAAACTAAACTTTAAATTCAAAAAAGTGGAAAAAAGTTGGATGTAGGCAGTTTATTAACAAAAACAAGGCTAAAATTTCAAAACATAACATTTATTCCCCAGTCCATTCAGCTCATATACAGAAACTAACCTGCAAAAACAGCCCATTTCAAATTCACTGTTTCTGTGATGTCAAAACCAATTCATTTATATGCAGTCGTCTGCAAAATTGTGACCGCCTCTGGTCAAATAACACGTTTTGCTGATTCTGAAGTGAATATAAGTTACTTTTGCACATTTTAATGCACACTAATGTTTATTTGCTGATTTTAGCATTTTTTGGGGGAAAAAAAACATAGAAATAGCTCAGTTGAGCATTACTCTGGGCTGCGGCTGTGGCCTGGTCTGCCTCCGTCTGCTCGTTCTCTGCGGGTCCAAAGTCTGAGCCATTCTCCGGTTCTGGACTCTCGTAGGGAGGCGAGCCCTGCTGCTCGGCTTTGCTGCCCTGATGCCCTCCGTTAGCCTCGTGGCCTTTGGCCGGGGTGTCCGGCTGCAGCTGGGGCGATTCAGGCTCCTGCTGGCTGAGCGGAGAATGCTGCCGGTGCCTCTCTCTCTCCATCTGCTTAGCCTCCTGGAGCTGAACACAAACAAACAAAAAAAGCGCTCCGTTTAAACAGACACATGCTTCACTTACAGCCAGCTAAACACTATCATTCCCACTGGGCAGAGCCTCTAAAGCACAAGCTGCAGAGCATCCGCTTCTTCGCACAGGAAAGCAAATGTCTGCATTTGGGAATAATAAACATTATCAAGTACGGTGTGAGATACATCGGCAGCTGATACTTGCAGATAAAAGCATAAATTTAATTATCATTACCGGTCCGATATTGGAATTACAGCCGATAATTCCAACCAATAACTTGGCGTCCCATTTTTCTCCTTAATAAGAGCAATTGCTAAATACATAAGTCTACAATAATTAGTCATAATCAATCTTTTGAGTTTTAAAAGGAAATTCCACAGATTTTTCAAATTTTCTACATAATTCAATGGTTGAAACATGATTAAAATCATTCAGTTCATTGTAGGGAAATTTACTGACTCAGATTTCTTTACAGTGGTGTTGACAGAAAACAGGGGACGTGATGTCTACAACCTACATGTGTTTTGTATGTAATGTTAATAATGGTAAAATAGTGGTAAACACAATGAAATATAAAAAATATAAAAAGGTACAATTTTGTAATACAACAAGCTGCATGTACCCCTCTGCCATGAAAATATTTTTAAAAATAATAATTTTTAGGTCAAAACCTTCTCAAAACTATAAAACAATGTCTAATGCATCAGACTGCATATTCATAAATACTGCAATAAAATAATGCAATAACTTTCTGTGAGGGAGCTTTTAGAGGCATTAAACTCTTCAGACATCTGGTTCCTATCACCACCACTGTGAACAAGTGTGATTTGGCAAGTTTTTCACTGTTCACATCAAGAGTGGTTTGATGTGAAACACTTTGTTGTTTCACTGTTTACTCTTAACCATTTAATTATAGAGAAATTTTGAAAAATCAGTGGAATGCCCCTGTCTATTCTGATGCTCACTACATCTTATATGTAATTAACTTCAAAATCCAAAAAAGTAACATTATCAGCTATAGCTTTCAGTATCCGTCAAAGCAAGGTGTTAAATATCGGTTAGTGCTATCGGCCCAGAAATTCCACATCGCTGCATCCCTATTCTCTAGCAGAACAACAAAAAGAAGAACCAAAGATAAAACTGGGATCTTTTTTTTTTTAGCAGTCTTTATGCTGTGCGAGTATAATATGCACCTAACGTTCACAAAAACCAATAGTCTGGCTGACTGCATGCAACTGAACTAATGAGCTGGTCTTAGCAAGAGCACAGCAGTCATGCTTGATCTGACGAAGAATGCGCTGATGGCTGAGAAGACTCTTCGTCTTCGCTCAAACACAGGTGGATTTTCTCATGTGAGGGAGCTCATGTTTGTGAAACAGTGGCGACGGCAATGAGTTTGAACGATGAGCCTCTATGATGAATGTGAAGTGGAAGTTACACATGCGATGGGCAGAATATATATATGATAATGCCTTTGTGGTTTACACTGCATGATTATTACTTCTCCTTATAACTTGCTAGAACTTTTCAGCTTAGAACACTTTATTTTACAGTTTCTAAGTCATTAAACACTGTAAACTGCAGGAACAATGGTCAGTAGCTATTATGAATGATTCAGGAACTACAATGAAACTAATGTGCAGGTTATGTAGTTATGAGCAAGGGTGTAAAGATTAGGGCTGGGTATAAAAATTCTATAATTTTATGGTATCAACCGTATTACTTCAATACTACTAGAAAAGATGGGGACGCACGCTGACCTAACTCATGAAATGACTTGGGCTCAGCCTTAACTGGCTCAAGACTCTGACTCTCCCCTAACTGGCTCGAGACTCTGTCTCGCCCCTAACTGGCTCGAGACTCTGACTCGCCTCTAACTTACTTAAGACCGAGACTCTAAAAACACCCTTGAGTGACGCAAGACTCGATTTGGGCTCATCCTTAACTGGCTTGTAACATTAACTCAGAAATGGACTTAACTGACCTGTGATTCTACATGCACTTAAATGATTCCCAACTTGACAAACTCCTTCTTAGCTAATTCTAGACTCAACTTGGACTCACCCTAACTGACTCAAGACTCAGTTTGGACCCGACCATGTTGACTCACCTCTCAAATCTGACTTCTTTAATGAAAGGTTCGTTATTAAAGGCCAGGTTGAATCTGATAAGTTTCTCCTCTGTACAGGATGTGTTAACTTCTTTTTCACTTAGAAAACAAGCAATACAAAACGTCTGACAAGGGGCGTTCAAACTTTTGCATACGATGGTACACGCTTGGCTTTGCTCAGTCTAGTTCCACCATATGAGCCTTCAAACAAAATAAGCCTCAAAAATCACAACCTCTACAACTTAAGTGACTTCAGACATTTGATTGTAGGTATGTCCACAGTATAAACCCACCGCTCTCTGCCCAATTCAATTTAGTCTGACAGGATGCAACCTAGTTTTGATTACTGACAGCAGTTTCCATGCAAGTCAGCAAATGAGAGATGACTGACAGAGAGGAAAGTGAGCCTACCTGCCATAAAGTTTTAGATTTTTTACACTGTTTTGCACATTTGTTTCAATACTGTATTTACACTCAACTATAAGAGCGAGAAACTGAAGTGTGGACAAACATACAGGCTCTTGCTATTTAAATACACTTATCATAAATGTTGTTCTGCTTGTACTGCTTGTGTGGGTGAGTCAGCACAATTAAGCAAGGAATGAAAGCATTTGGCATTCCTTTCTCTTTGACCTGTTTGTCCTTCCCACCTTGTGTAGGTGGAAGTGCTGGAGGTGTGAATGGCTGAGGCAGGTCAACATTTAACGCACAGCTCATGGAGGCCCCAGATCAGCTATAAACATTTTACCCTCTCCTACTCAACCTGACTGAGCCGTGTAAACAAGATTATCACATGGTGAGCACGCTACCCAGCAAAATTTGGGGTTTTCTAGCATTTAATTTTTTTTAATACAAATAATTACGTCCGGTGTGCATAAACATTATTGTGATATTAGTGAGAGTGCTAAATTGGAAACAAAGCCAAAGGCACATTTTACTCCTTTGCTGTGATGTCAGCACTCTAAATTTTCAAGTGTTTAAACTACCTTCAGACCAAAAGTGTTTCACTATGAGCTTTTAACAACAGTTTGGAAAAGAAAACTGTCAAATCATTATTTTAGGCAAAACCTGCATCTCATTTCAAGAAACACAATTTAATAAGCATGAAGCTAAAAATACCCAAAGGATGAACAAACTGCTTTTTGACAAATATGACTGTGAAACATTCTAGAAAGTATAAATAAAGTATAAATGATGGGCGGCGCATTTCCACTATATTAGGGAAAAAACTAAAAAAAAACTAAAACTACAAAATCAATAAATAAATTGCAAATGTAAAATATATGTTCATAGACACGTTCTATTTCTGTATATTTAATATGAGATATATTAGGGCTGTCAAAGTTAAACATGCTAAATTATTAATACAATTTTTAAATGTTCACACATTTTTCTAGAGTGACCCTTCTAACCATCTGTAACAGTGCAGTCTTAAGCCCAGCAGCAGGTACGTATGTTGCTATGACAACTCATGACTGTAGCCTTCTCTTTCAACTGCAGCTTTTACTGTCCACACTTTTGGCAAACTATGCTGGACAGTACTCACAGGAGACCTATGGATAAATCAATGAGCAGCAAACCAACAAAAGCAATGGCAAAGAATTCATGAGCTATAAGAATGAGAGGCTACAATCGCAAGAGAGTTGGAATCATTACATGGATCATTCTACAGAATTAGTTTGAACTGCGGTTCCATAGTTAATTAAAAAAAAACCTTAAATGACAAGGGCTGTATGATCTATTTAAAGTAGAGGTATTCAATAGAGATAACAATAAGCTAAACACATAGCACATCATCATTTATAAGATACATTCTATTGGTACGTGGCTGTCGCAACCCCTAACCACTCATTTTCAACTTGTGAAAATAATTCACATTTTTTGTTGTTTTTAAAAAATCTTTTTGAATTCTTTTAAAACGAAGTTGAACCATTTAGTCCATTGTGGCCACATGGTGAGTAGTTAGTCTAGTCCAACTGTTTTGAAGTAAATGTGTCCCAAAGTCTGAAAATCAGTGTATAACATTCAGAATTGTCATGACCAAAATATGTATTTTCTGAAATTAGGTAAGCTTTTTTGTGTTTTAATGAAAAATATTACGATTTTGTGTGTACCAATGGGTTTTCAACTCTGACTTTGAAACGGTTTGGCAGAATGATCCACATATGATATAAACACTCACTGTTTGGAACATGCAGCCACTGTTTCTCTCACGGATGTTGGTGATGAAACTTGAAACTATGTTCACTCTAAATGGAATGTGATGTTCATGTTCAAGTTCATTAACACAGGGCACGTAATGGTACTGATCGACTTGGGTAATAAACACAGTCTGATGAAGCTTATTTTGTCCACTCATATAGCTAGAAATTCCACTGCTTTTAAGCCAGAAAAACTAAGACAAATGCCGATAATTGTGATTAACTATTCTAATAATTTGACAGCCCTATACATATACACACAGACACAGTACAGTACAGGCTTTTGAGAAAATTAGATTTAAAAAGTGATTTATCTGAGCAGTAAGTGTTTATTTTTTAAAAAGAAAAGACTCAAATAAAACTGATAAATTACATCATAATTTTACATATACCAAGTGCTTTCTTAACCCTTTACAAACCTCTCCTTGAGGAAGTCCAGTACTATTTCTAGTTATCATCCAATACCTGGCTAAACAGTAACTCATTATGTTCAGTTTAGTGTGCTGGTGACACAACGTAACCAAGTTTATGACGGCTGCATCCAAGATTCCAAACTAGCTCACAAGATATCAACTACTTTCTGGAAAACAAGAAATTCTTATTTCCTTTTACTGTATTTATGTTTATTTTCATTTACTGCAATGATATTTTAATGTTACAAGCAAAAACAACCATAGTGAGAATAAATGGTGAGACTTTTTATTGTGTGAGGGTAGAGTGCAATGTTGCGTTAATCTCTGATCTCTAAACAACTCGATTCTTTAGTATACACACTGTATGTGTGTGTGTATATGTACATATATGAAACAAACCTGGGGTAATATCTTGTATGATAATACAAGGCTGAATGAGAAATATAATTTTATATATATACACATACATACACCTTGTACTGTGATCTGATATTTTGGCCCAGGCTTGTGTCATCTGAGCTGCAAGCTGAAGCTTCATCTACAGCTTAAACGGAACACTTCACAACACCAGACAGCTTCAGTAGTGCTTGGTGCAACATGGAAAATGTAATGGTGGGCTGAATATCTTTAACTTAAAAGATAAATAAGGGGGGGTGCGAAAACGACCACTGTCAGAGGTTTTTAAATTATTCGGTGGGGATGAAATGAGGCGGTCATCGTCATCCCAGGGCAACTAATGCAGAACATCTTCAATGTTGCGCTCTCTCTGCATCCACATGCAGCTGTCTGAACCAGACGCTCGCACATCACATTCCTACTACACACTTCACATATCAAAACGACAAAAAAGAAAGTCATCGTCATGGAGAGAGAAGACTGCAGGCAAAAAAAATAAATCAATAAAAAAAAGAAGCCACAGCAAGCACACGCACAGACAAGACACGTCTCAAAGAGAGACGGAGAGTCTACAAACAGTGTAGAGAAATGGATGAAGCTGATGCACACAGACCAGAGGAATTCAGATCAAGCAAACTCAAGGCAGGCCCTATCACTCTTTACCTGACGGTCACGCTTTCTGGATGCCAAAGACCAACTGATCTTGTGATTTGTAAGCTAGATTTCAACAGGAGGGGGGGAGAAGGCATCAGCCAAGAAGAAAGAAGAGGTTAGATGAAGGTCACTGCTCCATATTGTTGAGTGAAAGTTGGGGAAAACAGCTACTCACTGCCTGGTTCTCCATGCGGGCAAAGATGACATTCAGCATCTGGGTGAGAGTGGCCTTGGCTGTGGTTTGGTTAATGAGATTCTTGCTGGCCAGGTAGATGTTGTAGCATGTTCTCACAGCTTGCAGCACTGTGCCCTCATGGATCTCAATGTGTTGGGAGGTCACTGCGGTCAGCAAGGCCTGGAAGGTAGAGAGCAGAGTGGAAGTGTAAATCTGTGACCTCAAACAATTTTAAATTTTTAGAAAACAATCCATCATGAAATCTCAAATTTCTTTACGAAGATACAAATACCACAGTGTAACAGACAATACAATAAGCCTTTTTGGGGGTTATTGAAAATAACTTGATTGTTACTTTGTCCAAATACTTAATTTACATTATTATAACTGATTCTAAAAACAGTGAAGCAGAATCAGTAGATTCAGATCAATGCACACGCAAAGATGTTTAATTCAAAGCATACATGAAGGAATTCCACAAATGTCCAACAATCAACTGTTTAAAAAGACTGTCAGGATGAAATGAAACTCTCATCGTGATCCCATGCAAACTGTAAAGGGTCTTACTTTGCTGGTTTTGAGCAATAAAATAATTTAAGATTTTACACTTCAAATGTAACTGTTTATCAAATTTGCTGTCTCTGTATAGCAAAAATAACAAGAACAGAGTCACTGATGCAAAGCACCACTCTTATGAAGCACCATATAAAGAAATAACTACGAACTAAAAGCAGAACTAACTGAGAACTATCTGTGCCCCTGGTGGAGAAACATCAGCCGGCTAAAAGTGAGTGAGGTAATTTTGTTTTCAACCAAAAAATGAAGGATTATTTTTTAAGCACTCCTAGCTTTCTAGCAGGTCTCAGGTACCACACAGATAATTCTACCAAATTAGTTAAAAACACACACATACATACATACATACATACATATATACATATATATATATATATATATATATATATATATATATATATATATATATATATATATATATATATTCAGACCTTAGATGTTTACAATGATTGTTATGATCAAAATATATTCCATCAGCTTCACTGAAGAAAGAGTGCATAGAGCAAAAACTGTCCAGACCTCCAAAACAGGAGGAAATTATTTATTTTTATTTATTAATTATTTATTTTATGGCTACTGTAAAGAGAGGTTAAAACAAAAGACCACAAAGTAGCATTATAACAATCTTGTGAGCTATAAACAATACAAAACGTTTAGTTTTGATGAGAAATGCTCAGAAGAGATTGAAGGGTGTATAGAGTTTTACATTTTGATACACTGTTTTAAAACTTAATTTATGTTTCGATACTGTATAGAAATCATTCAAACTTTTAGAAAAATATCAATAACAATCTTTAAATGTTCCTTGTGTCAGTAAGCAGGCTGCAGTCTGCATCTGTGAGCCTTAAATAGCAGATTTCCTCATATATCAGTATATTTTGTGGAGCAAGACCGAGATTTATTACTGCCATTGGCCTTTATACATCATACCTAGATGACTTGAGGCGCAAGACAGTAGAAACGTCATACTGACTATGCGATGTTAATCCACTGAAGGCAGCATTCCTTTTAGAAGGCAAGCCCTCCTACTATACATTTTTTTCTTTGTAAAGCAATAAAGCAGCAACTTCAGCATAGTCAAAAGGCATTAGGCAAATTTACCAGAGCAAGCAGTTCAGGTTTAACCAGTTCTAAATAAATACGAATGTGTGTGCACAAGAGTTTGGGAGCTTCTCATGTGTCTAATTAACCTGTATCCTTTAACACAGAAAATCCATTTCGGCCTAAACCAATATATATCACAAAAAAAATACGACCAACCAAATCATGTTCTCCACCATGTAATTTGGTAATTACAACGCTCTTTTACTACATAAACGTCAGTGCATCGAGACATTGCAGGTAAGACGTTAATGGACCATAAACATTACTCATGCACCGCCATGGCAATATGCTTTAGCCCACGATGGTTAAGTACAGTTTTTTTAAGCTGTTTTCCCTCATTTCTACACATTTTATCTCATTCATATCATCTTCTTTGTCTCCGTCTGCCGTGGCAGTATGCTTTAGCTTAGGATGATTAAGTTTAGGTTTTTTAGTTTGCTGTGTTTTTCCCCCCTCATCTTTGTACATCTCAGCTGTTTGATTTTAACTTAGTCATGTCATCTTCATTGGACAGACATGCATGTGGTAAGCAGACGCATGATGTAAACTGAAAGGTGTTACAGTGCTGGTTGTGTAAATCTAGCATTCTGTTTGATTGTTGTTGTTTTGTATCACTCCTTGTTTCTATCATGGCTGTCTGGAACAGGCTAAGCCTGATGTTATGACATCGCGAGACTTTAGCACATTTGTAAGCTGTGTTTTGAAAGTTGACCTACTCACTTTTTCACAGGTCTTTCATGGTTGTTTATCACATGTTTTTCTGCCTCCACCATGGGTTGTTGTAATAACAAAATATTTTATCTACAACATGTTAACTTTAGAGGAGAAAGAAAACCATTCTTAATTTTTATTGGAGGTAATTTGGAGCAATTCTATTGCTCCATTGGTTATGACATTCTTATACAATGTAATACGCTGTTTTCAAATGAGCCGAAAAAGTTAAAAAAATTAACATTATACAAGGTTTGTTATGACGGCAAGTCTTGATTTTTTATAACATTCCATACATTTTTCTTCGGTTTTGCTCATGTATTCCATTTGTAGACCTCATAAACATGAAATACTGTAATACATATTGTGATACACATCTTCAATTATCATGTCTCCTCAATTATCATGATGTTATATTTTTGGCACTCTTAATTTCACACGTTCCAAGTTACAGAATGCACCACAGAGATATTATAAGGGGGAAAAGGTACTGAACCTTTATAATCTGTAGCTGAACTCCCTCGTCGGTCTGTGGCCCCTGGAAACAGCCACAGATCGTCTCAATGATCCTGTCGATGAGTTTCTTTCCTGGGGCCGTGCTGTCTGGAGCACTGCCTGTCAGATGCCCATAGGCTATGAGTTTCTACAAAACCACAAAACACATACCTCAGTTAAGCTGATATTTCATAAAGCATGATTTGAACTTCACATATTCCTCTCTTAGGTTCTTTTGTACCTTGGTTCTACCTATTCTCTATCTTTTTCCACATTTTAATGCACAATTACTGTTTATTTGCTAATTTTAACATTTAGGGGGAAAAAGTGTCAGGTGCAAAAGGCACATTCATATTTTATGTTTCATTGCTTTCAATATGTTAAGCTCAGCAAACAAACACAAATCGTGCACTAAAATTGTGAAAAAGTGTGTTCCCTATAGAGAACATGTAAGATTATTTTCTCTTAGAAAATCAACAAAATATGTAATTTGACCAGTATTTGAATTAGAATACTTTCTGGATCCTGGTTCAAAGATGAACCTACTCCAATAAGAATGCCTTTTGGCTCTTTTCCTTTTGAACAGGTCTGATATTTGGCTTAAAGGAACATTTCAGTGCTGCATTTGTGGCACATGGTTGTTTATCACAGATAATAATTCTGATTGTCCCTGCACTACAAGCACACACATAATAGAAGCCAATGGGCAGCTGCTTCTTCCTACATGCATACAAATGTGCCAGATAGAAAGGTTAAGCAGAAAAACACTTAGTATTCATTTCAAGTTATCTGGCGAACTGATAAATGCTAAAACTTAAAATAATTAGATTTGGTAAAAAAAAAAAATAACAATAACAAATAACAATGAATAATACAGATAAACCTGGCCAATCATTAACCATGTCTTATTCACCCACATCCATCCATGTTTTATAATATTGGGACTGCATGCTACAATCACACTGCATTATAATCCCAATATGGTATTCTGCCTATATCACACATCCTTTAATACACAGCAGTATAAATCCAGTCATGACTTTTGGCCCCACAGTTAGCAATGGAGGCTCTGCTGACAGCACTGACCTGTAAACAGTCCAGAGATGTGCTCACGATGCGCGGACATTTTGACTGACATGCTAACTCGAATGGCAGGAAGTATTTATCTGCTTCGATGAAGTTGGTCTTAGATTTGATGGGGGGCAGAGTACTGGAACCTGACTTGCTGTCTCCAGCAGGTGGGCTTAAAGGGGGGAAAAATAAAATCGATTTCATCATCAGTCAAGAGTAGTTCAGTCAAACGTCAAGGAGCCATGAACTGTCTTAAACAAATCCTGTTTCAGACAGAGGTGAGGAGAGGTTCACTCTGTTCTAAAAGCCTCTCAGCTGTGGACAGGAGAGCCAGCATTTTTGTCCTGGCTGATGAGACTGAAAAGCTTTAGTGCCTTCAGTGAGATGAGCTGATGAGTGCACTGGGACAGGAGGGGATGGAGAGAGAGCGAGAGACCGAGAGAGCGAGAGCGAGAGCGAGAGAGAGAATAGCAAAGAGAGGGAAAGGAAATACAGAGAGAGAGAAGAAAAAGGCAGAGGAAAAAGTCAACATCAAAGAGATAAGGAGGAAAAGGTGAGAGAAAGAGAGAAAAACGAGAGAGAAAGAGTGAGAGCAAGAGAGAGAAAGAGAGAGCAAGAAAGAGAGAGGAAAGGAAAAGGCAGAGAGAAAAGAAAGTCAATATAAAAGAGAAAAAGAGAGAGAGACTACGAGAGAGTTATACAGAGCAAGATGCAGAGCGGAAAAGAGAGAGGAAAAGACGTCTATATAAAAGAGATAAAGAGAAAATGTAAGAGAAATGGAGAAAGAGGGAGAGTTGCAGGATAGAGGGGAGAAAACTGGAAGATGAGGATGGAGAGAAACGAGAAAGCAGGGGTCGAAGGAGAAAGGGAAATGCGAAAAAAATGGGAAGAGAAAAAAAAAAAGAAAGAGTGAGCGAGTGAGTCTTAGGCCCAATCCCATTTCTTGCCCCTACCACTTAGTCCCACCTCTCCATTTTGCATATTCACGCCTAGGGGTAGGGTGCCCCACTTTTTGTTGAGAGAGGTAGGGTGAAGTGTTAGGGCTGCATGGCCCTCCAAACGGAGGTTTTTCAGAGTCACACTCTAAACGGAGTGTAATAAGAAAAAAAGAAAAACCTGCAAGATGGCTGCGCAAGCGACCAAAGAAACACCACCCACAAATGTGAGTATTTTCTCTGTTAAAAAATATGATAATCATTGTATTATCTTGGTTTATTGTCTTTTCAATGTATTATGGTCCTTTTCTTCAAAACAAGTATAAAAATCGCTAGTAGTCTGCTGATTTCTAGGTAGCTAGCTAGCTGAATTTCCCATTTCACCTTAAATGGTGCAGCAGTTCTGACACCTTAGGTGCCAGTATGTAACTGCTGCTCCATTTAAGGTGGAACAGGAAAATTCGAACAACAAGCTGACTTCAGCTTCATATCACCAAAGAATTAGGGGTGGACGATAGTAAATAGCTGTTGCACTCCCCCTCTTTGAAGGCATGTGATGCCCTAAATTTACCTAAAGCTCCTCTGCTATCACTGCAGACAGACAGGGTCGCATACAGAGGACCGCTAGTAGCCTGATAATGTTCTTTTTTATTTGAGGTTTGTCCCATTTCATAGGTAAGATTTCAACCACTACCCCTTGTAACTCATTTCCAAGGGAAAACATGACACTTGAAAACAGGGGTAGGTATAAAAATAAAAAATGGGATTGGGCCTTAGTCACAGGGGAGTATCTCTCTCTCTCACCTTCTCCCTCTTTCTCATTCATTAATGTGGCTGTAGAGGGATTAGCCTGGTCATGTTTTTAATTGACATAAATCGAGCTTTAGTCGGGCCACCAGAGAGAGACTACAGTCCTCACAGCTGCTCTCACCACCACAATCACAGAAAATAACAAAACCTCACTCTAGAGGCTGCCGATTTCCATGGAGTTAAAACAACACAATTCGGGGGGGTTAAGAAAGGGTTTAAGAGAAACCAAGGGCAAAACAGATCTAGTGAAATAGTGATAGCGTATGAGAGAGGGAAAGAAGTACATGAGATACAAGAGCATTAGAGGTTAGCTGATTAGCAGATGAAGAAACAGGCTGCATAAAACAGACAGAAGTAAAAGAAAGACCATGTGCACATGTGACACTACACTGCAAAACATGATAGCTTAATAAGTGACCATCTTAAAGTTTGCTGTTTACCTGTTTCTAGTTGGCTCACAAATCACATCAAAATCCCATAATAATTTATATGTTTAATTTATCATTGGAACATGCCCGCAAGCCTTTATATTTTGGAACATTTCATTAAGAATGGGCCGACAGAAGTGGTCCAAACTTAAAACTGTTATGTAAAATTAAAGTTAAGAATGATAAAATGAGCTATAAACATTAAAAACTGATTTAAGCATGTAGCATGAGAAAAGGCTTACCTTAACTTCTCTGATTCTTCTTTAATTTCCTCTGCAAAAGAAAGAGAAAATGTGTTTCAGAATAGAGCAGAACAGTAAAATAACACAAAGAGGAATCTACAACTTACTTAAATAAACAAGGCATTTGTCCCAATATTCTCTAAAATGCCAATTAAACTGTCTGTGCTTCGTTTGTAATAAATGAGATTATGTAAAGCTCCAGAGAGAAAGCACTGCACAAATTACAGTGTATCTCAATGAAATACTGTACACAAAGGTGATCCATACACTGACTCAGTGTCTACACAGTTACTGACCTTATTAAACTGATCAGATCTGTGTCAGACATGACTGATCCACATTTCTGATCCACAACCACTGTTTGTCACGATCATAATAAAACTGCAATGGTACAATTATATAAATAATCTAGAGCAACAGAATCAAAAATTTGCACAATCCTGAAAAGAATTTTCGCGCATGTCCAGTCCGGTACATTAGCCTAAGGCTGTGACGAACACAAGTTTGATGTAGTATGTAAACATTTCAAAATATACCGTTCACTCCCCGGTCCGTACAGTCTACATATGGAAAGTAAATGGCAAAAACATCTGAATTCATTGCTTATGTGACATCCTAACCAATTCATTTGTATATATTCACCTTACTGCTTACAGCCGTTTAGTTCCGCTGAAGTTATAAGGAGTGTTGAAGCCCAGACTGCTTTTTAAATGCAGGCACAAACCAAGCAGCCAATCAGAACAGAGTTCTTTTACATCTATCAGTCTAAAGGGCACAGTAGCAAAAATAGCTTGTTTAACTGTAGGGGATAAAGAGAGATTGAAAAACAGTCATGTAAAAATGAATAGTTTGCTGTTTATGTTAAAACACACACAAACATTATGGACCTAACGTGAACCCAATAAAATAGAAGCGTAAAGAAAAGGTCTGGTTGTCAAATTCAGATTCACAGAGACACAGAATGCTCAACACTGACAAAACCATCAGTCAGTCCATGTTTATGGTGGGAGATTTTTCACAGATGTAACACCTTGAAAAGAGTATCAACAGAGAGAGTGAGAGAGAAACACACACACACACACACACACACACACACACACACACACACACACACACATATATATATACACACACACACACACACACACACAAATACAGGAGGAGACCAATTGCTGTAGTTTTGAAAGTGAGATGTTTTCTCGTTCTTGCTTGATATAGGGACACACTGTTTTTATACTGCTGTTCAACAGTTCGGGGTCTCCTTTGTTGTATGCTTCGTTTCATTATGCGGCAAATGTTTTCAATAGGGTGACAGGTCATCCAGACTCTTATTATAGTGCCATGCTGTTGTCATGCAAAATATGGTTTGACATTGTCTTGCTGAAAAAAGAAAGACTTTCCCTGACAAAAACATCGTCTGTCAGCACAGGTTGCCAAAACCTGTATATTTCATTCAGCAATAATGGTGCCTTCACAGATGTGCAGGTCACTCTTGCCATGTGTACTAACGCACTCCTGTTCCAGATGCTGGCTTTTGAACTGTGTGCTGATAACAAGTTGGGTGGCCCAGAGGACGCAGCATCCATGATTTCCAAAAACAAAATTTTCAAATTTTGATTCGTTGGAGTCCATCCTAAATGACCAGGTCCAGAGAAGGAAGCAGAGTTTCTGGTTCCTTCTAATATATGATTTCCTCTTTGCATGGTAGAATTTTAATTGAACTTAATTTAGCATTTGTGGATGCAGTGATGAACTGTGTTCACAGACAACGGTTTTCGCAAGTGTTCCTGAGTCCATGCAGTGATTTCCAATGCAGAATTCTCTCTTTTTTTTAATGCAGTGCCGCCTCAGGGCCCAAAGATCACGGCCAGCCAATACTGGTTTTTGGTCTTGTCCCTTACATACAGAGATTTCTCCAGATTCTCTGAATCTTTTAATATATTATGTACCACAGATGATGAAATCCACAACTTCTTTGCTGTTCGATGTTGAAAACAGTTATTCTTGAATTGTTGCAGTATTTGATTGTGCATTCTTTCACAGAGTGATGACCCCTCCTCATCTTTACTTCTGAAAGCCTCTCTGGGACGCTCTTTTTACACCCAATCTTGTCACTGACCTGTTGCCAATTAATTTTGCATTAGCATCTTTTTTTGGCATTACCGTAGTAACTTTGCCAGTCTTCCGTTGCCCCCCTCCCAACTTTTTTTGAAACGTGTTGCTGGCATCAACTTCAAAATGGCCATATTTTTTTCCAAAAACAAAAACAACTTCAGTTCCAACATCTGACATATTGTCTATTGTACTATTTTTAATTAAATTTAGGATTTAAATAATTTACATTCTGTTTTTATTTGCATTTTGCACAGCACCCCAAACTTTTTTGGGAACAGGGCTTTTATATACATATGTATACACAAACACACATATATATACATATATGTAAAGTGAGAGAAGGCGAGAAAGAGAAATAGAAAGAAAGAGAAAGAAACAGAGGGAGGGGTAGACAGAAAACAAGATAAAGAGATAAAAAGAGAGTAAGAGAGAGATGACCCCTGCCACTCAAACAAAATGTAATCAATGAAAATGCAGTTAAGTGTTGATATAACTGTGACCACAGTGAAGGACGCCTAGTGAAGAATTTCACCCACGTTTCTAAAACAGCTCTATTTAAAGATGGCTTTATTATTTTACAGCTTGCAGACAGTACTTCATTTTCACTTGACAGCTGTGCTGGTGGCCAACACTGGAATTTAATTAAGCGGTGATTCTGAAGGCTGCTTCCGCGCAGGACGACCATTAATCTAACAGCCTTGGTACCAAAAAATACAGAGGAAGACAACATGCATTAAGAAGAGAGTCCGTTTACCGAAGTCAATGGAAACATTATGAATGACAAGAACTGCAGTCTCTGCTGACATTGCCCTGGACTTAGAGGTGGGCGATAGGCAAAAATCTAACATCATGATACTTCGAGAAGTTTTCACGATACACCATCTGTCATGATATCTGCCTAGTTGGAGAAGACAAAGTAATGCCACATTAAAAAATGTTTTGTATTCAGCATTTTGTATTCTGTGCTGCACCAAATCCAATTAAACAGGACTAATTATGCTCTCTTTGTACTCAAACACGCAGTTGGAAAGTGTTTCTCCAGTACTGAGGACGTCCACAATATGCTTTAAAACTCGTCCCCAAGTTCCTCTAGTCCGTGCTCTTTTAACGTCTGGAGTACAATTAATAACATAAGCAAAACAAACTAGTTAGACAAACGCTAATATTTAATTTTACTGCATGTAATTTGTTTATACATGCAACACACATCTACATGCTTCATTGGAGTTTTTTGGGAGGCATATGAGCCATGCTAACTTATTACCACCACAACAGGCTTTGTTATCCGTCCAACAATGTTGATGAGCACAGCAACGCCCCTAATTTGTGCTTCACCTTCACGAGACTTTGGATTGGTTTACAAATTTCACACTCAGTTTGTTCCCTCTCTCACAAGCCTATATCCCCACCCAAAGGTAGGCCAAAATTTCTCATGGTTGTTATTATGAGATCATGTTTGGGACAGTACTATGCAAGCGTTGACACCAACGTTAAGGTTAACGAACGCTGTAGCTTCATGGTGCATCTCCAAATACTACACCTAATGTTATATTGTTGGCGGCCTCATAACAAATTATTTAAATGACCACAGAGGTGCAAAAGTAGCTGATCAATGGCGGTGCACGCAATTCATGCTTGGAAACACGGATAAATCACAAAAACGTAAAAAAAAAAATGTTGAACATCATTAACAATTCCGATACAGTTTCAGAAAATTGAATAAATAAAAAGTGTTCTTTTCAGTCTCTTCTGAGCATCTCTTGTTTACTGTTTTTAAAGACACTACTGATTAAAAACTAGTCATCTGAGTGCAGCCTATCAGAGTAAACTGCTGGACAGGGGCAGGGTTTACAATCTATATACACCCACACAATTTTCAGGTTTTTGTTTTGGAAAATTGAATCAAATCTTGACCTCAGAACTAAAAACCGTACCTGAAACTGAAAATATATTTATCGTTACACCCCTAAAGAATAATCAAATCTAGGATACCTAAGAAAATTTCACAAAAATTCTGGCCATTTTTTTATGTGTAGATTCGGAACAGGAGTGCATTAGTACACATGGCAAGAGTGACCTGCACATCTATGAAGGCACCATTATTGCTGATCCTCACTAATACATTCAAGTACGAATATTATAAAAGGGACAGGGTGAGATGCCTCAAACACAGACCACATACACTAGCACTAGCACAGAGAGCCCTGAAATTAGCCTGAGGGGTATAAGTGGTGTGCTTCTGCATGGTCCGTGCCCTGCATGCTCCATTTAAGACGCTCCTTTTTCATGTGAGCAAAGCAGAACGAGAGCTTTCGTTCTTTTGCGCTGCTTCTCTCCGGCCTGGACTTAGTTTTGGATTTGTTGATCCCTCTCCAGTCCAGCACCGCAGGGAGCCACACTCACATATAGCTTCAACACACGCTGGGGGTTTAGTGTGGCGAATGTGATGATATGTGATGTTAGCATGATCAATCGAATCAAATTGCATCACAATATGCCTTTCTAAGCAGAGTGTGGTTGCCGCCAGTACTTAAACAACACTGACCATCTGCATGTTTCATTACAAAGATCACTCAAAAACACTCAGGCCTGTTTAACTGGATTAAATGCAGTGGAGTACGTGAAAAAAAAATGCAGCTCTGCTTTTAATCTGTTCCAATTTCAGAAAACCTAAATATTGTGAGGGATATCATGTATGGTTAAAATGTATTGTACTGCAATGTTAAGTTTTTGCCACCTCACTCATCATGAGTCATTAAAAAAATCAATGGCTTTTTGACAATCAATTTATGCATTAAAATGTCACTAGACTGAACAGAAAGTGTTATTAAGTGTTATTCATTAAATGGAAAATTCACTGATTCCTCATAATGCAATACATAATTCAATGGTTAAGATCCTGCACATGTCTATGTT